ACATTTTAGCAAAAATTTGGCATAAACTCAATTTTTGACAGATTTTAAAAATTATTTTTTTTTAATTAGTAGGTTACTATTTAAATTTCTACTACGAGTTACAGTACTCTCTCTATACAGTAGAACTCCTGTATAACGAACTCCTCTATAACGAAACTCCCGTATAACGAACAACTTTTAAATCCCCGTCTACCACTACACAGTGCATTTAAAACTCTTGTATAACGAAGCTCCTTTATAACGAACAAATTTCAAGTCCCCGAGCGATTCGTTATAGAGGAGTTCCACTGTATAAGCAACCCGAAGGGAGGCTTTTTGGTGCAAATTGACTTGGCGGGGGCAAATTTCTTGTTTACTATAAGGGGAGTTGTTTGTATAGATGGTTCACTATATAGAGAGAACACTTTATTTTATATTATCCTTTGCATTCTTCTTTTTGTCAGTTTTTTTAAAATTTTTTTGGTTTAAAACTTTTCAACCTAATAATTAATCGCTGTGAATCTAATTTTGTCCAAAACATTTGTATTTTTGAATTTTTAAAATTTTAACTTTAATATTCAAAATTCTTGTTAAATTCCGATCTGGAACGATAATTTGTAGCTAATTTTAAAATATTTCACATACTTATCTTCACCATTGTATTATGTTGTCTCAAAAGTACCCTTCAGTAAAGCGTTTAGTAGTAAGTGTTATGTATTGTGAGCGTTTGTTCCGCTTAACTAAACCCAATTCCATGATTTAATGAGTTTAATTAGCCCGGCTAGCAACTCTTTTCCTTCTTTTTTTCTTTTTTTCGGGGGTGGAAGTCAAAGAAGGCGAGTGAAAAATTGTTCTCGCGTTTTTTCCCTCAACCGGCTGGCTTTTTTCGGCTCTCTTTTCGAAACCTCGAAATCTTTTCTTTTTTGTTTCCTTTTGGTTTTATCAGTTCCTGAAGCTTGATCAAGCGTCGTTCGAGGGTTTATCTATTGACTTTTGGTATGGTTATTAACTTTTAATTTTTTGGGGTAGATAAAATTCTTTTTGGAGAGTTAGAGGGATGGTTAATTTGAAGATGTTTTAATGAAACTTTTAAGAGTATTAAGTTACGCGTGGTTTTCTCACTTTCAAAGCAGGGTAAATATATAAAGTAAACAGATCAAAGTGAGGTTAAAATGAGTGGTAGTGACCTTTAGAATATGATAAATATAATTTTGTTGTATATAGGTATAGGTATAATATTTCTGCTTTTAGTTTTTTTGACGGGCAATAAAAAAGTAGGGTAAGACGTTACGGGGAGAAAAAGTAGGGTAAGGGAATTAAGGGGTTGGGTAGGGCAATATAAGGTAAGGAAAAATATTTGAGCGAAGTTATGAAAGTTTGGGTTAGTGTAAAGCAAATGAAGGTACGTGGGGGTTGGTGAAGGTAGGTGCTGGTAGGGTAGGGTAGGGTAGGGTAGGGTAAGGTAGGGTAGGGTATGGTAGGGTAGGGTAGGGTAGGGTAGGGTAGGGTAAGATAGGGTAGGGTAGAGTGGCTAAAAAGTCAATTTTAAAAAATTTAAAACGTCTTTTCTCAATTCCTTGTGATTTAAAAAGCCATTTTTCAGTAGCAAAGTAAAAAATGGGATTTTACGAAGACTTTTACTATAAGAAAACATGTTTTTGCTGTGTTTTGACCTTGCCAAACCTTGTAAATAAACAATTTTTCACGTAAATTTTTGGTGTTTTTACTAAAAGCTACTGACTTTTTTTTGGTCAGTAAGCCTCTTGGTGAAGTTAAAAAAACTGTTTTTTAAATTTTTGTCAATGAAAAGTTCAAAATTTTGAAAAAAAATGTTTGAAGAGTAGGGTAAAGTTGGGCAGGCTTTAGTAGACTAGGTTAAGGCAAGGTAGAGTAGAATATGGTGAAGTAGGGTAGATTAGGCTAATTTAGGATAAGGTAGGTAAGGTGGAGTTGGACAGGCTAACAAAGGCTAGAGTAAGGTAGGGTAATGTGGGGTTTTAATAAAAGTCATAGCTATGAAAATTAAGATTTTTTTGTTTTATGAAAATTAAAAATGACGCACAATATTCACGTTGAATGGTTTGAAAAGTGCGTTCTTGTCGAGATTATTTGTTTAGCATTCGAGAAAACAGTGATTAAAATGCTAGTAAACTGTTGTTTAATTGTTTCTTTTTGTTGTATGAAACGGAGAACGTGATTGATATAGACTTTGAGCAGTCAAACGTAGGACATGGCTAGAAAAAATAAGTTTTTTTAAAAAGGTGGTCAAAAAAAATTTTTTAAGGTAGTTTGGTCCTTTTTGTTGACTGTTTGAAAAACTAAATCGCTGTGCCAAAATGTTTTCCAAAAATTTTAAAAATGCTGTTTTTTTGATTTTTTTTTGAAATTTTAAACAAATCGTTCACGGTCATTACGTAGTGTCTCATTAATAACTTTTTTGCGAGAACCTTGAAGGATAGAGATCATTATACTTGTTGTAATTTATGATGCTACTTATAATGGACTTTCAACTTCTAAATTAAATTTTTTTACAATTTATTCACTTTATACTACCCTCTCTTACTCTCTGTTATTAGAAATGTAAGAATAGGGTAGGGTAGGAGATTGAAGAGTAAGGTAGAATAAAATAGAGCCTAGTATAGCAAGATGAGAGTAGAGTAATGAAAAGCATTGCAAAGGTAAGTCAAAGGCAGGTCAAAAACAGGGCAACGGCAAGGCAAAGACGGGGCAAAGGCAGGGCAGAGGCAGGGCAAAGGCAGGGCAAAGGCAGGGTAAAGGCAGGGTAAAAGCAAGGCAAAGGTAGGGCAAAGGCAGGGCAAAGGCAAGGCAAAGGCAGGGTAAAGACAGGGTAAAGGCAAGGCAAAGGTAGGGCAAAAGCAGGGCAATGGCAGGGAAAAAGAAGGGCAGGGCTTTTGATTACTCTTTCAACCTTAAATTTTTTGTTTTTTCTAATTCATCTTTAACGGCACATTCCAATCAGTTAATTAAAGAGCGTTCCGGATCTAACTCTATTTTTTCGTTTTTGATTAATCGCATTTCATTCGCTTTTTGAGCCTTAAAATCACTTTTCGAACTCTTTTCTTGTAAAATCGTAGTTTGTAAGGGAAGTGCAAGTCATCTCAATTGCAAACATATTCTTGCTTTTTGACGTGGTTTTGGCGGTTATTCACAATGAAATGACCTTAAAACGTTTTGAATCGCGTAATTTCAAACTGATGTCTTATAGATAACGTCAATGGAGGTTGATCTTTTTGGCGTGGAAAACAAGGTGGTTTTGGTAGTGCAATTTTGGGTAGGGTAATGTAGTATTTAAGGTTTTGTAGTAAGAATATGGTAGAGAGGCTTGGACTGGACTGGGCTAAGGTGGGCTAGCCTAAGCTGGGCTGGGTTTCTCAAGTTGGGTTGAACTGGGCTGGACTAGGATATGCTTTACTGGAGTAGGCAGAGGTTGAATGGGCTCAAGCTAAAGCTAACTTGTGTTAAGGCTAAGGCTAACAAACTCAATAAACAAAACCAAATATCTGATTTATCTTTATGCATGTGACGTTAGTGATATTCAACTCTCAACCCAATAACATCACCTGTTTTGTTGGCAATATTGCCTTTTCATTCGAAATCTGTTCGATCTTTTGTGGGTGCTCAAAACAATTCTTCATAATTTTGAGTCGAAATGACGTTTTAGCACACACTTTTATTTTTTGGATAGGTAAGGGCATGATAGAGCTAGGGTATAGTAAATTGTAGATAAGATAGGAACTGTTAGCGCTGAGTTGTAGAGTAGAGGGTAGGTGATGGATTGAAGGTAGGTAAAGGTAGTTTGAAAGTAGGGTAGAGTAGGTTAGGGCATTATAGAGCGAGGATAGAGCATGGTAGATCTTGGTTAAGATACGACATGGTAGGGATGTGTTGTAGGGTAGAGGATAGATGATGATAAGTGCAGGAAGGTGAGGGTAGGTAAGGGTAGATGAGAATAAATGAAGGTAAATGAATATAAATGAAAGTAGATAACGGTAAGGGATGGCAAGTAAGAGTAGGTGGGTGTACGTTTAAGAGTGGTTTTAGGGTAAGGTATATGAGGGTACAAGAGGGTAGATAAGGGTAGAATAGGGTATATTATTGAAGCCGGCTCGTTTTGGTCTAATTTGTAGGGCCCGCTCTTTTCAAATTAGCTTTGCGCTGGCCCGGGCTGAGTGGGGCTTTTTTCGGGTGTAAGGTAAGGTAAAACGTAACGTTTTAAGCTATTTTTTTCATTTTCTAAGCCTTTTTTTTACCTTTTTTAAACCTGTGTTCTATACTCAAAACTCCAAGCCATTCTTTTGTAACAATTTCTATTTATTCGGTTGTGTTTTCTTTCAAAAAAACCTTGATTGCTTCAACGAGTAAGTGCTTTTGCAGAAGGAAAAAAGTAAACGAAAAGCTTTGAACCGTGATTGATATGATAACACAATCGCTGTTTTTTTAATCGCGAAACAACAGAGATTGTGTTTCTTATAAAATGTAAAAATTAATTACACCGTTAATTTATTTCTTTTATCTTTTTTTTGAGATAACAGATAGCGGGAGGGGAAGAACGGCCGAATGGAAGGTTTTTCAAGGAGCTAGCTCTAGCTCTATCTCTAGCTCTAGCTTTAGCTCTAGCTCTACCTCTAACTCTAACTCTAGCTCTTATATCTGATTCTAGTTCTAGCTCTAGTTTTACCTCTAGCCTGTTCTAGCTTCAGGCTCACTCTTAGTTCTAGCTTCAACCTTAGCCGCAGTCTTAGCTTTAATCCAAATTTCAGTCCTAAGCTTAGCCCCATCTTTAGCCGCTGTCTTAATCTCAATCCTAGCCTTAGCGTGAGCCTCAATGTTAGATTCAGTTCTAGCCTTACATTAGTCTTGGTTTCAGCTACAGATTTTGCACTTGGTTTAGCCCTTGTTTGATGATTTTAACGAATTTTTGTAGCTCGCACGACGTGAAACCCCAATTTTTAAAAAAAATTGTAGTATGAAACAAGTCAATTTATAATTTCTTTTTCAGCATGTTCAATGCGACAGAGTGGAGGACGCGGATAGCACAGATAAAAGAACAGTACTTTCCCACCTTGACCAAATCCACATTTCTGAGGCATTATGTGCCAATTAGTGGCATTGCTTCACACGTCGCATTCACTACTCACATCTTTGCTCCACAGTTGTTAAATAAGTAGGTTTTTTTTGACAATTTAATGGTAGGGTGGGGGTAGGGTAGGGTAGGGTAGGGTAGGGTAGGGTAGGGTAGGGTAGGGTAGGGTAGGGTAGGGTAGGGTAGGGTAGGGTAGGGTTGGGTAGGGTAGGGTTGGGTAGGGTAGGGTGGGGTAAAGTAGGGTAGGGTAGGACAAAAAATTTGAAAAACTGTCATTTCAGAGTATTTCCGACCTACGATCTAGCCGTTAGTAACACAGTATTATTCAACACGCATGTAGGTATAGGCTTCTATGTATTCTTCCGCCGCCATATGATACGACTAAACATGTGGGATCGTATCGAGTTCAGCGTCTTCTCATCCGTCATATTCAACTTTGGCTCATTAATGTTCTCCGTGCTCTTGAAATCTCTGTTACCTAAAAAGTAAGTGGTTTTTTTATTAGGAGGGGGGTGGCGAGGAGGGGGGGGAGGGGGGGGAGGAGTGTAATCACAAAAGTTTTGTCGCTCCTTTAGGTAGTAGTGAATGTAAAAAGACGTCAAAAATTTTTTGAATGTTCTAAAAATTGGTTTATCTTATTGGAAATAATCCCACCTTGTTGAAAACGGTCCGATCGTTTTAGAAATAACCCCATCTTTTTAAAAATGGTTTCATCTGTTAAAAAATAGTCCCATCGTTTTAGAAATTGACCTATATTCCTAGAAATGGTCCTATCTTCTTAGAAATATCCCCATCCTCTTGAAAATGGGCCCATTTTGCTGGAAATGGTCCCACTGTCTTGCAAAGTTCCCATTTTCTTAGAAATGGCCACATCTTGTTAGAAACGATTCCGCTTTTTTAGAAATGATCCCATCATCTTTCTTCGTCTTAGAAAGTGCATCACCTTCTTAGAAATGGTTGCACTTTTTTAAAAATAGTTGTATCTTCTTAGAAATAGCCCATCGTTTCAAAAATTGGAACTAGGCCCACTTTCGTGCAAATGGTCTTATCTCCTTAGAAATGGTTTCATCTTTTTACACATGGTCTCATCTTTTTAGAAATGGTCCTATTTTCTCAGAAATAACTCTATCTTCTTACAAATGGTTCCACTTTTTAAAAAATTGTGCTATTTTTTAAGAAATGGTTCCATCTTTCTCGATATCGCCTTTTCTTGTTAAACCGGTCCCATATCAAAAGAAGCAACCCTACTTTTTAAAAATTTTGAATTTTAACATTTTCTAATTTTAGACTCCCAACCTGGACGAATGCCATAATTGGTGCCGGCGTCTCAACGTTCCTCCTCTCACGGTTTGCGAAGTATGTCGGGCACATCGACAGACGAACCGTGGTCCCCGACCATGAGACGAACAGTCTCAAAAACGGCGGACTCAACCTGAAATCCATCAGCTACGACTCGCTGAACAACAACAGTAAAGATATGAATGGTGTTGGGAACGGGGTGATCAAGAGCGGTTGAATAGGATTAGTTAGGTTAATATAAAGAGTTTTAGTATTGTTTTAAGGGTCTTTTTTGTTGTGTTTCTGTCTTACTGTAGTTCTAATGGCGCTGTTTTTGTAACTATTGCGGTCTGGGTTGGGTATGGGACGAAAAAAATGAAAGAGGGAGGGGATGGGGGAGGGGCGAGAAACTTAAAAATTTTTAAATTTTAAGTTGGGTTTATATTTAAAAAATTTTAAATTATCAAAAAAAAATTTTTTTTAATTTACCCCGCTCTCTTTACCTTTTACCTTTTTTTTCTCTTTTTTATCTCAAATTTACTCGCCCAGCTCTAACTATGACATTACAAAAGTTTTGTCGTTTTCACTATGCAATACAATGTAAATTGACGACAAGACTTTTGTAGCCCATTATTTTTTGAACAAGTAGGTTTGTATTATAGCTCTATGCCGTCTTTTTACAGTTTTATTTCTCCATATGACATTTTTAAATACTTTGTTTCCAATTTTTAGTTCATACCCGACATTGTTATTGTCTTACAGGTTGTTTTATCACAAATTAGAAGCCGTTTCAATCATATTTTTTCAAATTTTTTAAATTTTTTAACTCAAAAGTGAAAATTATGCAATGTAAGTAATATCATCATAACATGAACAAACAATTTACTATGGTGAACAACATATACACACGGGATTACGTCTCTTTTGTCTGTTAATATGAGATTTTCTATTGTTTTATATCATTTTTTCTAATGTAAGGTGGCTGAAAAAAGTTTTGTCGTTTTTTATTGTTGAATACAATGTAAATTAACGACAAGACTTTTTTGGTTTACTTAATAATGCCAATAAACCGGTTAAAATGAAAGGTTGAGTTTGAATTTATACCTACCCCTAATTTTAATATAGGGTAGGGTAGGATATGCAAATATGTAAAAGAATTAATGAATAGATATGATCATACAATACTAATCAAATCCAATAATTTTTGTTATAGGTACCAAAAAGACCAGTTACAAATGTTTTTCCTCAAAAACATAGCCATAGCTCTCGCCTTTCATTTTAGAAACAACAGTCTTTGTATGCCAGACAAGCACGTCCTTCGGATCAGTATCATGTCCAAATGGCTCCAGTTCACTTAGTGGTACACCGATCTGACGAAGAAAACAGTCTTCAGGATCAGATCCAACACAGTCTTTGCCAAACAAAGCTCTGGAGTTAGAAATGTTATCTTAGGTTTTGTAAAGAAAGTTCTCGCCATTTTTTGTTATGGAAACAAAGTTCTTGCCATTTTTTGTTTAGTAAAGAAAGTTCTTGCCATTTTTTTTGTAAAGAAAGTTCTCGCCATTTTTTGTTATGGAAACAAAGTTCTTGCCATTTAAAACCAAAAACTCCTGATTTAAACGATTCGCAGGTTGCGAGTGACACGTTATACGATGGGTCACACTTTTGGTTTGTAAAGAAAGTTCTTGCCATTTTTGGTTTTGTAGAGAAAGTTCTTGCCATTTTTTGTTTTGTAAAGAAAGTTCTTGCCATTTTTTGATTTGTAAAGAAAGTTATTGCCATTTTCTGTTTTGTAAAGAAAGTTCTTGCAATTTTTGTTTTGTAAAAAAAGTTCTTGCTATTTTAAGACGAATTTTACAGAAAACTCACAATGTCCCCAAAATAAGTCGTAATGACACAGCGAACCCAGCCATATCTACGGCATATCTTCGGTGTGGTCGATACATAACGTTCCATCCAATAACAGTGTCATTGTCAACATTAGGTGCTTCGATCCGAGAGCTAGCGGCCAACCCAACGGCCCATACTCCAAGTCGCTTTACTTTGCGTATATAGTCATCGAATACTCTGTAGTCATACGAATTGTCATCATCAGCAAAGTAGACTAAAGCATGATCAGTGTAGGCAATGTACTTTTCTCGCAAATGCCTTAGGGCGGCGTTTCGTTGGGCCCAGCCTCGTTCTGAAAATGGTATTTGTAATTATTGCCTTGCCTTGCCTTGCCTTGCCTTGCCTTGCCTTGACTTGCCTTGCCTTGTTCTGCCCTACCATTAGTTACCCCCACCTGTCTCCTTAGCAATCATCACCTACTCCCACACACCCTTACCTATCTTTACCTTACTTTAAGCTACCTCTGCCAAGCCTTCAGCTACACTCATTTATCTTCATTTAGCTATATAATGCATATCCTACGGTAAAAATAAACTTACTAGGCAAGTAATCAGGTGTTACTGCTGAGAAGTACGTATGTTCAATTTCAGTCCGATGAAGCAACCGTTCTACTGGTTCGGCTATTCGTCCACCGTCTTCAACAACGACCCAGTGAATGTTTTTTACATGCATCAATACTTGAGCTAGCCTAGAACAACATAAATAAAAAATTTAAATTTTAAATTTAAAAAGAAATGAATTTTTTTTGCAAAATAAAAAAAAATTAGAAACAGTATTTAGATCACTTACATAGTTAAGTCGGCCAATCTTTCTGGTCTTGCGTAGGTTGGAGTTATGATAAATATCTTCGGTTGAGATTCAATAAGTGAGGTATGATATTCTGAAAAAGTCAACTATTAAAATAAAACTGGCCCTAATCCAAAGTGCAAGCCCAGAGCATAAGCCCAGAGCCCTAGCCCAGAGCCCTAGCCCAGAACCCTAGCCCAGAGCCCTAGCCCTAGCCCATAGTGCAGAGCCCTAGTCCCAACCGTAGCCTCAGTCTTAGCTTTACTATTATAGTCTAATCCTAGCCTGCACTTTCCAAAAATGCCTTGCCTTTTTATAAAAAGTACAAAACCTTCACTTAAAGTAATATAATTATACATTGCTTACCGTTAGTACAAACGTCCCGATGTGAAAGCAGTAATAATATAATAGATACTGAAGTCGTCAATAATATAAATAGAAAAATACTTGCACATTTCCATAAGTCTTCTTCTAAAACAATAAAGTTACATGTTCAACCAAAAACATTTTTAAATCCATCTCTTTCCCCTGCCCCAAAAATTTTTTAAGTCAAATTTTTAAATTTCAATGAAATTTCAAAAATCAATCAAAGCTCATTTAGCAACAAACACTTACTTTTTAGCTGCTGCTTACTCTTGACATCAGTAGAGCTTGTCATCGACCCCGTAACCTCTGTAGAACTACTTGAAGGCAGTAGAGGTGCATGTTTTTTCATGTACTATAAAAATCAAATTTTTAAAATTTTGACAAATTAGGTAAAAAAAAACAGTGCCCTACTCTACCCTTTAAAAATAAATATCCTGTTTAAAAAATGTTATAGCAAAGATGCCCTGCCGAAAAACGTTATGTCAAAAATAAACTGCTTAAAAAATATAGCAAAAATCCCTGCGCAAAAATTGTTATATAAAAAATACCCCGTCCAAAAAGATTTTTAAAAAATGTACCCTATCCTACATTCACCTTACCCTCATTCTTACACTTACTCTACCTTTACTGTACCTTACCGTACCTTTCCCTATTTTTACCTTACTCATCTTTGCCCTACCCTTACTCTATCTTTGTACTACTCTTACCCTACACTAACGCAGTTTTTATGCTACTTATATTCTATTTGTACCCTACCACTATCCTTCCCTTTCCCTAGTCTTACCTTTTACCTACACAGTTTTCTCTCATTCCCCCTCCGTCTCCTTTCCCCTTCCCGCCCCCTCCCCCTCAATCTTTCAAAAATAAACTCAACGATACGTTCGTACCCTAACATATACACCATATCTACTAATGGTGCACAAAATTTTTCAATAATATATTATTTACAAAGCTCCCTCGATATTGACTGTTAATGATGAAAAACTCAAAAAACGAAATTCCTTTTCTCATAACAACAATTATTTTGAGGAATGAGGGGAGAAAAGAAGGTAGGAACTAATTGTATTGTTTTTTCGAAGGCTGATTAATAATTGAATATGACAACTTTGAGTTACTTTCAATTGTTCTTGATGGTAACTTCGTTCTAAAGCGTCTAACTTTCTTTACAAAATGAAAAATTGCAAGCACTTTCTTTACAATTATAAAAAACCTTCTTTACAAAACAAAAATAGCAAGAACTTTCTTTCCAAAACAAAAAATGGCAAGAACTTTCTTTACAAACTCAAAAATGTGACCCGTCGTATAAATTGTCACCCGCAACCTGTAAGTCGTCTAACTTAAAATTTTCCTGGTTTTATGTAAACGGCAAGAAATTCCTTCAGAAAACAAAAAATAGCAAGAACTTTCTTTACAATACAAAAAGTGGCAAGAACATTCTTTCCAAAGCAAAAAATGACAAAAACTTTCTTTACAAAACAAAAAATGGCAAGAACTTTCTTTACAAGACAAAAAACAGCAAGAACTTTCTTTACAAAGTCAAAAATAACAAGAACTTTCTTTACAAATCAAAAAAACCCATTTATAGGTACTGCAGCACATTACGGTACCCAATACCCTCATCAATAATAACAAAAAAACTCATTATCTCCATACTTTTTATCATACTTGTTATCGAATCTTAGCCCTCACCATGACAAAACATTATTAACGAGTATTAAAAGTAAACAAAATTGTTTGTAAGTGATCAAAACGCTTTTCGCAAAAAAAAAACAAAAAACTTGCTTGTCGATTTGACACGGAACATTCATTCTTTAACCTTGCCAGTGATAAAAAACCGTTTATGTTTATACAACGGATTTAATTTGGAACAGTTCATGTAAGTAGTTCATGTTTTGTAACATTTCACAGAGTAATCCTGAATTATTGGTCTGTGAAAGAATTGCTAATCTAATTTTTTACAAAATTTTTGGGAAAAAACGTCCAGAGATCGTTTGGAAAAAAGATAATGCTATGCTATATTAGGTACAAACTGTGCCATTCTTTGTCATAACCCTAAAATTAGCCCCAGCCTTAGCCCTGGTCTTAGCTCTGGCTTCAGGCCTAGACCCAGGCCCAGCTTTGAGGCTGGCTTCAGGCCTTGTTTCAGCCGTAGCTTCAGCTCTAGTCTCAGCTCTAGCATATGCTCTAGCCCAAGCTAGAGCTGGAAGCATAGTTTTAAGCCTAGCTTCAGACCTAGTTTCAGGTTTAGGTTTAAGTCCAGGTTGAGGCCTAGCTTCTGCCATGCCCTCAGCTCTAGCATCAATTCTAGACTTTTTTTAGCCTTAACTTATCCTTAATTCAGCGTTGTCCGTGAGCCTTAGCCTTATTCTCAGTCTTAGCCGTATCCATAGACTTAGTCTCAGCCCCGAGCCCTAGCCCAGAACCCTAGCCCAGAGTTTTAATCCAGTCCCCTAATTTTGAGTTTTAGACCCGAGCCTTATCTCTTAGCCATGGTTATGTTTTAAACTATAGTTTAGTCTTAGCTGTGACTCTAGTCCTAGCCTTACCCCCATTTATAGCTTTAGCCTTAGTTTTAACCCCGGCAGTATATTTGGCTTTTGTCTTAACTCTAGCTCTACCTCCTTTAGACCTACGTTTAGCTCTAGCGTTAGCCCCAATCTTAGCCTCAGCCCCAGTTACAGCTTTAGCCCCAGCTTTGTTGATTAAAAAAATACACAAAAAACAAAAAAATGCTATTCCTTTATTTGAAATAGATAAAGATTTACCTACATAATGAAGTTTTTTGTAAATTCTCACTTCCATTTACAAAACAAAAACATCACTGTTCGAAAAAATTTGTCAAAAGAAAACTAGTTTATCAGCTATAATGGTATGTTTTCTATACAAAAAACATGAATTTTGAGTTTTTTTATGAAAAATGTTAATAGAATACTCTAGACTTTCAATTTTTTATATTACCCTTCATTTTTAACACTATTTTTTAGTCAAGAAAGTGTTAAAATAATTGACGACAAAAAATAAAAAGACGGATTCAAAATATCCATCGCAATAAATTGTTTGGAACGTCAAAGTTTTTTGGCTGATTTATCGTTTCTCATTAATTAAAACGCGATTCTTCTTTATAGATACCACATGAGCATCAGCGTGCAATGGACAAGAAGGAAAAAACAAACGAAATATGTGAGTTTTGTTGGACTTTAGCAGATATGTAACCTTCAAAAGTCGGGCCGAGTAGTTTTAGTTTGGCCTGTAAAGAAAACGGACCGGGCCAAAAAAATAGGGTCAGACCCAGTCTTTTCCAATTTTTCTTTGGTCTGGGCACTGCTCTGTATGTATTAGTTTGTTCTCTTAATTCTGCGCCCTCTCTCAAAGCAAATTTGTAGAGTAAGAGGGCGCAGAATTATGTGAACAATTTAATAAATTTATTAAAATGATAACTAATCAGCTTTGTTTTACACTTTTTGCAAGTAAAAGCTTTCGTTGTGGGACATAAGCAGGTCCCCTAAATTCTTCGTTCAAGCTCGGCTTTTAAGTCCGCACACTCCGGCATAGTCTATGGCCTCTTTTCACTTTTAGTTGTAGAGTGTATTTTTTAGTTGTAGAGAGTATTAGTCGACATGAAGGCCATTTTCAGGTTATCACGATCACCGTGCGGTTCTAAAAATGGTTTTTTATTGTTTTAATTCTAGGCTGGGGCAGGCCTAGTCTGATCAGTAATTTTTGCCATTCCAGCTACAGTTTTTGCTGTTAGTTTACATATTGCGTAGTGTATCAGAAAATTGATATCAAAAATATTTTTAAAAATATACACAAACCTTTATCTTCACGTTTTTAGAGTTAATAAAAAACATTTTTAAACGTGTTATCGTTAAGAACTATTTTTTAGACTGTAGTTTTGTATTTTAAGTATAGATACTGTAGATTGGGGTGCTAGGGCCATTTCCAGAGCTAGGGTTCGGGCTAGAACAAAAGTAATTTTTTAATACAAATTAATATAAGAACAAATAAATTGATAGATGATATAATATAATCTAAAACAAATATTCAAAGAATTTTTGTAAAAAAATTTCAAAGAATTTCGATGTTTTGTTTTCTATACCTTTAATAACTAGATTAGATCATTTTGTGTTTCAATGGCGAAAGATCACAAAAGTTAATCGCTGATAAGGCGATCGAACTTAATTACTCAGCACAACTTGGCTAGTCCACGAGGGTTCTGAAAATAATCAGCTAAGCAGATTAAAATTCGAGCACATTCTGTTTAAAGTACAAATGATACTGTTTTGACTAGTTTTTTGACAATTTTGAAAATAGACCTGTAAAGAGGCCAAACTGGGCCAAATTTTTTCGCCCAATCCTTTTCAAACTTTATTTAGCCTAACCCAGGTCATTACGGAGTTAAGCCGGGCCTAGTAAGCCTTTTTTTAGTAGGTTTAGTCCAAAGAAGGAGTGTTAAGAGAAGGTATGTTTTAAAAAAGGAATCATCTAACGTGGAGCTCCTGTATAACGAACTCCTCTATGACAAAAATCCCGCATAACGAAAAACTTTTGAATCCTTGTCTATTCACTGCACAGTGCATTTAAAACTCTTGTATAACGAAACTCCTTTATAACGAACAAATTTCAAGTCCCCGAGCGATTCTTTATACAGGAGTCCTACTGTACTAACGTTTATTTGTCATCAAAATAGTAATTCCCATGATTATATTAACCACACCATAAACTCCAAGAAAACACTATCTTAACATCCCAACAACCTCAAAAAATTCTTCGCCGATTGTTGCACGTTGTTCGGCCTGATGTACGCGCCTTATCACCGCATTTTCCGAAACGAGAGTTATTTTGAAACACGTAAAAATGCGGGTTTTTTGCGGAAGCCTCCAATTCTTCCCCCCCCTCCCCAAACTGATAATGTTTATCACTGCACAATTCGAGGCTATAAATTACGTCCTAACGTGTTCATTGTCATTTCAGCCCTGTGGGAGCGGCATCGGAACATGTTGCTCCGGTCCAGTTTGGCGGTCCTAACCGTCGCTATTGTACTGTATTTGGGAGCGGCGTTGCGGTCGAATCGAGTACGAGATGTGTTGAAGCAGGAAAGGAATGTGGATCCGTTTTTGCGCGTGGACTGTGCGCCTAAGCCTGGAGCGTCGGAGGACGATTGCAGAAGACAAGGGTGCTTGTGGGGACCTATTGATGGCATGGTAAGGTTTTAACTCGTATCATTAAATTTAAAAGGTAGCCCAATAGGCCAAACCCGGGTTTTTTGAAACATTTAAAAGGCCAGGGGGGGGCACACGAAAATCTGAAAGTCAAACTCTAACCACGGTACCAAGGCCCGATTTTTTGGCCTGGTCCACCGGCTGAGCTTTCGTTTAAAACCGAACCCTTGAAGTCACATATGCCGTCTCGGGTAGGGCCTAGTGGGCTCTCTTTAAGGTCTAGCCAAGTCAAAACGAACTTGAAAGAGGCCGGGCTGGAGTGACACATGTAGGTCTAAAAGCTAAGTCCAAACCAAGGGCTAGCCTGTGAACAGCCAAATATAATGGGACCAGCCCTAATTCTTACAGGCTTAAGTTAGCCGCCATTTTAGGTTTATTGATTCCTTCTTATGATAAAAATAGCCAAATTACCATTTAAATTTTCAGTCCGACAGAAACATCCCCTACTGTCACTTCCCCCAAGACACTGGCTACGAGCACATCAAAAACCAAACCAACGGCTCAATCCAAAAATTCGAGCTTAAAAAATCAAAGGCTAGCCCAAAGAATCCGTACGGTGGAGACTACGACAGCCTGAGAGTTGAAAGCGAGCAAATTGGTAAAGGATTGAGAGTCAAAATTGGTGCTGAAAACGCCTATGAACCAGATGTTTACCTACAAAAACACGCTTCAATCGAATCCACTGACAGATTTATCTTTAACACCAGTTCCAACGATGTTTTTACTTTCACAGTAACCCGTGAATCGACTGGAGAACGGATCTGGGACACCTCCATTGGCGGCTTGATCTTTGGCCCAAAGTACATTCAACTAGCCACCCTGATTCCTACTGATAAGATCTACGGATTTGGTGAGCATATTCATCAAACTCTTCAGCACGACCTCAAGAAGTACCATACTTGGCCAATGTTTGCTCGTGATCAACCACCAAACTCGTACAACGAGAACTACATGAACTTGTACGGTGTCCACAACTTCTATATGGGCGTGGAAGAAGATGGCAAAGCTCATGGTGTATTCGTTCTCAACTCTCATGCTCAGGAAGTCACTACCGGACCAGGACCTCATCTGGTTTACCGTGCTATTGGTGGCCAGTTCGAGATCTTCTTCTTCCCTGGACCCAAGCCAGAAGATGTGATCAGACAATATCAACAAGTTATTGGTACCCCATATTTGCCCGCTTACTGGGCTTTGGGTTTCCAGCTGTGTCGATATGGTTTCTTGAGTCTGCAGGATATGAAGGACACTGTACAGAGGGTTAGAGATGCTAAAATTCCTATTGATACGGTTATTCCGGATATTGACTACATGGAACGGTACAAGGACTTTACTGTTGGACAAGACGTAAGTTAGACTCTTTTTGCCTTACCGTACCGTACTATACCCTACCGTACCCTAATGTACCCTATCCTATCCTACCGTACCCTTCCGTATTCTACCCTGCAATACCCTACTCTACCATAGACTACCCTACCGTACCTTACCCTACCCTATCCTAAGCACCTTAACGTACCCTAAGTAACTTAAAGACATTTTTCAGCGTTGGTCAGGCCTTCCAGACTACGCCGAAGAACTAGCCTCAATCGGAATGCACTTGACCGTCATTCTTGACCCTGCCATTCAAGTAGACTACTCCATCTTTGAGAACGCCAAGCGCCAAAACGTCAGCTTCCTCAGTTGGCCTCGCCCAGACCTAGTACAACACAGTACCAACAACCTCTATTCTCAAACACGCGACACCACTGACATGCTCGCTGTAGTATGGCCAGATCGTCACGTTGCTTTCCCTGACTTTTACGATGACACAAACATTACCGGTAACTGGTGGAAGGAAGAGATCAAGACATTGCACAAGCGTGTAGTCTTTGACGGTCTTTGGATTGATATGAATGAGCCTTCGGCTTTCTCGACTAACGATGAGCATCCATGGTACTACGACAACCCTGATCATCCCAACGACGAGCCTTTGTGGTGTCCACGTTCCGGCCCTGATGGTGAGTACGATGAGCCACCATACACTACCTTCGCTACCTACCAATTTGGCTATGGTGCTCCATTGTGTCAAAACACATTGTGTATGTTGGCTACGACCAACCGAGGCAAAGATATATTGTACAACAACAAAAACTTGTACGGTTTGAAGGAAACAATTGACACTTACAATGGATTGAAAGAAAGTACTGGTAAGAGAGGTCAAGTGATTAGTAGAAGCACCTTCCCATCCAGTGGAAGATACGCTGGACATTGGTTGGGTGATAACACTGCTCGGTGGGAAGACTTGAGAACTACTGTAATTGGTGTGCAAGAGTTTAACTTGTTTGGACTGCCTTTTGTTGGCTCGGATGTTTGTGGATTTGTTGCTCCAACTAACGAAGAGTTGTGCTTGAGATGGCAACAACTCGGCGCTTTCCATAGTTTTTACAGGTAAGTTAGCTTAAGGTTTACTTGAAGTAAACCAGGAAACTTAAATAAAACTATCCTATAAACAGATAAGGGTTCAATAGGCCTAGAGATGACTATATAACTCAAACGTATCAACAATCTCATTCCAGAAACCACAACGCCATCAACAACCCACCACAAGACCCAGCCCAATGGCCATCCGTAGCCGAAGCCACGCGCAAAGCCAACCACTTCCGCTACCGTCACTTGCCATACCTTTACTCTCTTCACTTTGCCGCTTCTCAACGTGGTGGCACAGTCATCCGACCAGTCTATTTTGAGTTCCCTCAAGATTCAGAAACCTACGAGCTTAGCTACCAATTCATGTGGGGACCAGCCATCATGGCCGCGCCAGTCATCTTCGCTAATGTTGATGAAGTTCGTGCCTACATTCCATACGACTCAACATGGTATGCTTTGTACGGTAAAAAGTACGGTCAGACAGTGGAGAAAGGCTTCAATTACTACGAAGCTCCAATCAACACATCTGCTCCAGTATTTATCCGTGGTGGCTACGTCATTCTACGTCAGGTACCAGCTATGACTACGAGAGACTCACGCAAAGGTAACATGCAGCTTTTACTCACGTTAAACGAGAACGTTCTGAATAATGGTGAAGAAGGTCCGAACGCTCAAGGAGAGTTCTATTGGGACCAAGGAGACAACGAGTACTATCAGGACGGTTGGATTCGTCAATACGACCATCAACATTACACCTTCAACTTTACTGTAAACGAGCATGAAGCCACTTTGAACATTGTACTAGATAGTCAATATCAACAGTTTGTTGAACTGCCCAAGTTCGACGAAATTGAAGTGTTTGGTTACCCAAAGAATGTCAACTTTAACAGCGTTAAGATCAATGGCAAGGCTGTTACAGTATCTAAACAACAGTCAGGCTACAGTCCGTTTACCAAGCTTCTACATCTGAACGCTCCAAATGGCTTATTCAGCTTGAATAAGGGTGAAAATCAATGGAAAATAACGTGGAGCAATGTTTAAATGATGTTGTTGTAAACCAAAGTTATATTTATTGTATATAATATAGTTACTATGTAATAAAGCATATTAGATCTTGAAAATTAATACAAGTTAAAAATTTTTTTATAAAACCTTACCATACCCTACCCTACCCTATCCTACTCTATCCTACTCACTCTACCCTACCCTACTCTACCCTACCTTACTCTAATTGTATGTATAATATTAAACAAGAAAGCTATAAATTAGGCGTAAGTTGATCATTATTCATTACTGTTTCATTTCTCGTTAATTGAATTCGTCAATAATCTTTTACCTTTAGAAAAATTAAACTCCTATCCTTAAACTTTCTCACACTAAAACAGTTATGAAACCTTAGATGTAAACAAAATATTGCGGCTTTGAAATTCATAACAAGTGCAGTTTTATTATACATATTAACAATAAAATATTTGTAAAAATCTTTATTTTACCACAAAATCATAGAATAAAAAATATGAATGGTTATCAAACAAAGCAAAATAAACTATAATAGATATAATTCTCGATTAAAAACAATAAGAGATCAAGTATACGAAATGTCAGCCAAATTATGTACAATAAAAAGAAATAAAAATTAAAAAAATTAAAAATGTAAATTTAGTTTTTAAAATTATACATCATTTTAAAAAAAAAACAAGATCTGTACAGTAATGTAAAAACTTAAAAAATATTAGGCTAATACAGCCCTAAAAGCCATTTACAATCCATTGCCAGTACCAAAAGACACACTAAAAGCCCTGTCGCCATAGCTATTGTATCCGGAGTTCGAATAGTAGGGTGATCCGTACACGCCATTACCACCACTATAGCTGTACCCGTACTGTGGCCGGCACGAAACTATTAACAACCATGATAGTAAGACCAGTATCGTTCGACAAAGATATAACGGATTCATTCTGAATTAAAGTTGTTATAAACGGTCCAAGGTAATTGCATATTTCGATAAGGTATGTTTAAAGTCGGCGCGCTATAGCAATACAAGTAGGTTAGTATTAGACCTAAAAGATTGGGGCTTACTAAACACAGCTTAACACTGACCAAAAAATAGTTTAGTGGTAGAAAAAAACAGTTCCAAAAGAGCAGCCCAGCCTCTGTTTGTGCCGAAACGAACTTGAATTAAAGCTGACCCATATTGTGTGTGAGCTTCAGGCAAGGCTGGGCGGTGACTTTTGGTCTGGGGACGGGGGTCGAAAAAATCGGCACTGTACCGATTTTGCTTTTTAAAAATCCACAGATGGAACCACGTTCAATCGTTTTCCAAAACTTTTTTCTGGGGGGAAGGTACTCCCCCCCCGTCCTCTCCCCCCCCCCTCCGTCCTCCCCCCCCCCTCCTCGCGCCCGGCCCTGGTTTCAGGGTGCAACTCCCTGCTTCCAGGACTGCTTAAAGGCCCAACTTAAAAGACCGAACTAAAAGTTGAAAAATGACCTGGCTGAGCCCGCACATGTGAGTCAGGGCCGTCGCGAAGAGACAAGCCGAACCCTTGGTTTTACCTATCTAGATTACCGGTTATTCAAAACACAGAAGCAATATAATACATGTTGTACTAGTTACTATTTTAATGTATTTCTAACAAACTAAGCCAAAGCAAAGAAATTTTGGAAAAAGCCAGGCTAGAGTTTAGGGATTCATGTGTCAAGCCGAATAACGCAGGTTGGCCCCTTTACAGATCTAAACAAAGCTTAGTCTTGCCCAAACGCCCAAGCCAAACAAAAATTCATGCAGTCCCAAAAGCTTGATTTGAAACAAAGCCAAGTAGGCTAAGCTACCATAGTTTTTTAAATAAAACTTTAAATTTAGTAGTGATAAACGCGACCACATTCGAAGCAAAGAGCTACTCAATACTGTTCTATCATGGGATTCTACCCAAAACGCACTAAGAACCAAAGACAATGACGTTACTGCTCTCATATGAATTACAGTCCACAGTCAAGTTAATCAAGACACGTTTAGTGCACATAAACAAACTTTACACCATATGTTTATGACATCTTTCTCATAGCTATAATTAGTTTCTATACATAATTCTGTACCCACTTTTAAAGCAAGTTTTCAAAATTAAGAAGCTCAGGAATATTTGAACAAATTAACGTTTTTTAAAATTTATAAAATTGGTCAAGACAATAAATGTAAAAAAACTAAAACAAAGTAAAAACCAACACTTTGAAGCTCTATGAACATTTGAGTTGTGATAAACACTAATGTTGTAATAAATACATGTAGAAGGCAGCCATTCAGGTTCTTCTGATATGTTTGTGGAAAGGTTTCGCTCCCGCTTCTATCATATTTTGTTAAAACAAGCACTTAATTACGCAATTAATTTTTGCTTTCAAACGATTAAAAATAAGCTTATACAACTACTGCATAAACACTGTATACAGTTACGTTTTAAAGCCTGAATATATTATTATATGTGATAATACAAAAATATCGTAAAACTTGTATAATTACCAGGCCTTGCTTTGAGGCCTACAAGAAAAAGGTCTCTACCGTGAAATGGATTGGTGAAAAAGTGCTAATCACAAGCTATAGAGCATTGCCAAATTAATTAAAAAAAATTCAACTCGCGTGGGGTTTTAAAATAATTTTATTTGGTCAAAGCTTCGCTTTCATACTTCTGTCCTCTGAGTACCAAAAAATCTACTAATTTGACCATGCTCTACAACTTGTACGTACCATTTTTTCACCAATCCATTTCACGATGGGGACCTTTCCTTGTCAGCCCTGGAATTCAAATACATCAGGTCAACTCCTTTAAATTTGCTTTAACTCGGTCCGGCTTTTTATATAAGTTCTTTAAGACAACTGAGACAACTTCTACTGTACTCTTTATAGGTCTTTAATAACTAATGACTTAACGTTTTTAATTTTTAAAAACAATTCAAAATCTATTCTTAAGAGACATCAGATTTGTTTGACATCTTTAACCTGTCATATTTTTTTTATAACCTACGCTTGGCTTCTAGGATTTTTATTGATATTTAGGCTTTCTCTTTGGGCTTACATGTGCTAGCCCGACGTTTTTTGAAGGTCTTTGCTGAGCCGGTTGAACCAAACCAGGATTAGTGGTCACTTTTCAAGTCAACTTTTAGGTATAAAAAAGCGCCTAAATGTGCCAACTGGCTCCTGTGTTTCGGCCCGGTTTGCAGCGCGATTAACCGAGGTTACGCCAAGCCCAGTAGGTAAACAGGTCTATTTGTACAAAAGAATTACGTATTAAAACTAACTAAAGTTTTGGTTCGCATGCCCACATCAACTTGTTCTTTATTATATTTGCTTCCCCCGGCCTGAAACGAGCTAGACCATAGCCGGGCTTACTAATCCGTCTTTTAGGTCTAATACAAAACCATAATACTTTAATAATCTAAACTTTCTTTTTAGTTCTTTTTTAAAAGTATAAAGGCTAGAACATTAAGTTTTTTTAAATCGAAAGACCGTTAAGCAGCTCTTCAAAATCGGCGGATTTGTTTCGTTTATGTTTTACTCTGTAAATGGTTACAACACTATGAAACAGATTTTCAGTAAGAGAAACTTTTTAATTTTAGCTGGTGTTTTTGTCGTATACTACTATTCTTCTAGCTATAAACGTCTAAATGATACGTCAACACTGCCGATGTTTTTGAAATTTGAACAGAATTATTATGTAAGCTCGTTATTTTTGTATATCACACTGTAACTTCTGTATAATAAACTTTTTCAGTTATTTTAAATTTATTTGTTATGAAGAAGTTTTGGTATAGAGTTTGTTATACAGGATTCGCGGAAATTTTCATTTATAGCCATGCAAAACGTATTTCAGGTATCTCAACAATATTCTTTTACGTTTTGTGCAACAGCCCATAATCTTCTGGACTATACGGCAGGTGTAGCCTGCTGCTTACATGATTGGAAACAGTTTAGGAAAAATAATTATGCTTTGCTTTACTTTGATCATAATAAAACGTAAGTGTTTTTTGCAAGATTATGTTATAATAATTCTTTTAAAGTGCAACTTTTGTATAACAAATTCGTCTATAACGAAGACTTAACTATAACAGACTCTTGTATAAAGAACTCTTTTGTAAAAAAACGGAAACCTCTATAATGAACTCTTCTATCAAGAAATTCTTGCATAACGAACAACTTTAAAATTTTTAGCTAATACTACACAATGCATTTTGCATTTGTAACTTCTGTATATCAAATAGACATGAGAAACGGGGCGGACCGGGCCTGAATGTTAGGCCTTTTCGAAATTTTGCTCAAGGCCGGCCCGGCTCGGCTCGTTTCTCATGCCTAATATTAAACCCTTTTCATAAAGAACAAATCTTAAATCCCAGATCAATATGGCATACAAGAGTTCCATTGAACGACATTTTGTTATGCAAAAGCTCTACTGCTTATTGAAAAAAAGAAGATTATTGTATTTTACATGTTCTTAATTTTTAGGTCATGTGAAAACAACGGCGACTATTTTCCGCCGGCTAAACTAACCTCTCTAATTAAAACACAGCCAAAGAAATGGACAAATGTTGTTCTACTAATAGAGCCTATATACCGATTTGTTTCAGCTTATTACAAGCTTTGTGTCAAGTAAGAATTTTTGAAAAAGTCCTGTTTAAAATAATAATGGTACAGTCGAACGCTTTTGTTATAACAAACTCATCTATAGCAAAAATCTTGGCACTTCACTATACAGGAGTTCTACTGTAACATATTATTTATAGTATTTACTTTATTTGCTTTCAGCACCGGCCGAACCTGCTATTCTTGCGAAACTATAAACTGTATGCTAAAAGTTTTGTTAGAACGAATGACTGACATTGGCAAAGGAGCAACACCAACCAAAATGGATATGCGTTTTATTCCACAAAATTGGTCAGTATTTTACTTTTTTTTCTTTTTTTAACCATAGGATTCTCGCGGCATTTCAATAAATCGAAAAAATTTAAGTGTCAAAAGCCTTTGTAGTCTACAGTACTTTTTTAATCTTTCAGGAAATGCAACAACTTGCCCGACACTCAACAATCAGTCAATGTTGTTCTTGATCCATGGACAAAAGAAAAACGAGACGTGTTTATTCACAACCTGATCAACGTTTTATACGCAAATCAAGTGGCTTCAAAGACCGTTAACAACATAGTACAAGAGAGTAGTGAATACTTTAATGACAAGTTCTTAACTAGAGAATACTTTTATTTAGTAGAAGAAATACGACAACCAGAGAATATGAGGTTGTTCAATCAGCTTTATGGCAATGACTACAAGTTGTTCTTTTTTGAGTAATAAATGTATTAGCTACTGTAAGGAGGTCTGTAAAAGGACCAACCCAGGTTTTTTCTCACACGGGCTGGACCTGGGTTTGAGCCCGAGCCTACGGGCCCACGTGTGCCGGTACGGTCTCCGTGGAGTAAAATATCTAATTTTAAAAAGCTTAAAAACAAGTTAAAGATTATTTATTGTTAATTCAAAAACATTTATTTATTTAAATAAAGGCATCTAATAAACAACTGTAAAATATTATATAATGAGATTACAAAGTTACAAAACTCGTAGTCGGGACGTTACTGGACTCACATTATTCATACGGCTTTCAAAAAATTCATTGACAATGCCCTTACAGTACTTGGGCAAACTTTTCTTAAACGACAGGTTGATTTCAAATGACTTTGGTACACACATGCGGGGATAGTCAAATCTGAAATTGGTTTTTTTTGTACTACCTTAAAATTTGTCTTTAAAATTTTTTTTTAAATGTGTGGGGTTAGAAGCCGCAGAAGTATGTGAACAATCTAATAGAACCGAAAGAAGACCCAATATGCCCAGTACATAGACCTGAATGGGCTTATTTAATATACCTAAAAAAGGACCGAGCCTACTAGGCCCAGTAGGTATCTAAATCTGAAAGTGGGCTTACTAGGCTCAGCACTGGGCCGGGCTGGAAGTAACTTGGAAAAAACCGGGTCGCGTCGACACACGTGAGCCTGAGGGCGGAGGCCCAAAACCAAAGGAAAGAATGTGGTCCTATTACGCTCAGCACGGGCTACACCGAAGTAACTTTGGAAAAAACAGGGCCGCGCCGACACACCTGAGCTCGAGGGTCGTACCAAACAAAAAGCTCACATGGCGGACCAAAAATTTAGGTTTGGCTCTGTACAAGTCTCTATATACTTAAGTATGTACCTTTTTACTTTTTTTTATTTTTTATTTTGCACTTTGCCTCTAACCCACTCAAAGTAATAAAAAGTGAGTGCAAACACTATCAATTGTTTAAAAATTTATTTATTCATACAACAGATTAAAAAAACATGCTAGTATATGAATAACAGAATAATACCCGCGTATAGTTGTTTACTTGAAAAATATAATTCAACCAGAAACAGGTAATTATTCAGATTAGCATATCTTATTAGTATTGCAGATTAAAAGTACTTTATTTAGTATTGATATGTTCATATTGAGACTTGAGTAGGTACTTTTAAATACTTTTTAAATCCGTTACAAGGTAAGTACTTATTGGAATTATGTATTAACTGAAGTGGCATTATAATGCATTAGTGTTAAAAATGTTTTTTTTAAACAAACAAGTTACTTTAGATTTGCTGGTTTCACAGTATGCCAACTTATTTATTTTTGATCTTTACAGTATGCCACTGTACCAGTTTGTTTAATTTCGAACTTAATAGTATGCTATTATGTTCAAAAAGCTAAAGATTTGCATTCCTTAGTGAGAGCATCGTGACCATATGAATAGTTGGAGTCAGTTTTTTAAAATATGTAACAAAGACGGCTTATAATAATCCAATCAAAATCTTTTCATTGTTTTTTTATAAGGCCTCCTACACAATGAGAAAAAAATATTGGCTTCTAGTTAGTAAAAGTAGTAAATCAACCGGGCTGGCCCCATTTTTCGGGCCCGCTCTTCAAGTGGTCTTTAATTTAGGGATTCCCCCTGGGCCCACATGTTCCGGCTAGGTTAGACCTACTTTCAAGTACAGATTTTTTTACAGTTTTCGCAAGACAATCTCTTTCATTGTGGTACCAAGTTGTCCCTTAAGGACTATGGTTTGGATCCGGCCCTTGGGTTAACCTACGTCGGCTCAGCCAAACTTCCTTCAATTGTTTTTTGGGTTTGGTCTATTTCAGATCTAGTCCTATCAGCTTTTAGTAATACATAAACCTAGTAGGACCTTTTTACAGGCCTACTTCGCTTAGAAATCCCATAAATTCCTCAAAAATTTAAAAACTTACTGCTTGGGCTTATAGCAAATATGCTCCTTTTCGCAACCACCACACTTATTTTCGTCGATTTGAATCCATTCCGGGTGCTCCTGAGCAACCACCAACCCCACGGTCAAAATAAAAAAAGTAGCCAGCTGCATTAGGGTCAACCAAAAGCTCGGACTGACGGGCGATAAAAAACCGCTTATGAGACAAAAATTCGACACGATAAACACATGTCCAAAGGAGCCGGTCAAATTTCTAAAAAAAACGTCGATTTACGTAATTTTAGATGTCTAAAAGTCCTGGAAACGTGATTTTGATATAGACGACAGTTTGGGAAGATCAAGCACGTCACAGTGATTACGTGGATTTTTCATGAGAAAACACGTGAAATTTTTGAAATAACTCGAAATGATAAATGCATTAACGTATGGTTATTAAGAAACCGCTTGAAACTTACAGTACTATTAAACTGTTCATAATTCAGTGCTCCTCTTAAAATAATTTACCGAGATTAAGGGACACAGACATAAAACTTTTAAAAGTACTACTGCAAGCATAAAAAAAATTTTTTAGGCCAGACCTAACCTTGAGATCAGATTCATTTTACGCTTTTCGCAAATCAAATCATTCGTTGCAAAACCTAACGTGTCCCCTTGAGGCCTTCATTTAGAACCCTGTCTTCTGGCCTGCAAGATCCGTATCGTCCCGGACTCTGTAAACCTTGTTTTACACGGGCCTAAAGCAACACCTAGTAGGCCTACGTTTAGATCTGTAATCTGCTGGCAATCCGGCCGGGCCGATTTTTCAACTCACAAGGAAAGAACCCTACCTGCCCCGCTCAGAATTAGCTCAAAATTTTTATATGAATTCTTTGTACCACCAATAGTACCCATAAAAAATTTTAGCTCGCGTTCTTGAGTTTTAAATTTAAATTATTTGGGTTTCCCGCCAATTTGGCAAATTTGGCATTGTGTTTCAAGCACTTTTTTTGGCTTTCCAGACAAGATACGCTTACAAATTTAAAAATATAGGTTCATTTAAAGGTTATCTACTAGTATATTAAAGAAAAATAATTAACAGTCAAAAAATGACAAAGTTACAAGCTTAAAACACAATGCCAAGTTGGCGAGAAATTCAAAATGTCATTTTCCAATCTCGATTTTCTCGAGATTTCTTGGAAAAGCGCGATTTAGTACTTTGCTGAAGATCTTATATTATATTTACATGATCTTTCTGTATAAAAAGTTTAAATTCAATCAGAGCGGGGCAGGTCAGGCACTTTCCTTGTCAGCCCGGTTTGTTTCTATTTTTTTTAAGTTTGTCTGGCTCGGCCCGCCTAAATTCAGGTCCAATTGCCAAGTCTAAATCAGCTTTTTTTCAAATGTGTTATGGTTCAGCAAAAGTCTAAGACATCATTACGTTGTAAAACTTTTAAACACCGCTAGATCTGATCCGGCCCCATTAAGATCCCGTTCAGGTTTAGTACTACCATTTTACATAAAAAATTAACCCATATCAAATCCACTTTTTATGATATCATTGCGTAACATTAGTAAAAACGTACAGTTTCTACTCACCAATTACTCCCACAAATTTTGCAATAGTAATTAGACTACGCGGTATACGGTAAGCCCACCCACAGTTAATTGACTATAAATTGTGAAAATCTATTTTACACTTTGATGTTGTAATCTTCTTCAAGAGGGCTTAGACTTATTGTCAATTATCCGTGTAGTGATTCCGCTTAACCAACAAACACAGTATTGTAATCAAGTTATTTTTAGTTTTTAAGTTGCGTATTTTGCTTTGTTTATTGTAAAACAACTATTGTAAACAGCTTGTAAAAACTATTGTGCTGAGAATTAAATCTTTTTTGTTTCTAGAACAAACATAAAAATGTAACGCTAAATTGTCGTATCGTTTGCGTTGGTAAAAAAGCTTCCAGCAACTATGAAACTGTAATTGAGAACGTTGAAGAACCTTTAAATGAAGGATATTTAGATCGTTTTAGTTTAATATAACAAAAATCCCGTAAAACGACGTCGTATTCTTGAAAGAACACAATGTCAAGAACTGATCAATGCATCATATTGTATGGTTGGTAAAGCGTCCATGTAAGCAAATATATGTTAGAAGCAATTGATAGACCGTTCTAAAATGGATTTAAGTTATGAGGATTATGGCAAACCGGTTTTTTTGTCTACACAGGCTTTCGACTACGACTTGAGTTCTTGTGGAGCTGATCATCATGACTTGGTGGCTCGAGAAACAAGATCACTTGGATTTTCTTAATTGCGAATAATTACAATCTATTTTTATTTTTAAGTGCTACAATATAAAGTACTAAATGTTTGTTTAAAATTTGTTTATGCAAAACGGCAAACACGATTTGCAAGCGTCAGTTTCAAAACAACAATATCGTATGTTTTAATAAGTTCCTTTGTCCGAATGTAACCGAATCCTATTTTTTATGGAATCTACTAGTTAGTTTTTAGCGCGAGGAGGTAGTTTTGACTGCTTAATATGCAAGTGAAATGTGAGAAGTTTGGTGTTGAAAACATGAGGAAACGTTGATGTCAGAAACGTAAACATGATACGTTCGACCTGAAGTGTAATTGAAATAAGTGTTAAATATCAAACTTTTTATTCGTTTGGATCCGGTCTTTTGGGCGAACAGTTTCTAAGGCTAGACAAGCTAACTTAAGGTAAGACCTCTAAAGAAGCCGGCCCTAGTTTTCAAACGTTTCGTTGCGGAACCTAAGCTAAACCTTTGTGGCTACGGTTTGGGCCCTGGACCGGTAGCATATCTGTGCAGGCCTGACCTCTTTGAAGGTAGACTCTCTTTCAGGTCTAGATAAAAACCTAATACGGTAAATTTTAGGCAGCAAAATGGATTTAAGAAAAAGGAAGTTTTACATAATCTGTAACTGTAGTTTGTAAAAACAGTTTTTCGTTTTTACAAAGTATTAAACGTTACAAAATCGGATAAAAAATACATATAAGCTAAACATATAACCGGCTTACTGTTGCCTACGTTGTAATCAGCGTTATTGATTTAACAAACATCCCAAAGTAATATATAACCCTTGAATTATATACTTTTAATTTGTACCTTGGGCGAAAACCTTAAATTTTTGTCCACGAAAAATCTCTCATAATTTTGTGCGTTCTCTAATTTTTCTCTAATGCCGACGGCAATCAGACAAAAAAAGGGATCACATAAAACTATGAGAATTTTTTCGTGGACAAGAATTTAAGGTTTTCGTCCAAGGTAAAAATTAAAAGTATATAATTCAAGGGTTATATCCTTACAAGCTAGGGACACACATTTCAATATTAGTGTATTCAATATTAGCATACTGTAACAGCAGTAGACCTGTACAAGTGTCGGGCCTCGTTTTTAAGCCCGGCCACTTTCAAGTTGACTTTGGCCGGGTAATAGGCCTTTTATCAGGTCTACTTTAGTGAATTACTGTGCTGTGTTACTAAGACAGTGTAAGGTTTGCACGATTCGAAACCTTTTATTGTATCTCTCATGTGGCACTGATACCAATTAATTTGATGACAGTGTAATCAAATGGCAAACATTTTCAAAAATATCAAAGATAACCTTAAAGCTTATTATTCGTATGAAACCATGGTTTAGCGCAGCTCTTTTTTGTATGAAATTTTACGATTAACACGATGATTTCTGGCTTGAAAAACTTAAAATTTATCTTTTTTTTGATGTAAAGTCAAAACCTTACACAAAATAAGGCTGAATGAGTACTGCATCAGTTGGTTACAACTAACAAGGAAAGTACCCGACCTGCCCCGGTCTGATTGACTTCAAACTTTTTATATAAGAAGATCATGTAAACATAGATCTTCAGCAAAATACTAAATCGCGCTTTCTAGGAAATCTCGAGAAGATCGAGATCAAGAAAATACGTTTTGAATTTCCCGTCAAATTGGCATTGTGTTTCAAGCTTATAACTGCCGTTTTTTGAATTTTAAGAATTTTTCTTTGATATACTGGTAGAAAAGTTTTAAACAAACCCTACATTTTTAAATTTGTAAGCGTAGCTGGCCTGTAAAGTCGAAAAAAATGCATGAAACACAATGCCAAAATTGCCGAATTGGCGGGAAACCAAAATAATTTAAATTTAAAACTCAAACGCGAGCTAAATTTTATTGATACTATTGGTGGTACAAAGAATTCATATAAAAGTTTTGAGCTGATTCTGAGCAGAGCAGGAAGGGTACTTTCCTTGTAAGACTGGAAGAAGATGGGTCAAAGCAAGATTGAAAAGAGCTGGGCCAAAAAATTGGGCACGGCTTCTTTACAGTCTACTTATTATACAACACACTTAAGGTAAAAAACAATAATCACAGCAAGGTAAATGTTAATCAGTAAAGCGTTATTAAAATTTATATATAACTGCTTCTAAGCATAAGATATTACTTGTAAACAAAGTTTTTCAATTAGTAAAAAATTTAATCTGTAACTAACTGTATGGATTCAAAAATAAATTAAAATTATATTTTATACATTCAAAGCAACAATAAAAAAAGCCTTTAATACGTTTGTTGTTCTGGCTAAAGTTCAGAATAGATTAATGTTGCTTCAAACTTTTTTATCGCCCGCGCAATTGTGAAACCTTGAATACATAAGCGGGTTTGTGTCCGCATTAGTTTCCGGTCAGTTACCTTAATATTTTAAATTAAATAAATTGTTTTATTTTGTTCGACCCGTTCTCTTGACTAGTCTGGCTACATAAAATGTAACAAAACAAGAAATAAATTTTTTAATTATATATATACAATAACTTTCTGTATTGTTGTAAAAAACGTTCAGTTTATTAGTTTTGTATAAAAGAATGAGTATTTTCCTTTATTTTGAAAATGTAACTTGTTATATAATAGTAGCCTGCACATTTTTCAAATTTAAAATTTCTGGCGCTAGCTACAGACTTTGCCTTTTTAAATTTTAGCTCCGACTTTAGCGTTGGAAGTAAGAGTCTTGCCAAAGCCATCACAGTTTCAGCGATCTTTAGTACTGTAATTAGACATTTTTTGATTTCAGCATCAGCTCTTTTTCTTACTGTAGTTAAGTAACATTACCAAGTACGCTTTTTTGCAATTTAACATCATTTAAAGTTTAATTTGGTTATCTTATGTTTACTTTCCTGACTTTCTCTGAAATAAACTCAATTCTAACTGTCATTAAATGACAAATAAATTAATTTAACCACGTAATTTTATTAACAACTTTGAATAGAATGTGGAACTTCTGTATAACACTACACAGTGAATTTAAAATTTTTGTACACCGAAACTTTTTCATGACATACAAACTAATCTGCTACTGTACGATAATACGCACAATGCACTATACGATAATACATCACAATTTACTGTATCTTGTACCTCCATTGCTTCCGTATAAACACTAAAATTAACAAAATCTGCGTATGTTGTAACATGGTAATTACAAACGTAAACGGCGAATTAGTTTCAAACCTTTACGTGCACAAGAAGCTTCTACAAAACATGTAAACAATGTCCTTGTGGCGAACTCTTGAGATTAAAGGTTAGTTGTAGGCCCGTGGCCACGCCCTCATTTTACAAGTTGAAACGAGTAGAAAATAAGATACACAAGTGTTTTTTGGATGTTATTTAAATCCCATAAGAGGGCGGAGTTGGCCCCTTTCAAGGTATTTAAACCGCGGCCATGTGGACAGGTAGTGACTATTTTTTGCAACTGTAATTATAAATGCACGGTAGTTTGTGGTAGTTGTGATAATATTTGATATTTTTGTGGTGGTTGTGAGCATTTTTGATATTTTTGGAGTAGTTGCGATTGCTTTTGATAGGCTTTGCTGTATTTAAGACCGGACTGTTGCGGTGATATATTAACGTAGACTGGAGTGTGAGGTATACTAACGTAGACAAGAGGGCTGCAGGGTTTTGGACAGCTTACTGTACAACAAAAAAAATTTTTTGGCTATACGTTACGCGTAGACATGTAAAAGTCCCAGACTCGGCTCAATTTTTTGGCCCTACCTACTGGTTGAGTTTTGTCTGAGATCCTGGCTTTCTAGACCACGAGTGCCGGTCCGGCTCCTAACATAATAAAAAAATTGTTCTTATGTAAAAAAATTGAAATCAGGTTAGTGTTAAACTTTGTTGCAAGTTAAGTTTTTTGTTGCGCGATACTGTGCTGAACCCTTGAAGCTTTGGTTCGGACTCCGGCTCTTGGAGCCGCTTGTGCTGACGCGGTTTTCCTTCAAGTTGGCTTTGTCTGGGCCTAGTAAGCTATCATTTAAATTTATCTAGGTTTAAATTTATTTATCAAGAGTTTTTTAGTACTAGAATGTTTTGAATTGGTTCTTTATACACAGAGAAAACGAACGGTAAAGTTTTGTAACAGAAATTTTGGCGCAACCTGTATATGGTTTAACTTGCTTTTTGTAAATCACAATATTTTACATTTTGTTGTTTTGAATGTAAAACGTTTCACTATTAGTTTCATAATAAAGAAAAGTTACCTAAACCCTCGTATTTCAGCGCAAATTCCGTAATTCAGCCAAAAAATTCGGGTGCTTTAACCAAAGTACAACAACTACCTCAACATAACCGACAATGACTATGCACAATAAGGAGCGAGGGCCCACCTTCACATTGCCTTACTCAACACGCCAACTGTTTATTGTTGCTTTTTGTATACTTTTATCGACAGAATCGACGGCCGAAAAGATACGAATCTGCGGCGAGAAATTGTTAGGAAAGCTTCAGGACTTGTGCACATTCAAGGTGGATGGCGAGTCGCTGGTGTGCTTTGCCGGTGGAGTTAAGCACAGATCACGAAGGCATACGGCGCAAGGTAAAAATTTTGTTTATGCTTTTGGGGAGGCTGGTATTTTACGAAACTTTTATGCTATAAATTATGGCTCATTACTTTTTGAACAACCAAATAAATAGCTTTAGAATTAAATTTCTTTTACATTTTTACTCTTTTTGCCAATAAAATCTTTCGTTGCGGGACTTGACTTGAGCCTCTGAAACCTTGATTTGAGCTTTTAAGACTTTTGTTTGGAATCCGACCTTCTGGCCCCACATGTGTCAGCCCCGCTTCTTTCATGTTTGCTTTGGCCGGGCCTACTGTGCCCGTTTTCAAATCTAGCTACCCACAAATGTTTTAGTCATTCACAAGCCTAAAATAACTTTCTAACTTCTTCATTTTCAGGCCGATCAAAACGAGGTATAGCAAACGAATGCTGCATCAAAACGTGTCATGTTGAGCAACTGAAAAGTGTGTGTTGCAGTCCAGCCGAGCTTGCCAAGTACGCTGAAAGAAGAAAAACTTGAAAATTGGATTAATGTTCAAGACAATACAATTTGTTAGGGTCTTTCTTTTAGCTTTTGTCTTACCTTTAACGTGACATATAAGTGCTAGGTTGTTCAAATAATTCTGAGCCCTTTAACTTTAAAAATGTAAGTATTAAGTGGTTCAAATAATTCTGAGCCCTTTAACTTTAAAAATGTAAGTATTAAGTCGTTCAATTAATTCTGTGCCTCTAACTCTAAACATAAAAGCGTTTGCTTGTTCAGATAATTTTGAGCCCTCTAGTCCTAAAAATTTTTTTGAGGCGGGGCACAAAATTATATGAACAACTTAATATTTCTATTTTTGGGACATTAGGCGGCGACATTTCTAACCACTTTTAATCCAACCTAGACATATTTTGCCTTTAAAATGGCATGCTGACATATCTGCTTATACTTTGGATACAAACATAACACGAACTTTAGACAACTTTCGCTTTGTTAATTAGACGTTTACGTCACAGAACGGAAACGGTTGAAAAAAAGTAGGATTACGTTTACTACGCAGCTGCTAAGCGTACTTACTACGTAGGGATTGATATTGATATATCGGAGACGTTGGGCTTAGTATGTAAATTTAGTCAGGCTTAGTATGTAAGTTTAGTCAGGCATAGTATGCAAATTTATTTTGTACTAGCTGTATAGCACTTAGAGTACTTAAATTTAAAATTTTTGGCTTTGGCTCAAGCTCTGGCTATGACTTTTTTAAAATTATAGCTCCGGTTCTGGTTCCAGCTCCAGAGCTAGAGCCACTATGAAGCCAGGAGCCGTCTCGGAGCTGAAGCCGAATCTTGAGTAAACTACCGAGTCTGTCGGAACTCTGAGCACTATTATATCATTTTTTAACAAAGAATAAGCCTAACTTATGTCAAGTTAAAGTTAGGCATAGTTATCTCAACAACACTTATTGTATTGCCCATCTAATGATCTCAACATCAAAGCACTAGGTCTCAGCAACTTATCATCACAAAACGGTTATTTTCAATTTTAATCAACATTGCCTTTTCTTAAATATAATCATCGCAACAATTTTTTAATTTTTTAAAATTTTTTAGCATTTTAAGTACTTTTTGTTCAAATAATTATGTGCCCACTCACAAAACACGTTTTTAAACTTAGGAGCACAGAATTTTTTGAACAAATGAAATAATATGTACTGTAAACTTAGGTTTTCTAAAGTATATACTATAATATTAGGCTTCATTTGTACTCTTGCTCCAACTGTGTAATGTCATGTTTTTGATCTCTTTCACTGTTATTTTTTGCTTTTTTAATGCTTTTACTGTTTTAAATTTGCTGTTTTTGTTGTTATTTTTGTTAATGTATTAAACTACTTGAAATATAATCGTACACTTGTTCGTTTATTTCAAATGTGGGAGAGATGGTTAGTTAAGTGGAACTTGTGTTTTTCAACGTTAACCTTTATAATGGCTTGCTTAATCGTACTTTAACATTTTTTAAATTTTGTAAATGAAAAATAAGATGAAAACTTTTAAAGTTTAGGTATACTGTAGTTTTAAATGCCCTTTGTAGTGTTAGCAGGGGATTTAAAAGTTTCAAGGTTTTGTTTTTATATAGTTTTGTTTTAAAGGAGTTTATTATATACGAGTTTCACTGTATAATTTACTCATTAAATACAGTAAAACTCTTGTATAACGAATTGCAAAAGAACTTTTAGATTGTTTTTTATAGAGAATATTGTTACAGTGCAACACCTGTAAAACGAATCGCTCGGGGATTTGAAATTTGTTCGTTATGAGGGAGTTTCGTTATAAAGGAGTCTTAAATGCACTGTGTAGTGGTAGACGGGGATTCAAAAGTTGTTCGTTATACAAGATTTTCGCTAAAGAGGAGTTGGTGATACAGGAGTTTCACTGTATATGTATATATGAATTCCATTGTAAGTTAAGTTTAATGTTTATAAATTGAACAAATAATAGACAAATAACAATTTTTTTTAAAATAGTTAAGTCACTCTTTTTAACCGCAAACTGTATACCATTAATACAAAATTAGTATTGTCTGTTATTAATAATGCTAACCAAAAACAATAGCAAAAAAACTGTGTTTTAAAGTTTCAATTGTACTTTACAATTAGCAAGTACAATGTTTCAACAACCTATCGTACAAAAATTACTTTTCAAAGCTTTTTGTCATTTAATTGCCGTGGTAACAGTATACAGCGTTTGAAAAATCTTTTTTTAATAGTACATATGTACACCTTCTTTGAAACAAAACTAAAGTATAAAAAAGTTGAAACTTGTGGGTATACTTGAAAGAGTTTCCAGTAGACTTGGCCTCGGCTCGATATCTATCTGCAGGAAATTAAAGGTCAGGCCGGCACATGTAGGTCCGAGGCCCACACCAAGGCTTAAGGGGCCTAGTTTTATTTATACATGGGGCTGGGAGGCGTAGAAAAAAAATTGAAAGCTGTCAGGCCGGAACATGTAGATCCATTGTCAAGATGCAAGCCAAGGCCTCAAAGACATAGTTTCATTTAGAAATATGAATGGACTAGCCTGAAGCAAATTTGAAAGAAGCCGGCTCAGCTTCTTTACAGGTATATCTGTAAGACAAACTTAAAATTACCCTATTTTTACATTTTAGACATCAAAACACTTTTTCATAGCTTACGCACTCAATTGCCTTAAAATAAATCTGTTTGTTTGTCTTTAAAGAAGGTTTTTATAAATGTACTGATGAACGAATGTTCTTTCGAAACCTTATTTTCAAGATCGTACACAGTGATAAAAAACAATATTTCTTGTAAAACAGCTTAGCTGCTACAGGTTTCGTATCATTTTATTAAGGTTTTAATAGCAATGACCTCAAAGCTTTTTGATGAGTTTTGCAATTTTAGGGCTTAAAACAGTGTTACTGTAATGCTGGGGTATGATGTATAACTTTTATGAGCTGTAAAAAGCCGGCCCGGTCTTGGACCAAAGCAATTGTTCGGCATAGATTAGGAATGGTTTGTGGGCTAGGCAAAAAAATTAGGCCTAGCCCGTTTTCTTTACAAATTAGCCTTGAGTTATAAAAAACTTTCAAGTGGCTGGGGCTGGGGCTTCGTTTTGCATCCACATGCTTACGGTAAAAAAGTGCACGCGATCGTCATCGATGACACCTAAATTTAACCGTACGATAATTTTCTCGTCATGTAAACACTAATTCAAACTCTACTCTACAATTAATTACGCACGTGTGTTTGCGCGTTTTCGCTTACAACTACTGATTAAGAATGTCGTGTAATGTTAGTAAAAAAGTTTTTTTTCGATAAATGCAGTTTTTTTGTTTGTAATTTTGAACATAAAAACTTGTTTGTTATGTAGTAGGGCTTGCTGCATATAGAAACAAGTTACAAATAATGATGTGGTAGTGTGATTTAGGCACGTTTCAATGCTTTAAATAACCGCTTCAAAAAAAGTTTGTGTTTCAGTGTAAGACTTCTTTGTTACACTAGATGGGACAAATTGTAACAGTGTTTTTAAATTCTAGTTTTTTATATAAAGATTTTTTTTAAAGTAAGGTGAAAATACAGAGTAAAACGCACGTATGTTTTATAAAAACTTGCTTTTTTTTGCAAATGTACTATTAATATTAAATCAAAAAAGCAACTTTACTATGTTTTCAAAACTACGGTACCAATTATTTTAAATTGTTACAAGTTATAAGTATGTATATGACGTACTAAAATAGCAGCTTACTGTATAAAACTCTGTACTTTAAAAAAATTTAAAAAACTATTTATAAAAAGATACTGTAGCTACGAAACAGAACGTGCTAACCGACAAAAATAAGTTTTTTGCTACATTTTCGAAATGTCAACGACTCTGACATTAATTTTTTTACAACGCAACAAAAGTTTAAAGAACAGTGTTTAATATAGCTTTCATCGCTACTGTAATTCCCCCCCCGCCCCGCGTACGAAAAGGTGGAAATCGCAACTTTACTAGCCCTAGCCTTAGTCTCAGTCGTAACCCATAGTCCTAACCTTGAACCCTAGTTCAGAGCCCTAGCCCAGAGCTCTAGCCCATGGTAGAAGAGAGAAAGGGCTTTGAGCTAAACTGACAATGTGAGGTCAAGCCCGGCCCGAAAAGCTAGGCCCGTTCGGGATTAAAAACTCGGGCCGGGCTGGCCTAAGGTAAAAATGAAAACGCCACAGGCTTAGTTTCAAGGCTAGCCTCAGCCCTAATCTCAGCGCTAGCCTCAGTCCTACCCACAGCCCTAGCCCAGTCCTCTAGCACAGAGCCCTAGCTCAGTGCTCTAGCCTAATGCCCTAGCCGCAGCCCAGATTCCTAGCCTCAGCTCTAGTTCTAGTTTGCCACAAACCACCCCCGAAGTTAATCTTAGGCGTGCAGTAATTACCCAATTAAAGCTTTGTACAGTAGAAACATTGTTTGTTGACCAAGTCAAGTTTATAGTACATTAGTAAAGTTATAATTTGTAGATACAAAACATGTCAGGCAAAAAAGTGTGTTTTGTTTTGTTCAGATGTACATCATAGTAAACAATACTACCATGTAATTTTCTTACTAATAATACTTTTTCTTGTCACTCGTTGTACCTCAACGTAAAGATAGTTGAGACTCAACAAGTGTTACACTTTTTACAAAAGAATACTAAAATACATGCTATTATATAACATCAATTTTGTGCTATTCTGTAAAAAAAACTAGTTGTATAATAAAGATAACTTAATTTTTGAACTGTGTTACATTAGAAAAGCTATGCTAAATTAATAACGATTGTATTATTGCAAAATATAAACAACTTTTTAATGTCACTTTATAGATTTAATACATGGAATTGTAGCTGTTGTTACAATAACTAACAAAAGTTGTACTCATTGTTACAGAAACGCAAACTTATTTACAAAACATTAGAACCGGAAGTAATTTGGACCTGAAAACGGTGTAAATTACTTTTAAAAACAATTTTTTACAATGAACAACTACACGTTTTTTTGATAGTCAAAAACGAATGATATTAGGGTTGAAAAAATCGGTGAGACTGAGGTTAGACTGGGGCTGTGGCTGGAGATGAAGCTAGAGTTGGAACTAGGCTTGGGGCTAACGCTGAGGATAATGCCAGAGCTGAAGCTAGTGTTATAGACGTGGCTGAAGCTGTAACTGAAGCTAAAGCTAGGCTTTCAAGGTAAGGCTGGAGCTGTGGCTAGAACAGGGGCTGGGGCTGAAGATGTAGCTGGAGCTGGAGCTGAAGCTAGGGCTGAAGCTGAAGCTGAAGCTGGGGCTGAAGCTGGAGCTGAGGCTGGAGCTGAAGCTGGAGCTGGAGCTGAAGCTGGAACTGAAACTGGAGCTGAAGCTAGAGCTGGGTCTGAAGCTGGAAGCTGGGGTTAGAACTGTAAGTAGAGCTGAGGCGGCGGCTGGGGCTGAGCCTGAGGCTGAGGTTGTAGTGGAAGCTGAGGCAGAGGCTAGGTCGGAGGTCAAAGCTGGGTCTGGGGCTAGAGCTGAGATTGGTCTAAGACTGGGGCCGGGGCTGCCTGCTTATTTTAGTATGCTACTGCTTAATATATTAAGGCTTAGCATAAAATGCTTAGGTATTGTAAGGGCACTGCCAAGTCCATGATCTATGCGTTAGATAATAACTGCCCGCAGAAATAAGAGGTAAAATCTCAGCACTCGCAGTCATTTGTTGGGTCGTTTTACACTGAGGCAAATATTACGGAAATCAGTAATATTGCATAAGAAAAGGTTGCGTAACACGAGTTTTTGCAATTTACCTAAGGATGTTTCGTTATATGATTACATGAGGTAACACCCCGAAATTTTCTTTTGTTAATCAGTTTTGAAATATTCTAATGTAAAAGTGTAATATAGGGGGGCTTTGGGCTAGCGACATAAGCTAGAGATCTGGGCTACGACTCTGGGCTAGAGCTCTGGGCTATGGCTCTGGGCGAGGGCGTTGGGTTGGGGCTCTAGGCTGAGGCTAGGGCTCTGGGTTGGGGCTCTAAGCGATGACTCTGGATTAAGGTTATGGCTACAAACAGTACTTTTAATTTAAAAACATCGAATTGTACGTAATATGTATAAGTTAACTGTCACCTTATATTACGTACTTGTTATAAGTACAAAACTATAGTGGTATTGTAAAAAATGGAAAAAAAGTTACAAAAAGCGTTATTTTTAAATTGATGTTGCTGCAGTTATAGTAATTGTAGTTAACTAAATTTACCGTGTATAGATTGTAGCCAGTTTTTTATTTGCTTATGTGCCAGTAAAAACCAGTCAGAGCTTGGGTGTGACTTTGTACACAGACAAGTGTTTCTTTCAAAGTTTTAAAGTCATTTTAAGTGCTCAAAGGTAATTTTGTGTTTGAATTAAAAGTACGGTAAAGAAAAATAAAAAATGTTTCTTGCCCTGTTTTTTAAAAGACGATTTCTGAGACGGTGAAGCATGGTGTGCACTAGAAATTGACCCCCTGTTTTTATCGTCTTAATGCATGAGATAAACCGTTTTAAGATGTATAGTGAAGTGTTTTTGCACAAAATGTCATTTTGACATTTTTATGACATTTTTTGTCAAAAACAGTGAAAATTTATAATAATTTTAAAAATTAGCAGAATGTTTTAAAAATTTGTACATTTATGTTTTTAACTATGCTGATTAAAATTGTAGTTGAACATTTTTTTCTAAAGTTACCGTAACCTACCGTAACCCAACCGGTCGATTAAAAAAGTGCAAATAAAAAAAAATTTAACACGGTTAGTCATAGTTAATTTTAGCATATTTGAAATCTACATGAAATTTGGGTTTGAATAGACGGTACGCTCAAACTTAAAGCTGCCAATTTTGGGGCTTTACGGCCGATTAAATAATTACGGTAGCACAATGTCAAAAAATTTAAAATTTTACTGACGCTTTGCTAATGCAATTACAAGTCTGCAAATTTGCATACGTAGGTTTTTCGTTACGCTGAATTACTTTGTAGTTTAAAATTTTTTTCTAAAGGTACCGTAACCTACCGTAATCCCACCGGTCGAGTATAAAAGTGCAAATATCCAAAAATTTAACACGGGTCTCCATAGTCAAGCTTAGCATATTTAGAACCTACATGAAACGTAGATATTGATTGGGTATAAGCACATCTCTAAAGCTGCCAGTTTTGGTGCTTTACGGTAAATTAAAAAATTACGGTGGCGTACTATCCAAAAAATGACCGTAAACCCCCAAAATTGGCAGCTTTAAAGATTATCTTATAGCCTTTCAATATCTACGTTTTATGAAGAATCTAAATATGCTAAAATTGACTATGACTAACCGTGTTAAATTTTTAGATATTTGCACTTTTATAGTCGACCGGTCGGATTACGGTAAGTTACGGTGCTTTTATAAACTTTTTGTAATTACCAGTTTGTTCAACATGGTAAAAAACATAAGTATGCAAATTTGCAGACTTGTAATTGCATTAGCAAAGCGGCAGTAAAATTTTAAATTTTTTGACATTGTGCTACCGTAATTTTTTAATCGGCCGTAAAGCCCCAAAATTGGCAGCTTTAAGTTTGAGCGTACCGTCTATTCAAACCCAAATTTCATGTAGATTTCAAATATGCTAAAATTGACTATGACTAACCGTGTTAAATTTTTTTTATTTACACTTTTATAATCGACCGGGCGGGTTACGGTAGGTTACGGTAACTTTAGAAAAAAATGTTCAACTACAATTTTAATAAGCGTTTTTTGAAACGTAAGTATAACAAATTACACGGCATTTGATATATTAATAATGGCACAGTAATTTTTTAATTTTTTGACCGTATCCTACCGTAATTTATTAATTGACCAAAAACCCCAAAAACTGGCAGCTTTAAGTTTGAGCGTACCGTCTATTCAAACCCAAATTTCATGTAGATTTCAAATATGCTAAAATTGACTATGACTAACCGTGTTAAATTTTTTTTTATTTGCACTTTTTTAATCGACCGGTTGGGTTACGGTAGGTTACGGTAACTTTAGAAAAAAATGTTCAACTACAATTTTAATCAGCATAGTTAAAAACATAAATGTACAAATTTTTAAAACATTCTGCTAATTTTTAAAATTATTATAAATTTTCACTGTTTTTGACAAAAAATGTCATAAAAATGTCAAAATGACATTTTGTGCAAAAACACTTCACTATACATCTTAAAACGGTTTATCTCATGCATTAAGACGATAAAAACAGGGGGTTAATTTCTAGTGCACCTGCCTGTTTCAGGCGGCTTCACTGTCTCAGAAATCGTCTTTTAAGACTTTTGTTGAACCTTTCCCTCTTATAACATCACTACTGCGCCCTGGAGACATAATTCGTTTAATAATCCTTCTGCGAATTATAGTCTATTAGTTTGTAAAACCAAGTGCAATGTTGTAAACCAAAGAAAAAAGGCCATGTTTTACACAACCGGCTTACATACATACAGTATTCTTATAACTAAAAAGTGTAAATTTTTTAATTGCATGCTAAGGAGTAATGTAATAGTTTGCTTAGTTTACAAAGAACTATTAGCACTGCAAGGGCAGGTGCACAGACCAGTTCCGTCCAGCCTAGCGTAGTTTCTTTTAGCCCAGCTCAGTCCAGCCCAGCTCAGCCCAACTTAGCCCAGTCCAACCCAGCCCATCCCATCCAAGCTGAGCCCAGTACAGTTAATTTAGTTCAGTCCTGTCCATTCCAGCTCACCTAGCTCTGCCCTGCCCTGCCTTTCGCTGCCCAGACCTAATGTGGCCTGACCAGCCCAGTGTAACTCAGCCCAGCTTAGCCCAGCCCATCCCTTCCCATCTCATCTAGCTCTGCTCTCGCTTATGGTAGTTGTAAAATTTTTTTTAATTTAGTTAGGAAAACTGAATATTAAACTTTTTTCACATAATTATCTGCAATTAATAGCTTTTTCCTTTAACTTACACATACTACTAGTTACCTTAACATAACATATGTTCATGATGTTTTTTTTTCAAATTGCAGGGTGAATAACACATGCTTGTAGTAGCAATTTTGTAACATGACAAAACTTTTTTTAAATATTTCTTATTATTTCTTTCACAAACTAGAACCATAGCTACCGTATCTACATTGCCATTACCCATTCACTTTCGCAATGTTTACTAATACGATTTACTTTCTATATAAAACTTTCTTAATCTACCGTAGTCTCTCTACAACATTTTGAAACGATAGATACGTAGTATATACCAGACTGTTATGTGAGTTATAGTATTAGTTATAGTATTACTCTGTAACTTAAATTTCATGTGCTTTGCCATAACATAATATACGTAAAATTTAATTGTTATTTTGGTCACCACGTGTAACAAGTGTCACCTAACAATACCATGTGGTGAAACGAAAACCCATGCCAACTCGTGGTTATGTTTATAGTTTGTTGGTGCTCTAATTATAAGTTATTTTCGAAAATATTACTGTTTGAACTTTAAAGTCACAAGAAAAAGATAATTTAGGACAAAATACAGTATAGGGCATACGGTAAGACAATTGAAAATGAGTAGGGTAGAATAGGGAATAGTAGGGTAGGGTAGGGTAGGGTAGGGTAGGGTAGGGTAGGGTAGGGTAGGGTAGGGTAGGGTAGGGTAGGGTAGGGTAGGGTAGGGTAGGGTAGGGTAGGGTAGGGTAGGGTAGCGTAGGGTAGGGTAGGGTAGGGTAAGGTAGGGTAGGGTAGGGTAAAGTAGAATAGGGTAGGATAGGATAAAGTAGAATAGGGTAGGATAGGATAGGGTATATTGTTCTTGTTATGCCCCGAATATGAAATACATCAGTTTGTTCAAAAAGTAATGAGCCATTGAACAACTAACTTTAAATCCAGTATGGTAATGCAACACAAATATAAAAAAAATTAATAAGTGTCTTTATTTAGCTCCAAACCCACTAATTAATCTTCATTTTCCACTATAAACCCTGGTTGTCAACAACATTTTTTATCTGATTGCTTTGTATCATTAAATTATAATATACTCAAAATGGTATCCGTAAAAACATAACATTGTTATTATCCTTTGCAAGATACATATACGGTAAAGACTAATTCGTAGTAAGATTTTCCATGACTCATTAGGTTAAACTCTAGACACATCCCTTTGTTCAGTTATCTTTTGGAGCTTCTCCTCGAAAAGCTTATCCTTCTTATCAAAAGTAGACTTTTAACCTTTTTAGACATATCTTAAAATTTGACACTTCCCTTGTTAGTCTAATAGTCGTATTATAAGGCTATTAGACTTATGTCAAGTCCGAACCCACACAAACAATCTTAAATTATATTTTTTAAGTGACAGACACTACTAAAAAATTTTCAAGCCTCAACACTTACTACAACATCTATAACTTTTTGAACGATAAGCACTACAAAACAACCGATACAAAACTCTACATGGCATTTGATACGAATTTTGTGTTTATAACTTTTGTGTTTATATACAGGAAGTTACTATATAGTTAAAATTTTGAGTAGGGTAAAGTAGAGCCGTAAAACTGTTCAAATATAAAGTGCGTCTTCAAATACACAAAATGTAGCATAATATACAAAAACAGCTCTTTAAAACCTACAAAAATAGAGCTTGATTATAATATACGTACTTCTTATGGCTAAGAGTATAGTAGAGCTAAAGCAATAAAGACTGTAACCAAGGCTGTGGTAGAACAAAGTCAGATCAAATCGTAGAATAAGGCATGGGTAGTTTAAAGGTAGAACAAAGATAGAACAAAAACAAGGAAAGATAAGGTAAAGGCAGGACAAAGGCAGGGCAAAGGCAGGGCAAAGGCAGGGCAAGGCAAAGCAACGCAAAATCAAAGGCAGGGCAAAGGCAGGGAAGGGCAAAGCAAGGGCATAGGGTATACTAGGTTAAGATTAGGATAAGATTTCCAAAAAAAGCAATGCAAAGTCCAATAGCTCGTTACAGTAAATATTCTACAAAAATTCAGCCTAAAACCATACCTAATCCACCCCGCAGTTCAAGAAGTACACCAAAACATGTTTGTTGACCTTTCTAGTTATAATTACCAGTCGAAACGTTGGAAACACTTAAACGCATGTATTTTGTAAAATAATCCCCAAAATTCCGGTATAATCCCAGGTCTGGGCCGGTGGCACAAATCTAATCCTTTCCTTTTTTAAAATGACGACAATGTGATAGTACAAAGTTTTGTCCGCAAGTAAAAAAAACGTTTTTGAACCCATTAAACAAGGCGGCTGACGTTTTTTATGATACCATACTTATTAAGAGTTCAAATGTGCACTCTTATAAATTCGAACGAAAAATTAGAGCTAAAAGGACAAAATTTGGGATGGGCGGGGTAATTTGTAATTTAGGGCGGGGGTGGGGCAGGAAGGGTGTGAAGAAGAAAAAATGCAAAAAGAAATGTCTAACTTACAAGGAAAGTGCCCGACCTGCCCCGCTCTGATTGACTTCAAACTTTTTATAAAGAAAGATCATGTAAATATAAGATCCTCAGCAAACTACTAAATCGCGCTTTCCAGGAAATCTCGAGAAAATCGAGATTGAAAAATGACAGTTTGAATTTCCCGCCAACTTGGCATTGTGTTTCAAGCTTGTAACTTTGTCATTTTTTGACTTTTAATAATTTTTAATGATTTACTAGTCGAAAACCTTTAAATAAACCCCCATTTTTAAATTTGTAAGCGTATCTTCTCCATAAAGCCGAAAAAAGTGGTTGAAACACAATGCCAAATTTGCCAAATTGGCGAGAATTCCAAATAATTTAAATTTAAAACTCAAAAGCGCGAGCTAAAATTTTTTATGAGTACTATTGGTAGTACAAGGAATTCACATAAAAATTTTGAGCTGATTCTGAGCGTGGCAGGTAGGGTACTTTCCTTGTTAGGAAAAAAATTTTGGAGTGGGGGGGGTGGGTTTGACAGTAACACAAATCCAATATACGTAACCTATTTTACTGTAAAAAACCTATATTATACCACAGTGTAACAAAAAAGTTATTTCCAATCCCATAACTAACCTTAACATGAACTTTTCGCCTACCCAACCCTAAAAATACCTTTCGTAACATTCAAAACCAACACTTTTACCAACTTTTTACACAAAAATCGTAACTTTTTACACACAAGCCACCACGATAAATCACCATGCTACAGTACCACTCAAACGCCATGTGTAATTGTAATAGTAAATCAACCGAACAAAGGCCGACCTTTCGCGAAACCACCTAAATATACATGTGTTACATCCGTTTTTGCACATTCCGTGTACAAGTTTGTCGAAAACATACAAAACACATCTGCTACATGTGCACGAACGCGACATTAAGGTAGATATTGTTTACTTTAGGCAAAATGCTATCAACGACGTTTTTGTGGATGTTGAAACAAGTTTTTCGACATGTTTTACATTGGTGGGAAGGTAAAAACGTATTTTTTTCATTAAAAGTATTGAAAAATTAGTTTAAAAATAAGAAAAAAAGTAGTAATAACATTAGAAAAAGCTGTATATTTTGAAAAATCTTGTCATAAACAACATAAAACGCCAAAAATAATAAAACAAATAACAATCCTTTACACATAGTTTACTACGATGATAAACCATTTTTGACCACCCAAACGCTGATACACCTATTTTTACTTCAAGTATTATACCCAGGGGCGTCGCTACGGATCGGTTCTGGGGGGTGGATCCAAACCGTAGATTCGCCAATTCTAAGTACTTTTTGACCTCGAAAAAACAAAAGAATATTACCAATCACAAATTCTTAATTAATAATTTATTAAGATACCAAGAGAAATGAAGATCATGCAAAGTGTAACAATACCCACAGATAACAATAAAATCAAGCGTCCATTCGCTGTTGTGGCTCCATCGTGACAATCGAATTGCCTCTAACAACTACCATACCAATGCTCTTTGGCTCACCAGTCTGAAAATTAATGTTATAGACCAGCTTTGATGCTTAATAATGTTTTTTTTTAAATTTTTTAAAAAAATTATTGTTCACTCTGAAGGTGGGGACGAAAAAGCTAATATAACTTTGTGAAATTTGCAAGTTTCAAAAAAATATTTTTAACATAGTTAAATAACTAAATAATCTACAAACACAAAAGATTTAAAGTCCCCAGCTATCAGTTGAAAAAAGTAATAATAAAAAGAAGAATTCAAATATGAAAACCACCATTTTTTAAAACTAAAGTAAATCGGAACATAAATGATAAATTAACATACCTTTGGATGTTCGACAGCTTCTTCAATGATAAGGTTCATGAAAGGATCGAATCCGCGAAGAACACCAGTAACCTTTCTATAACCATTATGGTTAACAACTTCAAACTCTAAAAGCCAACAAAATAAAAAAAAACTTACCGGTTTCCATTTAATTTGAACAGCATGTGCTTATCCATGTACAACTTGAGCTGGGGTGGATGAGTTTTGCTCATTTTGGAAGCTGGAAGATTAAAATTAATAAAAATAGTTTTTAACCAAGACTTATATACAAGACATTAATATAAAGTTTAAATAACATTCGAAAAATTAAAAGAATATATAATATTAACTAATAAAACGGTAATTCTTACATTAGCGACGCAAAAAGTCCTTACAAGTCGACCAAAGAAAAAATTTTCACCAAATTGTGAAAGTGCGCCCACTTTGCTCTTCTGTCCTGTCACGAAAACGAAACGAAGAAACCAAGCCGTTTGGCATTCCGTCTTATCCGAATATTTTTCTTTTTTTCGCAATTTTTGGCTAAAATTATAGCCAAATGGCATTGAATACCAACTTTCCACACAACCGTAAACGAACCATCTATGTTGGAGGATTTGGCGAAGAAGTAACGGAGAAAACATTGAACTACGCATTCATTCCGTTTGGAGATATTGTTGGTATCTCGGTTCCGTTGGATTATGAATCTGGTAAGCACCGAGGCTTTGGGTACGTTTTTGTGTTTCCTGTTGTTTTTTAGGTACTTTGTGAACTGTTTGACATTATTTTTTGTTACATCTTTATTTTTTTAATTTTCTTGATATTTGTTAAGTTTAACTGACACATCTTGCAGGTTCGTCGAATTCGCATTAGCTGAAGATGCTGCAGCTGCTATAGATAATATGAACGATGGAGAGTTGTTTGGTAGGACAATACGTGTAAACTTTGCAAGACCACCAAAGGCAAATGAAAAGTCGAGCAGACCAGTTTGGGCCGATGATGAATGGCTAAAACAATATGGTGGAGCTGAAGGCAAAGATGGTTCAGATAATGAAGAAAACGATAATGAAGCTGTTACAGACACTGGAGATGGAGAAGCAGTGTCTAGGAATAAATTGTCGTTACCTAGAGTTTACTTGGGCATCAAAATAGGTATCAGGTATGTTCTTTTTGAGGTTTTTTGGTGTTTAGGGAAGATCGATGGGAGCTGATGTGTTTTATTAGTTAGATTTACTGAGGAAAATCTTTTTTTGTTGTTTTTTAAGGAAACAATTCTTGAAATCTAGGGATTTTGATTGAAAGTTTTATGTTGCTTTGAGAAGTTTGATACCTAATTGGTTTTGATAATAACTTTTTTCAAAAGGTAGTTATAGGTTTGAAAGTTAATTCGAACGTAGGCTTTACGGCTTTGTCAACTAATACAGTAACATTAGTTTTTAAATTTTGGCTGGTTTTATTTACAATATTATTTACATACATATGTACTGCAATATCAAAATTAAATAAAATTCAACTTCTTTTTGAATTTATATGAATAAATGGATAACCTATTCTATTTCATTATGTTACGCTTTAACTTCATACTATATTTTGTTTTTTTAACGAACTTTTATTCCAGATACGTAGGTCGAATTGTATGTGAACTCCGAACAGATGTTGTACCACGAACATGCGAGAATTTCCGATGTTTATGTACAGGAGAACGAGGATTTGGTTATGAAGGATCAAAGTTTCACAGAGTTATTCCAAAATTCATGTTACAAGGCGGTGACTTCACTAAAGGCGATGGAACGGGAGGAAAGTCAATTTATGGTCTAAAATTTGACGATGAAAACTTCAAATTGAAGCACGACATGCCAGGCATATTATCAATGGCGAATTGTGGACCAAATACGAATGGAAGTCAGTTCTTTATCTGTACGTCGAAAACAGATTGGTTGGATAATAAGCATGTTGTGTTTGGCCATGTTGTGGAAGGTATGAACATTGTAAGGCAGATTGAACAACAAGGAACTCAGAATGGCAAACCAATGATGCAGGTATGGTTTATACGGTGTTTTGATAGGTTTGGGTTGATAAAAATTTAATTTTTAAAGATTTTAAAAATTTTGAAATTTGAATTTTTAAAATAAAAATATCATACTAAAATCATTGATTTCAGATTCAAATTGTTGAATGTGGCGAAGTAGGAAGCTCGTAAACTCTCAAAACACCCGTTGATGACATTTTATTGTTATATTTGTAAATTATTATTAATATACTGTTAAAAATAAATACGAGATCTCATTTTACTATGTTAATATTTTGCCTATTGGTTTGACTACCATTAATTATCATTTGCAGGTACTACGCGTCTTGCTGTGCATTCATCAAGTCCATTTCGCTTGGTTTTGTTGATGAAATGCACTAAAACCAGGTCTTACTTCGGGGTACGACTGGCGGAGAGGGGGGGGTGTTGATAGAGGGTTTTGTGTGTTATACTGGAATGGGTAGAGATTTATAGATGGGTGTATAAAAGGGTTTTTTTTGTTTAATATTGTTTTTTAGTTCATTTTGAAAAGTTTTGGGTCTACTATAATATGGCTTTGTTTTTTTTTGTTTTAGGAGATAGGAAATGTAAGAAGGTTTTATAAGATTTTAGACGTCTTTTTTATTGTTTTACTTATTTTTAATAAGAATTTTATACTACTATTCCAAGATTTATTAAAAACTAAATTTCAGTTAATCTTGACATGGCCAAACGTGGCAAGGGGAGCACAGGAGGCAATCTTGAACCACTACCCTTCATTCGCAAGTTTGGACCAGATGCGGACAACGATTTCCCGCCTGTACCACCTACAATAAAAGAAGAGCTAGAGTATAGTGTAGCCCCACCACCAACGCTAATCGATCCAAAATCCGGGTTTCCATCGGATTTTGAAGCTAAAGACCGTGAGGATGATAAGGTGAGGGAGAGAGATGAGGACAGGCCCAAAGATGATGATAGGTCAAGAGATAGGGAAGGTGATAGGTCTAGAGATAGAGAACGTGAAGATAGAGGAGGCAGAGAAAGAGACGACAGAAAACGATCGAGATCACGGTCGAAGGAGAAGAAAAAACGACGAAGAAGGAGCAGATCAGTGTCAAAGTCAAGGAAACGGTCAAGAAGTCGGTCGAAGGAGCGAGAACGGAAACACAGAAGGCGTAAGTTTATGTTTTATTTTATTTTTCTTGTTATAGTCTATAGAAATGGTCGATTATGGGCAAGAATAAAGGTATACAGCTTTCTATATCTACGAATTATATTATATTATCATAGCCGCATCATCTAAAAACTTTTCAGGCAGCCGCTCACGAGACCGCTACCGTGACTACGACAGACGCAGAGACGATGACCGTCGCTACGACGATAGACGGCGGGACGATGACAGGTACGATGATCGTCGAGGTCGCGAGGATCGCTTCTTCAATCCAGAAGATCCGGTTCAAACTGTAGCTCAAGCCATACCTCCACATCTACGTGGTAACGTGGTCGCACAAAGTCTACTGGTCAAACCAGAAGTGCTGCCGGACATTATTGGTATGTTGTTGTGAAAGGGGTGGATAAAAATGATTTTTTTGAGGATGGGGTGGTAAATTAGAAAAAAAAATTTGGGGTGGATAAATATGTTTTTGAAAAAGACATATAAAGACTTTGTAGCGCCAGAAAAAGTAGTAATAAGTTGATAATAACCTTTATATTTTAGGTGAAGTGGTATCAGAAGTCAAGGAGAAAGGTGTGGATTTAACTGTGGCTTTACCAGAAGACTTAGCTAAACAAGCGGAGCGAGAAAAGCGGCGAAAGTCCAGATGGAGCAACACCAAAAGCTTCGTGCCCGGCATGCCAACAATGCTACCACAGAATCTCGACGAAACACAACAGAAATCGTATTTACGTGAGTTTTAGGCTTGTTTTGAAGGGTTTTAGTAACTAATTTAAAAAAAAATTAAATTTAAAAAATTGTGTTTTGGTCAACAGGGTCCTCTTGTGGATTTTTTTTGAAATTTTTTTATTTTTTTAAACTTAAGCGACATAAGTTAGAAATCTTAATTAAAAGTTAATTTTAGGTATTAATTTAAACATTTTTAAAGATTATATTAATAAAATTATTTTTAGTCCAACTAGAGATCGAAGAAGCAACACGTAAACTACGCCTGGGCGATTATCTGGGCCCCGAAAACGAAAGGTATGTCAACTATTAATGGAAACAAAGTAGCACAGGATTACAGTAATTCATAGTGATAAACACGTGGTCTCAAAAACATGTTTTGAAGAGATTTTAAGTTTGGTTTGTACTAAGAAAAGGTTTTTTTGAAGAAAAATAATTTTTTAGTGCAAAGGGTCACTTTTGCAATGATTTTTGACTTTTTCCAAAAATAATTTTGAAAATTGATTACATACGTTTGAAAAAGCATAAAATGGACCGTATAACAGAAAACTTTTGGATTGATATTTTAAGTTTTGGCAGAGTTATGAGTAATTGAAAATGGCAAAAATGAAAAAAAGTTCGATTTTGGCTGAACTTAACTTTTTTTTTCGTTTTCAAGGTGTTGTATCTTTGGTAATAAGCAAAATACCTTTATAAAACAGTAGTAATAAGTAGTAACAGTGATATTATGATCAAATTTTTTGATAATTTGAAAAGAAATAATTAAAAAATAAAAAGAATAGATTAATAAAGCATTGTTATAGGAGTCCATCCCCAGAGCCAATCTACGATTCGAATGGAAAGCGATTGAATACGAGGGATGTGAGGAAGCGACAGGAACTGGAAGCTGTAAGACATGAGAAAATACAGTTGCTGCTAAAAGTGAATCCAGCTTACAAGCCTCCGGCTGATTATCGGTAAGTTGAATTTTGAAAATTTTTTTGAAATTTGAAGTTTTTTATGTTTACTTTGATATCAGAGGTTAGAGTAAGGTAATGTAAGGTATTTTAGGGCAAGACAAGTCAAGATAGGGTAGGGATAGATAAAATAGGGCAGAATATGGTAAGTAGAGTAGGGTAGGATAGTTTGGAATAGGATAGAGAAGGGTAGAGTAGAATAGGGTATGGCAAAAATTAAAAAATAATTAAAAAGTTTTGCTTCTTGTTTTTAATATCTAAAATTTAATTTAAAATGTAATCATTTGACATTTCCACCTTTGCAGAGCACCGAACATACGACTACATGACAAAGTGTTTATACCACAAGAAGAACATCCGGAAATTAATTTTGTAGGCTTGCTAATAGGCCCGAGAGGAAACACTCTTAAATCCTTGGAACTTGAAGTAAGTTTAGAGATATTGCAATAAATTTGTACTGTAGCACTTTTATTGGCCGCTATATCTTAATACGGTAGTCTATATGTCTTACTGTGGCTTTTAGTTTATATATAAAACTTACTATATCTTTTGTTATACATATACGCTTTACTGTAGCTTGTAGCTTATATATAAGTCTTACTTTAGCTTATATACACTAGAAAATGTAAAAATATAAAGAGATACAGCTGGTAATAGAGGTATACTTTCAGACAGACGCCAAAATCATCATTCGAGGCAAGGGTTCGGTCAAAGAAGGTAAGCTGGGCCGGAGAGAAGGACCATTACCAGGCGAAAATGAACCGTTACACGCCTATGTTACTGGTACATCACATGCCATCATTCAGAAGGCTGTCAATAAGGTAAGGAAGTTACAAATGAAAATTTAAAAAAAATTAAAAAAATTTTTTTTGAAATGAAAATGTTTTTAAAATTATTATTTTAGTCGAAAGTTCGTAGAAAGGTCAATATTTTAGTATGCGGTCAAAAAGTTTATAGAAGAATTAGTAGTCAGAGCTGAAAAAAAGTTTTGTCGTTTTTTAACGTGAAAAATAATGTAAATTGACTACAAGACTTTTTTGATGCTCTATTTTGGGCCCATAACGAACAAGAGCTTGGTTTTGGGTCAAAAAGTTTATAGAAAGGTCATTTTTACTGATCTTTGTCAATTTTATTTTTGATGTCTGGTTTAGTGGCTCATTAATTTTTGAACAACCTATAAAACTATAATCTTAATTTTTTAATTTCAGATCAAAGAAATCATAAACGCGGCCCTAATGATTCCGGACGGACAGAACGAGCTAAGGAAGCTACAACTTCGCGAGCTCGCCGTTCTCAATGGAACTCTCCGGCCGGAGGACATGCTCGGAGGCACGAGATGCTCGAATTGTGGCAGTGATCAACACAAAACCTGGGAATGTATGGACGGCCCGAATGTCACAGCCAGCATCATTTGTCAAGCTTGTGGATCGGCCGGTCATATTGCTCGGGATTGTAAGAACCCCAATCCCGGCTATCAGTATGGTGAAGTGGCTGGAATGGATGATGAGGTAGGTTAGATTTGATTATGATTTCAAAAAATTTTGGGCGGGGGTTTTTTTTTGAGGGGGGGTAAGGAATTTTTTGAATGGTTGGCTTTCAACTTTAAAAAAATTTTTTGGAGGTAGGGCTGGGTGATTTTCAATTTTTAGGAGGACTCTTTCACAAAAGTTAAATAAAAAAAGTAAAGATCAAATTTCAGTACTCTGCCTTAATGGCCGAACTTGGCGAAAAACCAGCCCAAGCACCGGCCCAAGCTCAGCAACAAACCCAGCCGAAGGAACGCGTCTACACCCTACCCTCAGGCGCCCCAATTCAACGATTCAACAAGAAGCCACACAACGATAACCAAAACTCCAACTTCTCATCCCCATCCACCTTCAACCGCGAGAAGGAGGGCGGCTTCTTCAACCCACCACAACCAACTCATATTGGCACGTACGATCTCACCGGCTCCTGGGTACCGCCACCCCCAGCACCTCCAGCAATGCCCCCGTGGGGTGCGTACCCCATGCCCGTCCCACCGCCGCCAACATCGCAAGACACGGGCTACGGCGAATTCCTCGCTCCACCACCACCTCCTCCACCTCCACCACCACCGCCGATGGACGACTACACCGCCCAACCTGTACCCCCTCCCCCGCCACCACCAATGTAACCACAACGATTGTTTTGGTCAATTCTCATTCGTTTTACGTTAAGTTATTTTTTACAATCAACGATGATAATAAACATGATAAGTAAAGGAAGGTTTTGCTTTATGGTGAAGGGTATCTATAATAGTTTAACCTGCCTCACTATGTAGTACTCTATCCCTACATCTATCCCTACCTAAACTAGTTCATCTTACCCAGTCTTGCTATCTAATGCCCTCTACCTATCCTTATCCATCTTAATTTACCTTACCTTGTCGTAGCCTAGCTTTAACCCGTTTACTCTACTCTATTCTACCCTACCCTATCATAATTCATTGCAAAAAGTGCAAAATTAAAAAGTTTTGCAAGATTTTGCAACTTTTGGCCATAAAACCTTAATTACCAAATGTTCTTTAACTTTACGACCAAACGTTACATACACAATAAAGTGCACTTTACATAGCGCCTAAACGTCACGAAGATTAATTACTGTTTGTGCTTACAAGTCTGTATTTATCACTTTTTTAGATTTTCGCGGAAACAAAACAAAAGCCCTGAAGTTTTAAAGTTTAATCCGAGACCCATTAAGATTCGATCTGTAAAGCGTGGAGCGCTTAATTCTTAAGAAAGGTGGAGACGTAAAAAGTATTTGTTATGGCAATAATAATACATAGATTTACTACGGTATATTGAGGTAAAATAAGTCTTGTCGTCTTTTGATTAAGGTTTTTACGTTAAAAAAACGAAAAAATTTTTAATATAGATTGTGGTCAAGAAAAAATATTTTTTGACGAAAATTTAAACTTTTTAATGTTTTAAAAAGTTATGTATGAAAATTGGTAAATCAAACATGGTTGGCAGCTACTGTGATCAGATCGACAAGCTGAGACACAATTTTCCAACAATATTCAGTAGGAAAAGCCCAATAATTTATCAAGCCAACCCTGGACCCAACGTTGCATAGAAGACCATGGCAAACTTCATGGAGTTTCGCTACGAAGTGTTCTTGTATTATCCTTTGTGTTCACCGGATCTAGCACCAACCGACTACTATTCATATACAAAAACCTGGCTTTGTTCCTCAATAAAAAACGCTTCAAGAATCCAGAACGAAGCCAAGAACGCCTTCAAAAACTTCATTGAGTTCAGGAGGCTTCAGAAGTCCTAAATTTGATTGTGGGATCTAGATAAAAAAACAACTTTTTATGGCTTGTCCTACAACAGAATGTCATTTTTTGTTCACTGCAGGTCAATGCCTTTTTTATGCCTTACCCTAGAGCAAAAAGGTCACTTATGTCCTAGGCTACAGAAAAAAAGCCATTTTTATGCCTTGTTCTACAACTAAATGCCACTTTATGAACTATTATACAAAAACATGGCGTTTTTTATTCTTTACTCTACCACTAAATGTCACTTTTTGTAACTACGACAACATTCCGCTTTTTATTCTTTACCCTACAGCAAAGTGCCACTTTTTACGGCTGCACTTTTGACTGTTATTGTACGAATTCGTTGTGAGCACAACATACCGTGACTTTCGTGCCAAGTCCCTGAAAAACTTGTTTACGTTAACCGAATTGCACTTAAAAAGCAACGAAAAGTGCGAGCTGTAAAAGTATAAAGTAATAGAGAAACGTGGCACCGCGCCTAGCACAGCCAGTTCCATCTAAACATACTGCACGGTGTTGTAGTTACATGTTGTTACAAAAAAGAGGTTACTATATGTAGGTAGTGACAAAAAGAAGTTATGAGTTATATTTGGGTACAAATATAAGGGAGTAGGTAACTATAGAAAAAAAGGCGGATGTAGGTAATTAAAGAAAGAAAAAACTATATGTAGGTAGTGATAAAGGCACTGAGTAGAAAAACGTATTTACAACTACGATATCTACAAAAGAAGAGTGTAAATGCATGTTAAAGGAAACAGTAATAGTTACATTTAGCTACAAAAAAGTTGTTGCAGAACTTTTAAAAATGGAGTTTAATGTGACAAAAGGTAGTGAAGGTACAATTAGCCATTGTTAAAAAATTTTAGTATGTAAACACTTAAAAAAGTCTACATGTTCATATAAAAAAAGATCAGCTAATTCTATGTATACATTACTCTTTCAATATAAGTAACCCAAAGAAACCGACATTTTGTGCTTACTAATATAAGGGGTGTTGTCTTTACAAAGAGACTTTTTAGTGCAAATTGACTTGACGGGACCAAGTTTCTTGTTTACTATAAAGAGAGTTGCTCATACAGCTGGTTAACTATATAGAAAAAGCACTGTACTATATTTTTTTGGTACTAAGGAAGCACAAATGGAACGTACCAAAACATTTTTAACTCGCAATGTTGACAAACATGCAGTAATACCTATGTTTTGCTAGTTCACAACTACCCTGCGTCTAGCCGAGCTGATTCATTTTTGTCACGGACCCATTTCACTCTTACAACATAAAATACTCATAAAAGATGTTTTAAAAAACCAAAACTTTCCAAAGTTTAAAATATTAATAATAATTTATACAAAGCTTTAAAATCATTTTTATATTATACAAAAAAAGTTTGAATAACTTAACTCAAAGATTATACAGCCGACGATGTACGTGTTTCTCTACACTGCCTCCACCATTGCTCTAACGGGAATGTGCTCAAAATGAACGACAATATAAACAAACAAGCGCTTGTGCCAAACGTCCAGCTGACGGTCATTCCACGGAAAATGATGTCAATCGCTGAAAAAAACAAATTTCTTTGAAAGCCAAATCTTTTGTTGCGGGACCTAAGCTGGGTCTCTGGGGCCTTGATTAAAGCCCCGATCCCGCGCCCACAAGTGTCGGCGTGGCACGGCCGGGCTTAATAAAACTCTTTTCAAGTCTAGCCCAAGCTCAAACCAGGTTTAGCCCGAGCTTTTAGGTCTAGCCTACGCTCAAAACATAGAAGACTTTAAGATAAGATTATCCTCAAAAAAAGATTTGATTACCCCTACCTGCACTAACGGGTATTCCACACAACATTCCAACCGAAATGATCAACGGATTCAACAATGCGATTCCAAAATTGACCAAAAAGTTAAAAATTAAGCTTAATAAAGCTGCTCCAATTAAAGGCAGCCACGGCACTGCGTGAAATTTAATGTGATCAACATCCGTATAGACTAATATTAGGGCAGGCCAAATGTTCAACAATAAGTTACACAGACCAAGCATGGTCATAAACAATGAAACTTGACCCAGATTGGCATCACAGTTGACTTTTTTGAAAAATACCTGGAATGTAAAATACGCTGGTTATTGTATTGGCATTGATAATTTAAATTTATTTTGATTATAAAATGAAAAAAAGTTTTTAATTATCCTTAATTTGTTGCTCACCTTATAAAACGCTGCACTTAAAGCTGAAAAAATGACCAGTGATACACCAACAAGACTACCAGTGAATTCGTTGTCTAATGAGATTACAACTACGCCAGCAATTGCCAATAAGGCTCCCAATACCTGTAAATGAATATAAAAATTGACCTGTAAGTAAATGCAACAACAAGATCCAAAAAACAAATTCTGTTATATGACATGCCGTTTATAAGCAATACTTACTTTCACAACAGACGGGACGACCGATAGCAAAAAGTATGCTAATATAGCGACCATTGCCGTATTTGAGCTCATGATAGCCGAAGCCGCCGATGCTGATATGTGACCTAAAGCGTATGAATAACTATAGTTTGCGGCTACCCACATAACCAAAAACGGGACTACTTTGGTGAAGATGTGCCTGAAAAAACGTTGCCTAAGCTAATGGTCATTAAAGAATCCTGTGGTTTTACAATTAATAAAGAATGTAGTTTCATATTATCTTGTGGCGCATTAAAACAGCTTTAACACAGCGTTAATTAACTTAAAACTTACCGTAATTTAACCGTTTTCCGACTAAACACTAAGCACGCATCCTTGTGTGCTTCCTGTACGGTAACCTCACCGAACAATACTATGTAGAAGAGAAACACAGGGTAACAAATTGTCATAAAATTAGTGTTGAACCACACCATAGAATAGGGTGCGTAAAAGTCATGTCTATTGATTGTGAGTGCGGATTTGGAAAATTGCGTAGCACAAGCCCATGACACGGCTACTAATGAGATCACAATGACTGATGCGATGGACTGAAAAGAGATTGGTATTTAGCCCCAGCTCTATGTTTATGTCTAGGTCTAGCTTGCGATCTAGCGCTAGGGTAAGGTCTAGGTCTAGGTATATTTCTAGGTCAAGTTCTAACTTCAGGTCCAGCTCTAAGACTAGCTCTAGGGCTAGCTCTAGCTCTAGCTATAGCTCTAGCCCTAGCCCTAGCCCTAGCCCTAGCCCTAGCCCTAGCCCTAGCCCTAGCCCTAGCCCTAGCCCTAGCCCTAGCCCTAGCCCTAGCCCTAGCCCTAGCCCTAGCCCTAGCCCTAGATTAGTTTTAAGTTTAAGCCTAGCTCTAGGTATAGGGCCAGCTCTAAGTCTAACTCTACGTTTAAATCTAGGTATATGCCTTTGTCTAAATCCTGTCCTCGGTTTAGGTCTAGCTTTATGTCTAGCTCTGGCTTTAGCTTCACTAGTCTTACCCTAGCCCTCTCACTCTACAGGACCACTGCACGTACCTTTTTAACGTTAGCAGAAGTTTTTTCTTTGTGTTCTATCGTCCCATCGTTGACTGCGGACATATTAACCCTAAAGATACAAAACAAAAGTAAAAATCAAAAGAATAACAAACGGTAAAACAAGATTAAAGCATTATCAAACTACACGAGTAAGTAATAATTAGCAAAACATGAAAAACAAGTAAAAAAGTATATAATTTGTCTAAAACATTGGTGTTTCAAGGTGCAAAAATCGTGTGATTAACGTTGTAAGACGATAAAAGTTAAGATAAGAAGCATATTTTTAATGACCTCATCAGCTTGTTAAAAATTCCAGACAGAAAGTTTAATGATTTTTTTTTTCGAACTATGTCTATGAAAGATTGGCAAAGGGCAAAAAAATTTTTTTTGAGAAAAAATTTGAACTTCGTTTATAGACTTTGGCTAAAATTCTAATTAATTTTGATCTGTAAAAACGTTTTTACAATTAAAAATAGCTTTATGGTAATAGAACACAAGTTTTCAGTAAATCATATCACATTTTCAGTAAATCATACCACTTTTTAATCCAAAAATCCAAAGAATCAAGATTTCAAAAAGAATTAAAAATTAAAGAAAACGAAAAATCAAGGCAGCCGTTTTAAAAACCCTTCCAAAGTTATTTTAAAAATTTGTTTTTGCAGCGGAAAAAATGATCTGAGCGCTTTGTTTAAAACGTTGTTCAGGAAAAACATTAAAAGTTTGGAAATGGAATTAAAAAACGATTACACAGGAATATAAATATTATATTAAGTAAATATTGTGATCGAAAATTTAAGAAATACAGAAGAGTTTATTTAAAAATGGCTTGAAATTTTAAAAAATGGCTGCAAATATAAAAAAATGGCTTGAACCAGAGCCGGACGAAAACTTTTGGCCTGGGGGTCGAAAAAATCCTGTGCCGATTTTTTGCGAAAAATTTTTTTCCAAAAACTCCACAGGGGGGGGACCACGTTCTACTTTTTTCGAAATTTTTTTTCTGGAGGGGGGGGGGAGGAGGGTTCCTACCAGAAAATGAACTATTGCAAAATGGCTAAAAAATGAAAAAAAAACTAAAAAAAGCAAAAATTTTTAATAAAAGAAAAATTTTAATTTCAAATTTTAAATTTAAAAAAATTTTTTTTACAAAAACTTTTTTTTTTTAAATTTTGAAAAATTTTTTTATTCTAAATCACTTTGATTTTTGGCAAAACGAGAGCGGTTGGGTGTTGCTATTGTGGTGATCGTTCAAAGATGCAAGCAACCAACAATGATGACAATGGTGCCCAAAAACAAACTGTGAAGTCTCTATTGCAATCCCAAAGCCACACTATCAACGAGCTCATCGAGAAATGTAAATTTTTAATTTTTTTTATTTTTTGTAGTTTTTTGAGCATACTGTAACTTAAATTTTTAATTTTTTGGCTTTTGAATTTTTTTGTGCCTACTGTAACACAAATTTTAAATTTTTTTTATTTAACCGTTAGACCATGAAATTATGCTTGTTTTAAAGCCTTGACCCTTGTTTTAGTGATCGAAAGCGAATGGCAGCACTTCCAATCCAAAGAAGAAGCGGACAAGTTCATGATCAACAAGACTGAACTAGCCAGTTCGATTTTACCGTTCACAAAACTCTCCCTTCAACATGTTTTTCATTACACCAGGAATGTGGCTGAAGCCTACGCTTTGAAGAAACAAAACATTGCTAGAATGAATTCACCCATCTTATCGTCACCGGATTCTCAGAACAGCTACAGCTCCTATGATAGTCCATTGACTCCGAGTAAGTTTTTGTGAGAGTGGGGTAGGATAGAATGCGGTAGGATGGACTACTGTAGGGTAGGGTAGGGTAGGGTAGGGTAGGGTAGGGTAGGGTAGGGTAAAGTAGGGTAGGGTAGGGTAGGGTAGGGTAGGGTACTGTAAAGTACAAAAAACAGTGCAGTGTACTGTAGAGTACAATAATGCAAGACAGGGTACTGTAGAGTATTGTAGAGCAGAGACAAATCAAGCTAATTTTTTTCAGGCCGCTACAACCCAAACATTGAGCAAAAGACTCCAGAATCGAACTCGAAGCTGGTCATGTACAAGGACCAAACTCCAGGAGCTGGATCCTGTGAAGTGGCACGTAGAGCGATCCACAAACGGCCGATGAGAAAAGTCAAAACGATCGACCAAATCGAGAAACTCCGCCGAAGTGTCATCATTCTGACTGGCGATTGGCTGCCCAGTCCAACTCGTCATGCTACGGTTATCGATGCTAAGGTTGGATCGCTGTATGAATTGGCTGATCAGGTAGGGTGAAGGGTGGGTCTTTTGGCTTGGCAGATAGCGTAAGGTTTAACAATGAAGTTTAAGCTAAGCAATTGAGTTTAGGCTTGTCAAATTATAATTGTATTTACCAAAGATTACCGTAAGATTTTCCTGAATTACTGTATTCTTTCCAGATTTCCCGCCATCCAGCCGACTGGACCAACGTCGGTCAGGTGATGGTGTTCTGCGATGCCGCTTGGTTTTTGCCAAAACTCAATGTACCCCACGATGTTCGTCATTACGCGTTGAATATGCTGTTGGGCACGCTGCACGATCGTTCCCCTCAGGCCAAGGTTTACATGTGCGAACCGGTGCCATTAATGATAAATGTTCAACTGATCGAAAACATGAACAGGTTCATCGATTTTGCTCGGGGCAAGGCCAATAATGATCCCATGTGAGTTGGCTTAGGCTTTTGGATGATAGGGGAGGATTAGTTTTTTGAATGAGTTGGAAATACAATAGTTTTTGGATGGGGCATGGGTAAGAAATTGGCAGAGAAAAAATTAGGGTCGGACCGGCTTTAGGGCCCGGTCTGTTGTAATTTGTCTTTGGCCCATACTATGAATAGGGCTAGGTCTAGGGTTGGGCTAGTTTAACTTATGATAACAAAGGGTTAACTTGAAGTTAGGACTTAGGTATGGTAACTTTAGTGCGATTTTTCTTTAAGTTATGATAGGGCTAAAACAAAGATGATACAGAGTTACAGTAGCACTGCCTTAGAGTGCCATATGTTAGGGCTATAGGCTAGGGTTCTGGGCTAGTGCTGTGTGCTAGGGCTCTAGGTTAGGGCTTTGGGCTAGGGCTCTGAGCTAGAGATGTGCGCTAAAGATCTGGGCTAGGACTAGGATCACGGCTAGAGCACGGGGCTAGAGCTCGGGACTAGGACTCTGGGTTCGGGCTAACACTAAGGCTCTAGGCTATTTATTCAAAAAATGCTTTTAGGTTCTCAACCATTTCCTTGCTAGACACGATCAAGCCCTTCCCCAACAAGACCCGCCCCGCCGAGCCCTACTATTTGCGGAAGCGTGCGGCCGAACAAGTGGTACAAGAAATGACAAGACGCTTCGATTCGATGGCTAGCCGTCTGAATCGCCGCTACCATCAACCAACACTAATTGCTTCACCTAACTCGTCGATGGTTTCGGTGTTGGGACAATCACCATGGAAGTCGGTCCCAACTCACAATGATGTGGACAAGCTCTGCTCCGACTCTTCCTTCCATTCAACCAAGCCTGATAGTTTTATTTGAAATTTTTGAAAAATAAAGGTTTTATTTTTTAGTTTTTTTTTGAATTACAGTATGAAATAACTGGAAGTTACAGTATCTTTATGTATACTATTAATTTTTTTTAGTGTTTTTTTAATTGAATTTATTACAGAATGATATGATATGTTAAATAGTGAATCTAGGCTTCTTGTTACTTATGAGAAGGTAGGGTAAATGAAAATATTAAGGGAGGAAAGGTTATGGTAGAATAGGTAAGAAAACTACAAGTTAGAACAAGGTAAGATAAAGTAGGGTAGTGTAAGGGACTATTGGGTAGGGTAATATACTGTAGGCTAAGAGAAAGTACTGTAGGTTAAGGTAGGGTAAAGTACTGTTGGGTAAAGCAAGATACTGGAGGATAGGCTGTTATTATAGGGTAGAGTAGAGGAATGTACTGTTGAGTAGGATAAGGTATGGTAGGGTATGCTAGGTAGAGTGGGGCGTCTTTTTTGCCCTTGCCAGTGTTTTGCCCAGACCGGTCTGGAGCGTTTTTCACCGGTCCGGCCCGGCCATTTTCGGGACCGGTCCTGTCCAAAGACAAAATTTTTGGGTCCAGTCCGGGTCTGCAGGTTTTTGGGTCCGGCCCGGTCCGCAAAAATTTTGGTTTCGGTCCGGATTGGACCAGTCCGGTCCGGCAATACACTGGCCCTTACCATTAAGAAGAAGCTTTTTTGTTCATGAAAGAATTTGAAACTCGTACGACGTTGAGTTGCCGAGTACTATCCATTTTTGAGTTTTGACTTTGGAACGGCGGACCATAAACTGTGAGTGTTATCAAAGTAAGAAGCACACTTTCAAGTCCAAATAGGTAGACTGAATATGGTCCCATAAGGTTTCCTATTGAATTGCCGGCTTTCTAAATAAGTTTTATTTTTTTTGAGGTATGGCAGGGTTAAGTACAGTAGAGTTTAGATAAGGTAAGGCCGGCCAAAAAAAAGTAGGGTAAAGTAGAAGATTGGCAGGGCAGGGCTGAGTAAAAAAACTTACAGCAGTTATATAGCTGACCAAATGTGGAAAGAAATTTAAAAAGAACTCATTGAATACCACGAATAAGCCTATGAAATTGGCCTAAAAAATTGTTTGCTAATATCATAAATAACTACAGTAAATTTTTAAAAACAAAATAAAAATTTTTCAGTTTTACAGTTCAAAGATTGAAAAAATGTAGTATTACCTTCTGATTAGTTTTGGTAGTGTACTTGAACATTTTAATGACAAAAACAAGTCCCACACAAGCATTAATAAGCCCTAATGATAGCTTGATTAGCAAGAACATTGACACACCCAACGGAGCTATGCAAATGTACAAAAAACAAGCTGAAATTTAAAGTGTCATAAACGGCAAAGCTTTAACAATTATGTATTATGTTTCGACTGAAGTCTACTATAAAACGTCAAGTCTAAAGCAGGACAAAGGCAGGGCAAAGGCAGGACAAAGGCAGGGCAAAGGCAGGGCAAAGGCAGGGCAAAGGCAGGGCAGAGGCAGGGCAAAGGCAGGGCAAAGGCAGGGCAAAGGCAGGGCAAAGGCAGGGCAAAGGCAGGGCAAAGGCAGGGCAAAGGCAGGGCAAAGGCAGGGCAAAGGCAGGGCAAAGGCAGGGCAAAGGCAGGGCAAAGGCAGGGCAAAGGCAGGGCAAAGGCAGGGCAAAGGCAGGGCAAAGGCAGGGCAAAGGCAGGGCAAAGGCAGGGCAAAGGCAGGGCAAAGGCAGGGCAAAGGCAGGGCAAAGGCAGGGCAAAGGCAGGGCAAAGGCAGGGCAAAGGCAGGGCAAAGGCAGGGCAAAGGCAGGGCAAAGGCAGGGCAAAGGCAGGGCAAAGGCAGGGCAAAGGCAGGGCAAAGGCAGGGCAAAGGCAGGGCAAAGGCAGGGCAAAGGCAGGGCAAAGGCAGGGCAAAGGCAGGGCAAAGGCAGGGCAAAGGCAGGGCAAAGGCAGGGCAAAGGCAGGGCAAAGGCAGGGCAAAGGCAGGGCAAAGGCAGGGCAAAGGCAGGGCAAAGGCAGGGCAAAGGCAGGGCAAAGGCAGGGCAAAGGCAGGGCAAAGGCAGGGCAAAGGCAGGGCAAAGGCAGGGCAAAGGCAGGGCAAAGGCAGGGCAAAGGCAGGGCAAAGGCAGGGCAAAGGCAGGGCAAAGGCAGGGCAAAGGCAGGGCAAAGGCAGGGCAAAGGCAGGGCAAAGGCAGGGCAAAGGCAGGGTAAAAGCAGGGTAATATTAAAAGCTCAAGATTATGATAGTATTTTACCTTCATAATCATCTTTGTCTGGTACATCGTCGACTTGTAACAAAATAAACAACAAGTACAACAAGACTTGAGTTGCTACGTTGACGACAACCAATTGTTTTCTTCTATGTTGAGTATAAAATGCAATGGCAGTTATAGAAAGTAGCCGGTCTAACGTTAAGAATCCAACTGAAACAGAAACACACAAAACCCATCCGAAATAGAATGTGACAAACCAAAATTCTTTGTACTTGTTGTAATGTGAGTCTAAATAAAATTATTTTAGTACTGTAACTTAAACAATAGCTAAAGTGAAACACAGAAAAAGGCAAGGCAAGGCAAGGCAAAGTGACGTCATTTAAAATTGACATACCAACACTGTTCCATCCATAAACTATCTGTAAGTTCCACGGAAAAGATAATACTACTCCAATCAGTACAGAACATAAGTTTATCATGAAATGAATAGAAAATCGTTGTCGTTGTACAGTCACAAAGAATGGTAAGAAAAGTAGGTTGAAACAATGCATTACGATTGTGGCAACAATGCCTACTAATGTCACTTTTGCCGTTATGAAGAGGTCTTCTTTGTTCATTTTCTAAAAATATTTTTTTTCAGTAAATGAGACAGTAAGTACTACTGACTGTTAAAGTCAAAGAATATTATGTGCAATATAGTATGATGCAGTATATATGTCATATATAATTTGTCGAAAGTGACAAAAGTTGTAACAAAAAACGTAAGGAAAAGTAGGTTAAAAATGCTTAAACAGTTTAAAAATTAATAAGTTATTATAATATATAATTAACCACTGTCATTTTTAGTATTCTGAATTAGTAAAGTTTATAAGTAGTTGAAGCAAACAACTTTAAACATTCTTCAGAATTTGTAAGGGAATTTATATGCTATTTCTAAAAACTAAACAAGCAGTTTTTTCTACTTTGGGTCAAACCAAACACTAAAAAAAAAGCTGGAGCGGGACTAGCCAAAAAAAAGTAAAAGCTAAAACAAGGTAAAATCTAATACTAGGACAGGATTAAATTTAGAACTAGAGCAGTGTTACGTATGGCTAAAACGAGGCTAAAGCTAGGACTGGGGCTGAAGTGCTGGGGCTGGAGGGCTGGAGGGCTGGAGGGTTGGAGGGCTGGAGGGCTGCAACTGAGGCTAGGGCTGAGACTAAGGCACAGGCTTAAGCTCAAACATTAAAAATGTAAAATAAGGATTTAAAATTTCAACCCAGAGCAGTATTTCACAATATATACCGTGCTGATGCAAAAACACGTCGTCAGACAGTCACATACGATTTGAATGTAGTCTTATTACTTATAAAATGAAGCGTATGAGAATAATACGGCATAATAACAAAAACTAACGCATGATATTTCTTAAAATAGTAGAAAAAGTGTTGACGACACTTATGATTGAACACGTTTCTACAATTAGAGAGAGAAAGTTTCAAAAGGTGTTTAAGTACTGTAAAGACAATTATAATAGAAACAAACAGAGAATTTGTAGGAGGAAGAAACGTGTCTTTGTTCTTTCCTTGTCCTATCCTAGCCTTATCCTTTCTCATTTCTAAACTATTCTTATTTCTACTCCACTGAACTTTACCACGTACTATTGTAACGAAAGCTTTTCTTATATTAACAATACATCAATCACAGGTAAATGGCATTTTCTAAAATCACAAAGTATTATATAAAAATTGTTAAAACTTATAGCCCCTTTTTAATCATTGACCTTCTTTTAAAAGATATGATCTATTTTTGTCATGAGATAAACTTTTAAAATTTAATTACAAACTTTAATAATGTTGTTACCGCGTTTTTATTAAAAAAGGAACTTTGTGCCATTTAGTGACTAAAGAATAAACTGTTTGTTGTTTACAAAAAAAAACTAATTTTAGGAAAAACATAACTTAATTCTCGCAGTTCTAACCGTAAACTGTACTATTTTTCGTTTTTTTAAACTTCCTACAGTACTGATTAAGTTTAAAGTAAAAAAAAGCTGTATGTATTAACTGGGTACGTAGAAAAACCGTAGTAATTATATGGTATATCAGTATAAACAAAACAGTACGTTTTAAAAGATTAGTTCATAAAAACAACACTGATTACACTGTAGCCGAAAAACATAAACTCTGACAATCTTAAGACGAGTAGGTTTTAAAAACAAATTTAATTTTACTCATAATAAGTTACAGTAAATCAGCAGTATAACGAATTTATCAAGGAACTCAAAACGTGGTAGTTTTGATAGAGTTTCGGTATACATGAGTTGTGAATGCACTGTGTAGTGGATAGACCTAAAAGGGATTCCACTAGGCTAAATGCTAAATCCAGGACTAGAGACAAAGAAAATTTGAAAAAAAGCAAGCGTGTGAAGAGGCCGGGTAGAGCTGGATTCCAAGCCAGACTTAAAAATTGACCGACCCGATCCGAAAACCAGGTCTAAGACCGAATCCCAAATTAGGCTCTTCGGGGCTTAGCTTAGATCCTGTATATCCGTTTAATTTAAGATTAATTGGCTTAAACCAAGGCATAGACATGAGAAGCGAGTCCGGCAGGGCTTGATAAAACAAACCGGGCTTGAAACGCAAGTCACGCCTGGTTTGACCCTTGTGTCTAACTTCTACCGAAGCTCAATCTGGTTTCTTTACAAGTCCAGTAGGTGTAAACGATGATTTGAAAGTTGCTCGTTATACAAAAATTTTGTTGTTGACAAACTTGTTACACAGAAGTTTTACTGTAACAAAATAACCAAATATTGCAATAGCGTGCCGTTTTAAACCTAAGCTATAAATGAATGAGTAGTAGAAGTAAAGATCTAAAATACAATTTTAAAAATAAGTAACAGAAATGGTAACAACGGAAATGAATATTGTATTACTTGCACGTATATCATATACATTCTTTACATGTATCTTATATTTATCTTATTTGGATTTGTAATTTACGTTATTTATATACATTTGCAGTAAAGTTTTGTATTTTTGTATCTATTTTGTAACAATTTGCACGCCTTACCAAGTATAACATATGCTAAGTGTTACAAAGAGAATTACAATTTGCTATTGCACTAAAAACCATGATATAATTGTAAAAATATTTGCAAAAATAAAGTTTATTAGTGTAAAATACAAATTTATTTTTATTTTAAAAAGAATATTGCAAAAAATATTTTAAATTCCATTACAGTGTATCTTCTGTATCACAAATTGTTATACAGAAACTTTATTGTACTTAGTACTTTACGATATTGTCTTCAATGCTTTGGCGGTACAGTTGAAATGACTCGAGATCGAGACACATTTGAGCTTTTACCATTTACAGTTTTGTCAAATGGAACACCAACAACTTTCAGCGTGACTAAAGTTAACATACTGCTTTCAATCGCAAAAAGATAAATTGTGTATGGGCCAAGCAGCTTGCCGGAGTGAGTGCCTGTCTTCTGAAACTGCTGTATTTACAGAAACATGTATTTACAGTAAAGTAAGTAAAAAATGTAAAAAAACAGCACCAAAACTTAAACAAACTATGAAAAATCAAAATAATTTTAAAAAAATTAAATTTAAAATTTTTTTGATTTAAATATTATACATACGGAGGTAACGTAGCTAATAAGATGTGGCAAGAAATTCAAGCAAAACTCATTTAAAACCACAAATAAACCAATAAAATTGACCTAAAATAACTTGTATTAAACCTTGTTTTTAGCCATACCACCACTATATTACAGTGAAACTTCTATATTAAGTAAGCAGGGTCGAGCGCTAGAGGGGGGGGGGGGTTTGGTAAGTAAGGCTGTGATAGATCTAAAGGAAAGCGAACGTATTATAGAACTAGGAAAGAAGGGAAGGACAAAAGCTCCACTGCAATTGATAAATGACAAAATTTTTTAAATAAAAAATTTTTTAAAAAAAGTTATACGCCTACCGTTTGATGGGTTCTGCTTTTAGTATACTGTAGCATGTGAACAAAAAATACTAATCCAATTATTGAATTTATCAAGCCAAGTGTTAATTTAATAATTAAAAAAGTTGTGGCTCCAGGTGTCACATCAAGGTATAGGAAATAAGCTGAAAATATTAAGTAAAATTAATGTAGGTATAAACTGTAAGCTAGTGTACGACTGTAGTAATAAGACTTTTTATAAAGAAACAAGTTTAAAAAACCTACGACCATAATCGCCACTGTCAGGAAGGTGTTCAAATTGTAAAAACACAAAAAACAAAAAGATTAAGAATTGTGTTGATACATTGGCTATGGCCAAATCATGTCGTCGTTTGGCTGTATATTTATGTATCAACGCGATTGACAATAATCTTTCCAACGTTAAAAATCCAACAGAAACGGAAACTGACAATAACCATCCAAAGAATATTGTCGCAAACCAAAATTCTAAGCGTTTATCGTATTTGGTTTCTGAAAAGTCGTTAAGCTGAATCACATTATTAAAACAGTCAAGGTAGGATATAGTTGGATTGGAAATGATAAAAGCTAGGGCTAAAGAAAAAGCTAGGATTGAGGCTTGGGTTTGGGTTAGTAAAAGGTTAAAGCAAAAGCTAGGGCTAAGGTTACTCTTAGGGCTTGGGCTGAGGTTAGGACAGGATAAAAGCCGAATATAAGCTTAAGGATGGGGCTGGAGCTAAAACAAAATTAAAGCTAGAGCTAGAGCTAGAGCTAAAGCTAGAGCTAGAGCTAGAGCTACCAAAGAATGCCATAGATCTTACCTTCATCCTCCCATCCGGCGACAATTTGTAAACTCCATGGAAATGACAACACAACTCCAATCAACACTGATATTAGGTTGATCATAAAATGTCTTGCCAATTTTTTTCTTTGTCTTGTAACAAAGAATGGCAAGAAAATAAGGTTGAATAAATTGAAGACAATACTTGCTACTACTCCAATCAATGTGAATTTGGCAGTGATTCTAAGCTCTGTTGCCATTTTTGAGCTAAAATTAAATAATTTTTACAAAATAAATTTAATTAAGTTTTTTAAACAAGAAGCGCAAAAACTTTATCTAAAAAACAAAAAATTGCAAAAAATTTCTTTTCGAAACAAAAAACAGCAAGAATTTTCTTTACAAAACAAAAACAGCAAGAACGTTCTTTACAAAACAAAAAATAACGAAAACTTTCTTTACAAAACATAAAGTGGCAATAACTTCCTTTACAAAGGATAAAATGGCAAAAACTTTCTTTACAAAACAAAAATGGCAAACATTATTCTTCAGCGTTTCGTTACAGAGGAGTTTCTTTGTAATTGTCAAAATAAAACACGTGTATGTCTAGGTATAATTTAAAAAGACAAAACATCTAATTACAGAAAAGACGACCAGTTTGTCGTATATAATAGAAATTAACTACTACTTTTGAATATATAAAACATAACATTTTAAAAGTAAAGTTCATACATGTTTTAATGTACTTTTTTAATCATAGTCATTAGCTTGCTTTTTTCATAACGGTATGTAGCGGTAGAGTAAATTTAAAAAAGGATATAACGTGTCATTTTTGAAAGATAATGTCATCTTAGCAAGATTTTACAAAAAACATGACTACCTACAATATCTTTCATACAGGCTAGCAAAAATAGCCATAATGTAGAAATTTGATACAGTCAACGTTAGCCAATTTGTAGCTTTACTGCGTAGTTAAAATTTTGGAAGTATTAATAATTTGATGATGCTACACTACAATAAAAACTTAATAAAAGTTACTGTAGAGATGGATTAGGTTTACCTGTGCCGATTTGACTTACATTGTTAGATAAAGCGTGGGTAGAAACTGGGTAAAACCAAGGTATAAAAAAAATTCGAAACTAGCGTGGAGCTACGGTAAGACTTAAAAATTAGGCTAAGAGAGAGTTAGGTGAACGGCAGTTTGGCTTTTTTAGGGCCGGAGTAAGGTTTGTAAAAACCTTGGGTAGAGTTAAAATAGGGGTTCACAATGCTCTACAACCTGTATGTACCAGTTTTCCACCAGTCCAATGCGCGATGGGAGCCTGTTCTTGTAAAATAAGGAAAATCTAGGTTTAAATTTAAAAAACTAAACACTAAATTTTAAAAATTGCATTATATTAAAACACTCTCGCAAGCAGCACGAAATTTGCTCTGTAATTAGATTCGAACTGCTGTTGATGCAATCTTTCACCGTAAAACCAAGCTATTTTAAGACGATGGAAATACAAAAACATTAAAATTAAACTTAGAAACCAACCTGCATTATCTAAATGACATAACAGTATAATAGTAGTAGGTTCTACAAAAACTATAAAACCAACTAACGTGCGGCAAATTATTGTATCTAAAAAATGTGAGTATATATAAAAGTTGTGTACAATCTTATAAATTTTAAAGTTGAAAAGTAAAGAAAATACAAATGCATGATCATTTGCAGGTTTTTTTACCAGAAATAAAGTAATAATACAAACACATAAACATAAATTTGAAATTTTGTAGTCGCTTCTATATATACAAACTTCGAAATACATTTTTTTATTTTTACAATTGTAAAAGATGTAAAGAAAAGATAGTAAAATAACCATAAATAGCAGCTATACTACACTTGTCCAGTTGAAGAATGCAAAAGCACACACGTTAGATCCCGTCGCTACAAAGAACAGCTTTTGGCATTGCGCAGCATTTAAAGCAAGGCAAAGGCAAAGGCAAAGGAGAGGACATGATAGTACATAGTTATCTAGGATAGAGCAAGGCAAGGCAAGACAAGACAAAGCAATTTACACAAAAATTTCTAAATTTCACAGATATTATATTTTTTTTTTTTCATTTTTAAAAAATTTTGTTTTTTTTTTAATTTTAAAAAAATCTAAAAAATTTTGAAAAAATCAGTATTTCTGAATATGAATATTGATGAGCGGTCGCTGATTGAATTGCCTGACAACTGGTATGTTTCGGAACTTCCAAACTTTGGTCGATTGTTGTGGCCTGAAAATGGACTTCCTTTGGTTTTGTCGTTTTTGGCATTCCGCTTCTTGTCTTGGTGTATGAGCAAATGGGCTTGGACTGGTTTTCAGGGATTTCGGTAGGGATTTTTTAAAAATTTTTAAAAATTTTTTTTGAAAAATTGATACTATAATTGTGAAAAATAGTACTATTTTTAAAAAACTGGTACTGTTTTTGAAAAAATAGTATTATTACTTTAGACAAATAGTAGTATTTTTAAATATATCAGTACTGATTTGAATAAACTAGTAGTACTATATTGAAAAAAAGTAGTATTAACTTGAAAAAATAGTACTATTTTTAGAAATCAGTACTATTTTTGAGAAAACTAGTACTGTTCTTAAGAAAACTAGTACTATCTTGAAAAAGCTCGTACTATATTTCAGAAATCTAGTACCACCGTGAAAAAACTAGTACTACTCTCGACTCAACTCGTTCTGTTTTCAAATTCTTTAAGTTTTTAAATTTTTATGTTATAGACAATACCGTCTGTGCAACTTGACAGTATGCGTAATTCACTCTACAATCGTCGGCGGGTCGGTTTTTTACTTTGCTTTAACACATCTACAAGTCATGCTAAACAACCCGGCTACGTACTATGAGCCGAGTATGAAGACAGTCTTTCAAATCACTGTTGGTAAGGGCATTTAGTAACATTTTTAGTTTTTTAAAATTATTTTAAGTCTAACTGTAGTAGTACCAATAGTACTAGTGGGTCAAATTAGTACCATTTTGTAATTTTTTAAAAAATTTATATTTAATGGCACTAGTAATACTAATTTTACTAAACTAGTTCGTTTTTGTTTAATATGGTGCAGTTCTTATCAAACTAGTACAACTTTTAGTCAATTTGTTACCTAAAAAGCATAGAAATTGTCTTTTCTGGCTAATAATTTTACCTTTTTTTAAAGATAAAATATACTTGTAGGTTACTTTATTCACGACACAATACACATGATGAACCACGAGATCTCAAAATGGACTATTGAACTCTTTCTACATCATTCGGCTACAATAATATTGTTCTTATGCCCAATAACAAGCCACCAATTCGCTGTTTTTGCTTATTGGGCACTGCTTATGGAGGTTAACAGGTGAGTATGATACTATGTTAGGTAGGGTTTTCAAAACGGTACCACTTTTAAAAACATTAATTTTACAGTATATTCTTACACTTACGGACAATCCATCAGCTGTCGGGTAGAACAACAAGTCATCCAGGAGAGTTCGAAGTAATCAAGTACACTAATGTTGTTACGTAAGTGTTGTTTTTTAAGTAGTATTAGTTTAGTAAAGCAGTGTTAGCTTTGAAAAAGTAGTACTATCATGGATACAGTACTAGTTTAGATAGAGTGCTCTCTGCTTCGCCAAACTATTAATAACGTGGTCAACATAATACTGGTTCAGTTGAATCACTACTATTAGAATAATAGTACTAGCTTTGCCAAAATAGTATTAGTTTAGTTAAGGTAGTCTTATTTTTCCCAAGGTAGTAAAAACGAGGGCAAAGTAGTACTGGTTCAGTTAAATCGAATTATACTACTCGGACCTTATAGTACTAGTTTATTTAAAGTAGTACTATTTTGGGCATAATAGTACTAGTTTTGCCAAAAAAGTACTAGTTTAGTTAGAGTACTTTCAGCTTTGTCAAAGTAGTACTAAAATGGGCAAAACAGTACTAGTTTGGTTAACGTAGTACTATTTTAGGTATAAAAGTACTAGTTGATTAGATAGTACTAGTATGTCTTATTTTTCAATTTTTCAAAATTTAACATAAAATTTTTTTCCAGCTTCATAATCTTTCGATTCATGGTCCAAACGTTTCAAATCAATTTCACCTACAAGTACCAAGACCACTTTGTATACTTTTACAAGTTTGTTGGCCTGTATGGAAGTTTACTATTCCTTATCATCAACATCTTTTTGTTCTATCGTGTACTGGCTTCGGATGGATTTTTGGGAAAAAAGATTCAAGAACGAGCTAAGAAGACTAACAGAGACCATCAGAAGAATCAATAATGTGAAAGGGCTAAATAGTACTGATTGTTATGGCGGCTTTAATAAACGTTGTAGTGTGCTTTTATTATATATATATTTTTTGAAATGACATTATAAATATTACCCTATGTATTATATATTCTGTCCTATTGTACTATATTCTACCATGACGTACTATGTCTTTTTGTATCCTATTATATTTTGCCCTACATCACTCGGTTTTTCCTTAAAGTACTATACTATACTTCATCGTACTACATACTTCCTGTCCTACCGCACTATATTCTACCGTACTTTACCATAACCAACTGTACTGTATCCACTCTACTGTTAATACTTTGTAAAAATAATACTTGTAAAACCGACACAAAAATTTTAAAAACATGTTTAGTTACTACTGACGTATTATACGTGCCATTTTAAAATATATTATAGTTTGTTTTTCTTGGCCGTTCTAACTCACACTTATGGCCTAAAACATAGACTTTAACACTTGTGCACAATTGTGTCCAAAACACAAACATTCAGGTTATAAGTGTCCAACACTTTCGAGTGCTGTGTAATAAAGGTTGACAAACGAAAAAGAGACGAATTTCAAAACTAAGCGGCCCAAAACTTAAAAAGCCTCGAAATCAGATTGGGCTTTTAAATATGCAAAATCAACTTCAACCTTTTCATAGCTCTACCTTTTTTGTGAATTTATGTTTTTGTTTTATATTATAGTAGGTATTACTACGTCTAACAATTACTAAATGTTGGAATTAGTAATTGCTTTTTTTATTTTTACATTACAAAAGTGAGAACATCTGGCCAGGGAGATTTTCGAGCCGAGTGGCTTTTTTGTTTTGACTTTTTTTTTATTTTTGAAAAAGGGGTTTTTGGCATACTTTTTTTTAGTAATAGTTAAATTGAAGTAGGGTCTATAATTTAGAAAATTTTTATTTTAGGAGGGTAAATTTTTAGTTTTTTTAAAATTTATTGTTAAAGTTTTTAAAGTTTAAAAGCAATCAGCCTGCGGATAAGTTTGAATATAAAAAAAACTCAAGAGTATAGACATTTTTTAACTGTGTAAAATACGGAGGGGTGGTATTTCTGTTTATTTATTCATTTTTTGAGATAAAAGGGCCTTATAATAGGTCAAGACAGTAAAGCAAGGTATAGTAAAGCCAAAACAGGGCGTAGTAATGATGATATAAAAATTTTGATATGGCCGGGCCTGAAAAATGAGCTTGTTTGCAGGATTTAAGAGACTACGATTCTCGGCTCTGAGCTAGGGCTAGGGTTCTAGGTTAGGGCTCTGGGCTAGGGCTCTGGGCTAGGGCTCTGGGCTAGGGCTCTGGGCTGGAGCTCTGGGATAGTGCTCTGGGCTAGGGCTGTGGGCTAGGGCTCTGAGCTAAGGCTTAGAACTACGGCTAGGGATAGGGTCTATATGTATGTATATGGTTTGTGCTTTACGAATGATGATATCTGCTGCACTTGGTCTAAAAAATGCAAATCTGCTGAGCAGAACGCATTTTATAGTCTGGTGCTTTTCATATGTAGTAGAAGGACAAATTCAAACATATCTTTGATATTTGCATCGGAAATATCAGCGAATTCGAACATGCGACGTCGGTGTGATCTGTTATTTTTTATATTAGTTTTAATGTCATTTTTTGGTCAATGGGTCCTTTTTGAATTTTGTTTTTTATATTGTTTTTAGTAAAAACTTTTAAAATTTTTTTTTCTGAAATAAATTTTTGTTTTTTGTATTGTATAGAAAGTTATTGTCATTTTTTATCTTGTAAAAAAATGTTTTTGCTATTTTTGTTATGTAAAGAAAGTTCTTGCAATTTTTTATTTTGTCAAGAAAGATCTTGCTATTTTTTATGTTGTAAAGAAAGTTCTTGCTATTTTTTTATTTTGTAATGAAAGTTCTTGCCATTTTTTGTGTTGTAAAGAAAGTTCTTGCTATTTTTTGTTATGTAAAGAAAGTCTTGCCATTTTTCATTTTGTAAAGGAAGATCTTGTCATTTTTTGTTTTGTAAACAAAGTTCTTGTTTTTATTGTAATTTGCGGTTTTGGAACTGTATAATCCTATATTGTGGTCGGTGTTTAGTATCAATACTTTATGATGTTTTTAAACCGTTTTAGGTAATAAGCCTAATCAAGATCACAGTTATTAAGCATGTCGGTCAAAAAGGAAGCCGTGAAGTCAGCGTCGTACTTTGAGATGGTAAGTTCATTATGTGACAAAAAAAAGTTTTTTGCCATTTTTTAACTTGTAAGGAAAGTTTTTGCCATTTTTCGATTTTTAAAGGCAGTTCTTGCCATTTTGTGTTTTGAAAAGAAAGTTCTTGCCATTTTTTATTTTGTAAAGATAGTGGCTTCCATTTTCAGATGCGTTATGCTACAAGAACAGATTGGGCATTACTATGGACAGGAATCTTCTTTATCATATTATCTGGCATAACTCAACCTTTTAACACAGTAGTCTTTCGTGGTATAACTAGTGCCTTTATGGTTGCTCAAGATGAATATGAACGGGGTACTGGTGTTAATACTACAGTGTTATACGATGAAGTGTTCTATCATGCTCAAATGTACCTGGTTATTGCTCTTATTGTCTTCGCCACTACTTATATTGCGGTAGGTTGTGGGTCTGGTTAAAAATTACAGTATCTTTAGTTATTATGTAGGGTACAGTTACAGTGTATTGTATTAGGGTACTGTAGTAAGGGTACTGTAGTAGGGCGTGGTACTAGGGATGCAGTACTAAGGATACTGTGGTAGGAGTACCGTAGTAGTGTACAGTAAGAAAATGAAGTAGAAGTGTAATGTAACTTTTTAAAGTTCAAATTTTAAAAAATTTTGTTTGACCATTATGTTTTACAGTACGCATGTTTCTTCATACTATGTGAACGCCAATTAGACATATATCGTAAAAAGCTACTACTTACAATTCTACATCAAGATATCAGTTGGTTTGATACGCATGAAATTGGAATGTTAACGCAGAAAATGTCATCGTAAGTTGGGGTAGGGTGTTCAGAAAAACCGGGTAAGGTAGGGTAGGGTACGATAGGGTAAAGTAGGGTAGAGTAGTAAGGTAGGGTACGGTAGGGTAAAGAAAAGTACGGCACGGGAGGGTCTTTTAAGTTTTACATGTTAACAATGGCATTCCAGAGGCATGGACCGTATTCGAGATGGTGCAAGTGATAAAGTGGTACTATTCGTTCATGCTTTCACTTCATTAGTCACTGGTTTAGTCTTAGGATTTTGGATGAATTGGAAAATGGCAATAATGATGTTGTTTATCGTACCTGTTACTTCGTTAATGACCTATGTTTCTAGTGTGGTAAGTTTACAAAATAGTACTATTTTAGTCAAAATTGAGGCTGTTTTTATCAAAATGTGACAATTTTTGTCAGAGAAGTACTGGATTTTCTAAACCGTACTAGTTTCTCAAAAATAGTACCAGTTTTTGCAAATTAGTACAAGTTTTATAAAGATGGTACTAGTTTTACCAAAACAGTACAAGTTTTTTCAAAATAGCACTACTTTTATAAAAATAGCACTAATTGGTCAAAGTGGTACTAGTTATACCAAAAATTTCCAGACTTCCCGCTCCTCGCTTCAAAAACAAAATAAAGCCTACGGCAATGCTGGTGCTGTAGCAGAAGAAGTCCTAAGTGGTATACGAACTGTCACTGCTTTCAATGCACAACAGTTTGAAATCGACCGGTATGAAAAATACCTCAAAATTGGTTGTCAAAGTGGTACTAAGAAGCACTTTTTGGCTGGACTGTTCACGGCTATGTTCACTTGCTTCAACTTTTCTTTCATGGGTATCGGATTCTGGTGGGTTACTGTAATTTTTTGGGACTTTTCAAATATTTTTCAAAAAAGTAATTTAGCGGACCTTTTCACAAATTTTTTGCAAAAAGGTTCTGAGGTCCTTTTCACAAATTTTTCAAAAAAAATTTAGCGGACCTTTTCACAAAAATTTTAAAAAATACTTACTTTTTGACCGAACACCTTTAGGTACGGATCAACGATAGTATTGGACGGTGGAATGGCCCCAAGCACGGTATTCGCAGTGTTCTGGGTTTGTCTTCAAGGCGCCTTCAAAATCTCTCAAGTGTTACCTCAAATCACAACAATAACTGGCGCAAAAGTTTCGGCCGCCGAAATTTTTGATCTCATTGACATGGTAAGGTTTTTTAATCTCTTATTTTACCATGCCCTACCCTGATTTGCCCTACCCTAATCTTTATTTTGGCGTTCCGTTTCAATAAATTTTCGGTATTTTTCATGGGTAATATGTTTTATTATTCTTCTTGATTTATTGCGCGAATCTAATATAAATATTGTTTGTCCTTTGTAAAATACGTCTGTTTAAGTAATTTTTATTAAACTTTACATTTTATATTATTTTAGGGCATTTTTCGATTAAAATTCAGTTCTTTCCCAGGTGTCAAGCTAAAACAAGGTCAAGAGTCGATTGGTAATTTGTTTTATATTAATATTTTTGTTGGTTTAGGTAAAGCAATTGGGAAGCTAACTCAAAGGACATTTTTCATCAAGTTTCGGGAATCATCTTTGTGTGTAATGACCTTGATGTTGTTTTAGTCAAATTTTTAGATAATAATCGAGAATTTGGGCTTGTTTTGGATATAAAAACATGGAGAAATAATGAGAAAGACATTGCTGATAGCTTAAAAGTGTTTTAAGTCAGAAATATGCCCACATTGGATGTTATTACCTAAAAACCTGGCTAAAACAACATCAAGGTCGTTTCACAAGAAGATCATGCCCAAAACTTGATGAAAAAAGTCTTTTCAATTGAATTAACATTTGCTTTACCTAACCCAACAAAAATATCAATGTAAAACGACTTAACAATGGGCTTTTGACCTCTTTTTAGTTTGAAACCTGTGAAAGTGCTTGAACTTGCCTACTATAATATAACTTTTTATAATTTACTATAATTTAGGAGCCAGAAATTGACTGTGAAGGAGATAGTGGCATAAAACTGGATGATGTTAGCGGTGATATTACCTTCTCTGACATTCATTTTCATTACCCAAGTCGACCGAACGTTCAAATCCTAAATGGAGTCTCATTTGACGTTAAAGCAGGTGAAACAGTGGCTCTAGTTGGTCATAGTGGATGTGGTAAATCAACTTTGATCAGTCTATTGATGAGATATTATACTCCTGATAGTGGGCATGTAAGTTTGAGAGGGTGAACAATAAAAAATTTTAAAAAAATTTTTTTTGAGACTTTTAAAAGGGGTTTTAAGTCTTGACGCCAATTTACGATGTATTTGACGGTGAAAAACGACAAGACTTAAAAAATTTTTATATTTTAAAAAAATTTCATTTTGATTTTTTTTTATTTCAGATTACGATTGACGGCCAAACCTATGAAGATATGAACACAAAATGGCTGAGAAGTGTAATAGGTATAGTTTCACAAGAACCTGTTCTATTTGCTGCTACCATCTCTGAAAACTTGAGGATGGGCAAAGAAAATGCAACTAGAGACGAAATGATTCAAGTTTGTAAGGATGCAAATGCTCATGAATTTATTTGTAAACTACCTGATGTACGTTATATTACCCTACCCTTGTTCTTATTTATACTTATATCTTTATCTCTACCTCGTCTTACTCAGCCTACATTTTTTATAATCATAAATTTTAGGGTTACGACACCTTCATAGGTGATGGTGGTGTTCGCTTATCAGGCGGTCAAAAGCAACGTCTCTGTATCGCTCGTGCCCTCATCCGAAACCCTAAAATATTACTACTAGATGAAGCTACCTCGGCCTTAGATACAGAATCCGAACGTCACGTTCAAAAAGCGATCGATCAAGCATCAACCGGTCGAACCACCATAATCATTGCTCATCGATTATCGACTGTTCGAAATGCTGACAATATCATCGTATTCGACCATGGTGTTATTGTAGAACAAGGTACTCACGAAAAGTTGATGGAGCTTGATAGTGTATATAAAGGACTGATAGAAGCTCAGTCCATTGAGCAATGTGATGAAATAGAGGATATTAAGATTGATGATGAAGATAACTATGTACCTGATAGTAGGCCAGCTAGTAGGACCAGTTCGTTGGGAAGATACGATTCAAAACGGGCTAGTAATCGACTGATGAGGTCGATGACATCGGTTTTGCAGAATGACACGGAAATTGAGGAGTGGGTCTTAAAAAATATTACTTTTCAGGGTATTGTTTGCTTGGGCACGGGTTTTTTATTATAGCTGGGGCATCTGCTTTATTTTATTAGGGATGAGAATTTTTTTTGAAATTTGTAGTAGACAATTGCCTGTCCTGCTCTTTCTTATTCCCCGGTTAACATCACACAGTTTTTAAAATTTTATATAACGAAGTCTCTTTATAACATACAAATTTTTAATGCCCTGGTTTGGGGTAATTTTTGCCCTGCCTTTGCCCTCCCTTTGCTCTGTCCTTGCCTTGCATTTACCCTGCTCTTGCTTATCTTTTGTCTTGCCTTTGCCCTGCTACAGTCCAGCTTTTGCTTTGCACTGCATTTGCCCTGCATTTGCTTTGCATTTGCCCTGCTTTTGCTCTTCCTTGTCTTGTCTATCTCTATACTGCTCGCTCTCTTGCCTTATCTTGTATTTCATTGATTTGTCCGCCCTTTATAAAAAGCATCCATTTTATATCTAAACACCCCTTAAATTTCAGTAAAATCGAAGAAATGGAGGAAGAAGAAGCCACCCAAGCCACCCTCAAAGACATCTTCACTTATGCCAAAAAAGAGCGAAAAAAGTTTGTCACCGGCCTGATCTGCACCTTCCTTCGTGGTGCCACTTTGCCATTGTTTTCCTTGGTATATGGTCGTATGTTCTTATCATTGGGACAGGCGTTGAATCCAGAGAATCATGATCGTGTGTCAGCTGAATATGCCGTTAATGCTGTGTTGTTTGTCTTATTAGGAATGTTTTCATTCGTTTTTACTTTGTCATCTGGAGCATTATTGGGGAAGACTGGTGAACAAGTTACGCTGAGGCTGCGGCTGGCCGTTTTTAGGGTAGGTTTGACTGCATTTTTTAGATAGGCTTAATAAGATTCTATTTTTAAGTTTTTTTGGGGGGGGTATTTTTGATGTAAAATTTTTTGGCAGTATATTTTTAACATATTTTTTTTTGGCAGGGCGTTTTTGATATATTTTTTTCTGGGCGGTGTATTTTTGATATAAATTATTTTGGGCGGAGTATATTTTAAATATTTTTGATATTAACTTTGGGGGGGGGCTTTTTTACTTCATTGTTTGGGTGGCATACAGGGTAGGGTAAAGTAGCGTAGGGTATGTAGGTTAGGTAGGGTATGCAAGGGCAAAAATTCTTTGACTAGCCGAATTGTTCTAGAACATTCTCCGCCAAGACGCCTCCTACTTTGATGATGCCAAGCACGCTGTCGGCCGATTAACTACCCGTCTCGACACGGACGCTCCGAACGTTCAAGCCGCGATCGATCAACGGCTTTCTGAGGTTTTGCAAGGTGGTGTTGGCCTAATCTGTGGTGTTTCTATTGGCATGTACTTTAGTGTAATATACACTCCGGTTGCCTTGTTATGCGCTTGTTTTACCGTGGTGTTCCAAGTCTTTTTAACGAACTGGCTGAAGCGAAGAAGTACTAGTGATGCTTTATCGGCCGAAGAGGCTTCTAGGGTGAGATATACATTTTTTTATTTAGTAGTTGGTTTTGTGATTTGTAAAGAAAGTTTTTGCAATTTTTTTGGTTTGTAACGAAATTTTTTTGCCATTTCTTGTTTTGTAAACAAAGTTCTTGCCGTTTTCTGTTTGATAAAAAAAGTTTTTGCCATTTCTTGTTGTGTAAAGAAAATTTTTGCTATTTTTTGTTTTGTAAAGAAAGTTCTTGCAGTTTTTATTGTAATTAACGATCTTACAGTTCATTTACTTTTCAGATAGCATCAGAAGCCATAGAGTACGTAAAGACAGTACAAGCTTTAACGAGACAAAAGCTGTTGTTCAAGCACTTTTGTGATGCCACTTTGGAACCGAAAAGACGAGCCATAATACGAGGACTGGTTCACTCAATTTCATATGGAGTTTTAAATTGTTTTATGTCGGTTAATTTTGCATTATCGTACTATTTTGGGATGTTACTGGTCAACGCTGGACTTTTGGAGCCTTATGTCGTGTTTCAGTAAGTTACCGTATCTTATCCTACTCTACCATATTCTACCATGTTTTACTCTACCCTACTCTACTCCACTCTACTTTAGCTGTGCTCTACCCTACGTTACTCTACCCTTCCCTACCCTACCCTATTCTACCCTACCCTACCCTACCCTATCCTACCTTACCCTACCTTACCCTACCCTACTCTATTCTACTCTACCTTACCTTATGATATCCTACCTTGTATTGTCGCTACTTACCGTACGCTACCTTGCCCTGACTAGCTGTAGCCCTACTCTAGCCCTACTAAAATCCACATTACCCTACTTTAAAGCCTCTACCTTACCCCTACTATATTTTACTTTATATAAAACCAAATTTCAGAGTAATAGAAGCTCTGAACATGGCTGCGATTGTAATTATTGGAGCCTCATCCTATTTGCCAGAGTATATCAAAGCCAGAGTTGCGGCTGGATTACTGTTCAAGATGATGAATTATGAACCAAAGATTGATTCCATGTCGGAGAATGGCATGAAACCGGTAAGTTGCTTTTAAAATTTTTGATGGTACTTGGGGTACAGTAACATCCGAAGGTGGATGAGATTTTTTTAGGGTACAGGGACGTCGGTACGCGGATTTTCTCTTGGGAGGGGAGGTAGAGACCCAAAATTTTTTTTTGGTCTACAGGAGGCCGCTACCTGATTTAAAATAAGTTTTTTTGTGTGCATATTATCTGGGGGGGGAGTCACCCCGAACGACCCCCCCCCTTTCAAACGACGTCACTGGTAGGGTAGGGTAAGATAAGAGAGGAGTACGGTGATGGATAGGTTGGGACAGAGTTTGGCACGGTCGTGTACGGTAAGGTAAGGTTGAGTTTAGTATGATACGGTAAGGTTGGGGTGATTAGGGTAGGACAGGATATAATGTATTTGGGCATGGCAAAGTAGGGTAAAAAATAGAGGGAAGATGGGTTATGTCAGAAAAAAAAATTAAGTTGAACTACCCCACCATTCAAAAAATTTTAAAGTCTTAATCAATTTTTTAGGCCATAAAAGGAGACCTGACCTTTGACAAAGTTTTCTTCGCCTACCCCACCAACCCCAACCATCATGTCATCAACAACTTTTCTCTTGAAATCAAAAAAGGAGAAACAATGGCGCTAGTCGGACCGTCTGGGTGTGGTAAATCAACTACAATACAGTTGATCGAACGATACTATGACATTCTATCTGGCAGTCTGAAAATTGATGACACTGACTACAAACAGATATCGATCCGACATCTTAGGGAGAACGTTGCATTGGTTTCACAAGAGCCAACCTTGTTTAACATGTCTATTTCACAAAATATTTCCTATGGGCTGGAGCATGTCACAATGGATAGGATTATTGAAGCGGCCAAGATGGCCAATGTTCATGATTTTATCGATTCGTTACCTAATGTAAGAAGAATTTTAAAATGATTTTTTTAATTTTTTACAGTTTTAAAACCATGACACTTTTAAGTGTCATGTTTAACAAAAGAAATTGTAGCTAAGCGCGAATTGTGATTTGTCGTATAACCTGTCACCCGCAGACTGCAACAGACAATATGAACGCTTATTGGCTTGCAAATGGCAAAAGTGTTCATTACACCATAAGAAATGACAAGAACTTTTTTACAAAACAAAAAATAGCAAGAACTTTCTTTACAAACAAACAAATGGCAATAACTTTCTTTCCAAAACGAAAAATGGCAAGAACTTTCTTTCCAATACAATAAATAACAAGAACTTTCTTTACCCATTAAAAATGGCAAGAACTTTCTTTACAAAATAAAAAATAGCAAAAACTTTATTTACAAAACAAAAAATGGCAAGAACTTTCTTTACAAAACAAAAAATCGCAAGATTTTTCTTTACAAGGCATAAAATAGCAAGAACTTTCTTTACAAAACAAGAAATAGCAAGAACTTTCTTTACAAAACGAAAAAAAACATAACGTATTTTACAATAATTTTTAGCGCTACGAAACTTCCGTAGGCGCCAGAGGCGGTCAACTATCCGGCGGCCAAAAGCAACGAATTGCCATAGCACGTGCTATAATCAGAAATCCAAAAGTACTCCTATTAGACGAAGCTACATCCGCCCTAGATTCAGAATCCGAAAAAATCGTCCAAGCGGCTTTGGATCGGGCTAGCGAAGGACGGACGGTAATATCGATAGCTCATCGCTTATCGACAATTCAGAAAGCCGACCAGATTGCGGTCGTTAAGGACGGAAAAGTGTTGGAAATGGGCAAACATCAACAGTTATTGGCTCGGAAGGGGCTTTATTATCGACTGGTACAGAAACAAACCGAGTGATACGATTATTTATGATAATATAGTAGTAATATATTATTGTTGTTATACGTTTTTGGATTATAAATATGAGGTACGAGTAGGTGAAGGATAGCCCTAGCCCTGCCTTAGCTCTAGCTTTAGCCTAGTTCTAGTTCAGCTCTAGCCTAACCCTGGCTCAGCCGTAGCCTATCCGTAGCCCAAGCCCTAGCCTAGCTCTAGTCGAGCTCTAGTTTAACCCTAGACCAGCCCTAACACAGCCTTAACCCAGTCTTAGCCCAATCCTAGCCTAGACCTGGCCCAGCCTAAGCCCAACCCTAGCCAGCTTTAGCTCAGGCTAGTCCAACTCTAGTTTAGCCATAGCCTTGCGTAGCCATAGCCTAGCCCTTGCTTATCCATAACCTATTCTTTGCTTAGCCGTAGCCCTAACCCTAATACTAACCTTACTAACCGTAACAAACATTTGAGTTATAAAAAATTGAGTTTATTAAAATGTTATTAATATTATCAGACGCATACAAAATGGAATGTAAAATCTCAAACAAACACAATAACTTTTAACCATCAGTCGTGCCAACCGGTGTCAAAATTGGATGCGAATCGATACCTAAAATACCTGGTGACAAGATCTGAAACACATATCGATTGCCCGAGAAAAGACCATAAGTAAAGAACGATGGGGCCAAAACCAGCACGTTCATTGCATTGGGCGAGCCTAAACGCATGACACCAGCACCGGGGCTGAGCACGATAGCTGAGAAGGATTCTGGAGCTAACACACGACCATCCAACACTTTTGGAGCCATTACTTTGGCAAGAAAGGCTTCCGGAACTAGTACCCAGCCGGTGAGGAGAAGGGGTGATAGTAACATAAGTCGAAAGGCAGTTGGAGATAAGACACGGAGAATGAGGACGTTGGGTGAGAGGATGTTGGCGATGAAGGTACGGGGTGAAATGATGTCCATCTGAAATTGTAATTTGTCGAAATTTCTTAAAATGTTTTTAGTTAATAATTTTTAACTCTCACTGAACCTTGTAACTTCTATTTTTGTTTTTTCAGGCTTAGACTCTGATAGTTAGGCGCAAAGAAGTTTCCCAATAGGCGCAAATTGGCTTAAAATGAAAATTACGATATGAAAAAAGGTTTAAGCGTAGGCTAATTCTTAAGCTTAGGTTTAGGCTTAGACGCAGATTCGGGCTTAAGCTTAGACTTTGAATACGGCCTTGACTTAGGCTTAGGCGTACGTTTAAAAACAGAGTTGAGCTTAGGCTTAAACTTACCATTGGGCTTAAGCTAAAAATAAGATTTAACCTTAAACCTAGACTTAGGTTTAAAATCAAGATGAAAGTTGGGATTAAGCTTAAACTTAGGCTCAGCTTTAAGCTTTAAATAATAATTGAGCTTAATCTATGGTTAGCAAAAGCTTAAATTTTATGTTAGGCTTGAGCTTGCCCTTAATTTAAATGTCAAGCTTAGGCCTTAGAATCATGATAAAGCCTAACTACGCGTAGTCTTAGCCAAGTAAACATGTCTTTTTATGTAACTTACACCTAAAAAGTACGGTGAAAGAAGCTGTAGATAGAAAGCGAACGGTGAGATAATGTAGTTTCCCAAAAAATTGGGATTCTTGATACGTGCTACAAACGCGAACGGATTTAGAAACCTCATATCAAAGATTGATGGCCGAGGGTTTGGAGCTGGAGTAGTGGCAAATCTTTTAACTCTAGTATGTTGGTCTGGAATCAGGGTTGTGTCCATGAAATACTCGGGTTTTATAGTGTATTCTTCTTGGTTCTTTGACATTGTATCTTTATTCTTAGCTTCATTGTCACTGTCATGGTCTGTAGTATATTCTCCATGATCTACAGTCCTATCTTCTTGCTTAAACTTTTCATTCTGAGCCATTTCCATCAGCTCATCTGGAGTCAATTCAGCCAACATTCGAATCGCTTTTTCCAAATAAAAGTCTTGCTCTTTGAACTCTTCTTCCAAATTCACGTTCATCGGATGTACACCGTGCTCACCGTACGCTAGTTCAAGTTGTTCTGGAGTCATAGCTGCGTAGCCGTACCGTGCCATCTGTTCATGTTGATGATCGGTGGTTAGGCTTTGTATATCTGCCATTTCTTCTTCGATTTTTTGTGCGCGTTTGATTCGTGGGTGTAGTTTGTCTTTGACTGTTGTCATATGTTTTCCAAATTTTTTGACATGCCCTTTTAATAGACGTGAGCCGCCGGTAACGTCGAGTAAAAGTTCAATCCATCTTTGTGTTTCACAGTCATCGGATTTGCTCCACTGGAAATGGCAAATTCATTAGAAGGGGTGGGGAAAGTTAAGTTGGGGTAGGTAAGGCGGGGGTAGGGTAGAGCTTACCTTGAACAACTTAGGAATAGGAATCATGCCTTCATCTTGAAAGCTTAACATATTAGGTGACAGCCATCTTTTGGATTCTGGATCAAGTGGACCTTCTGGTAGAATATTAAATAGTTTTGGTGACAACACAGACACAACCCCTTTGTCATCAAAACTTTCAATTTCTTGTAAACTGGTTCTCAGTTGTTCATATGGAGTCTGGCCGTCTGAGTTATGGTACTGGTAGGTCACGTTTAGGTCGTGTTTTTGAAGGAACCTGAAGTCTTTTGTGATTATATTGAAATAAATGAATTTTTTTAAGTGGGAAAAGATTTTGGTCAAAAAAACTTTTTTTTTTAAATTAGTTTTTACTTTTCATTATCTTTTCCAGTACGATAGCTGTATCGGATGATATCGTTCATTTGGTCAAAGTAATCACGAACGTCTCTCAGAACAATTACGTTTGAAGGGACATCACAACGTTGACTCACATTGAAAACTTTTCGGAATGCTGAAATATTCTGTGGTTAAGGCTAGGGCTAGAACTAAACTTAGGGCTAAGACTAAAGCTAGGGCTAGGGCTAAAGCTACGGCTCTAAACTTAGGGCTAGGACTAAAGCTAGGGCTAAGACTAGGACTAGGGCTACGGCTAAAGCTAGGGCTAGGACTAAAGGTAGGGCTAAAGCTAGGGCTAGGGCTAGAGCCAAGGCTTGGACTAGGGCTAGGTGTAAGACTAGGGCTATGGCTCGTGCTAGAGCCAGGGTTGGGACTAGGGCTAGGTGTAAGACTAGGGCTATTACAATACTTACAGACTTCCCTCTTCCTCCTTCTAGCAAACTTTTTCTTGATTTTTTCGAATTGCTTCTGTTTCATAATGTCCAGTCTTGATTTGTAATTGTGCTTTTTATCCTTTTCACTTTTCAACTTTTGAATTTTAATTTTTGTCGAATTCGCGACCTTCAGTTTCTTCAGACGACTTGATGGTTCCGTGTCTGAAAGTTGAATGGATGAACGATGAAAGATTAATGATGAAGTTTGCAAAGAGAAGAGTTTGAACGAAATATACGTAGATTGGTGTTGAAAAGTGGTCTGGAAGATCAATCTATAGATCAAGTAACGACCTAAAGGTTGATGTTTGTCTTAATAAACATAGAGTTAAAGTTGAAATGAAGGTTAAGGGGCTTAAAGTTAGGCTTAAGCTCAAGCTCAGGCTTAAAGTCAAGTTTCAACTTGTTCTTAGGCTCAAGCTGAGGCTCAGGCTGAGACATTTATAAAATAAGGTTTAGACTTAGGCTAGGCTTAAACGCAAGTTCAAAGTTAGTCTGAGGTTTAGGCTTCGACACAAAGTCATACTTTGAATTGCGCTTTGATTTAGGCTTAAGCTCAGATTTAAAGATCATGCTGAAGCTTATTCTTAGACTTAGGTAGGTCTAAACTTAACTTCAAAGTTAGATTTAAACCAAGACTTTGATTGGTGCCTTAATTCAAGTTTTATCTAGGCTTGCCGGAAAAAGACAATTATAAGTTTATGAACAATTATATATTCTACCTACTTGTCTTTTCTTTGCCAAAGCACATAATATGTTGATAAAAGGTTGAAAAAATCTTCTTGAACCAATTCCCATCAATGTCATCCTCAACAGCACTACATGCATCTTTCTCAGCTTTAACTTTGTCATCATTATCTACAATAGATCCAGCTCCACGCTTTTGATTACCATACTTCTGTTTCTCAACCACTTTATCGCGTTCATCTAGGACTTTAACTACGCACCTTGCCAAGTCCATGACATGTTTGGCTTGTCGTTGACATGTTGTGTAGATATTCTTGTCACGAGGTGGCAAATCTTCCAGAATTTGCTTAGCTTTGGCCTAAAAAGAGTACTGTATCTTTTGAAGGTTATCGGGTTGAACTTACATCGAATAGGGTAAAGGTTGAAGCGCGATGGAACAGTGAGTCAATGTACTCCGGGTTCACTTCAAACTGCTTGTGTTTGGCTGAAAACGATACGCTAAGGTACGGTATAGTAGGTTAAAATAGAGGTAGAGTAGGGGCAGGACAAAGCGGAGCAGGTCAGAGTGGGGAAAGGCAGAGGAGGGCAGGGCAAAACAATACATACTTACGTATAGCAGCGCCGTTATAAACAGCCACCAGCGTGCTAAAAAACCACAGTAAGAAGAGGAACGTTTTGGTAGGCACCATAATTTACCACTGTTTCAAACTTTCATTGCTTGTTTCGAAACTAAAACTGAACTTTAATCAATAGACGTTCAAAAAACAGCGAATAAAATTTTTTAATAGCATTAAAAAGTTCTGCGAAACCTTAAAAAACGCTTCGCAACATTTTAACATCCGAAAACTTGATGTTTCCCGGTGATTTACGATTCATTTTGTTAGGGAAATGAAAGTAAAAAGGCGTATAAAGTGGCATGAAATAACAAATGCAATGAAAAGTAAATGAAAAATTAAAAAAATTTCTATAAAATAATTATTAAGAGACGTAAAATTTAATAGTATAATACAGTGAAGCACCTGTGTAACGAATTGCTCGGAGGCTTGAAATTTGTTCGTTATGAAAAAGTTTCGTTATACAGGAGTTTTAAATGCATTGTGTAGTGGTAGACGGGCAGAGCCAAGCGCGAGGGGGGGGGACGGGTTACCCTGTTCCAGAAAAAAATTTCCAATATTAGTCGAACGTGACCTTCCACCCTACCCCCGTGTATTTTTGAAAAAAATTTTTTGCAAAAAATTCCCACAGTTTCAACTGCGCCGATTTTTTCGACCCCCAGACTGAAAGACCCGCCTAGCACTGCATATATAAAAAAAGGGTTCGGGCACTATAGATGGGGATTCAAAAGTTGTTGGGTATTTTTATTAAAGACAAGTTAGGAGTTTCAGTGTAGATTTAACTTGAAGGACTAAAGCTAGAGCTCGAGTTAAGCAAAAAATTGTAACAAAGTACCTCTCCGCTATTAGAACGACCCCTAGATAGGATGGCAGAACGTAAAAAATTACAGGAAAAACCATTTTCAAAAACAGCTAAATGGCATTGCGGGTTATATTACGCACATTATTCTTACATGTTTAAAAGGTATAGCTTAAAACTAGAAAAATTCGGTTTTAATAAATAATTTTTCTAAATGTAGCTTAAAGCAAAACTGATGACCAGTGCCAGGCAGAAACTTTTGGTCTGGGGGCGGGGGTCGAAAAATTTTTTTCCAAAAATTCACAGGGGGGGCCACGTTCAACTTTTTTCGAAATTTTTTTAGGGGTGGGGGTTCCCTCCCCCGTCCACCCCCCACCTTCAGCGCCCGGCCCTGTTGATGACTAAAAAATTGTTTTTCAACAAGACATGGTTTGGCAGACTTATACGTGAAAATCTTTAAAAAGATTCTCAGTTTTTTTTGAAAAGCACAATGGAACTGCTGTATAACGAATCGCTTAGCGATTTGAAATTATGTTCGGTATAAAGTAGTTTTGTTATAAAAGGGTTTTAAATGCACTGTGTAGTGGTAGACAGGGCTTCAAAAGTTGTTTGCTAACGTTACGAAGGAGTTTGTTATAATCGACTTCTACTGTCCTCGTTCCGCACGCCAGACTAATTTCTTAACTACTCTGCCAAAGTGGAAGCTTAATCTGTTCTTTTTGCTCAAATCTAACCTAAGGCTGAAATGAAGCTAGAGCTCCAAATGAAGAAAACTTAACGTTAAATCTAAATCTAAGGCTACGTCTTATTTTTCCGTTTTTAAAAAACCCAAAATAAATTTAAAATTTAAAAACCGAAAAGTTTGTAGTGTTAAAATAAACATTATCAAACGTTTAATAAAGGACTTCCAGATCTTCCGCTTCCAGATCTGGAAATGCGTCGACCGGCGTAAGTCATTAATTACCGTTAATTACTAAAAAGAAGTGCCGGTTTTGTCTTGTTTTAATACGTTGAGAGATAGTTTCATAACAACTTTTATTAATTTTATGGGTCTGTACAAGTAGTAAATTGATATGGTAAATATTTTATTGTTTTTTGGAACTTTAAAGATGGTTTTGTTTATTATCTTGGGTATAGTATAGTAGGGTAGGGTAGGGTAGGGTAGGGTAGAGTAGGGTAGGGTAGGGTAGGGTAGGGTAGGGTAGGGTAGGGTAGGGTAGGGTAGGGTAGGGTAGGGTAGGGTAGGGTAGGGTAGGGTAGGGTAGGGTAGGGTAGGGTACGGTACGGTAGGGTAAGGTACGGTAGAACACGGTAGGGTAGAAAAAAAGTTATTATGATCGTTCTGGCATTAAAATTGGGTGATTTTCCATGCCAAAGAAGCCAGGTGACAATACTTGGAAAATGTATCGATTTCCAGAGAACATCCCATAAGTAAAAAACGATGGTGCCAAGACCATCGCATTCATAACGTTTGGTGACCATGCTCTCAACACTCCAGCTGCTGGACTTAACACTGTTATAGACAGCGTTTCTGGCGCTAAAACCCGGCCGTCCAGCGCTTTTGGCGCCAAGATTTTGGCCATTAGAGCTTCTGGGACGATGATCCATGCTGTTAGGAGAGACGGGTTGAGGAGGGCAATTTGTAGGGCTGTTGGAGATAGTACTCGGAGGATTAGGGCTTGTGGAGAAAATATATTGGCTACAAGGGCTCGGGGTGATACCATATCCATCTGAAAGTTTGGTAGGATAGGTGAGGGTAGAAGTGTTTGTATGGGCATTGTAGAGTAAAGTGTTATAGGGTAAGGGAAAAATAAAGTCATAAAAGGTTATAATATGGCTAGGGCAATGCTATTTAAAAGTAAGGCGTTTATAAGGTTAACAAGGGAAGTACCCAACCTGCAACTCTCAGAATCAGCTCAAAATTTTTATATGAATTCCTTGTACTATCAACAGTACCCATAAAAAAATTTTAGCTGGCGCTTTCGAGTTTTAAATTTCAAATATTTGGGTTCCCCGCCAATTTGGCAAATTTGGCATTGTGTTTTAAGCACTTTTTTGACTTTCCAGTCAAGCTACGCTTACAAATTTAAAAATGTAAGTTCACTTTAAGGTTTTCTATTAGCATATCATAGAAAAATGATAAAAAAATCAAAAAATGGCAAAGTTATAAGCTTAAAACACTATGCCAATTTGGCGGGAAATTCGACTTTTATATCTCAATTTTCTCAAATCTGGCCGCAAACCGCAACTTAGAATTTTGCATAGGATCTTACATTCACATGACCTTTTAATAAATTTGAACGAAATCTGAGCGTTGCAGGTCGGGTACCTTCCTTGTAAGGTAGGGATAAGGCATGACAAGCGTAGTGTTAGAACATGGTTAAGGTAGAGCTAGGGTAAACGTAAAGTAAAGTTAGGCCAGATTAAGATCGGAGTAAGGATTTAAAAATGGTAGGGTTAGGGAAGGAATAGTATAGGGCTAGAGAGTAGTTAATGTTAGGATAAGGCTAAAGCATGCCATGAGTTATTGTTAGGGCATAGTTAGGGCATGGGCTAGAAGTGATGAGACTGAGACTAGGGTAAAGATGGGAATAGAGAAAGACTAGAGTATAGCATAAGTAAAACAAAAGTAAGGCAAGTAAAAAGCTAGGGCAGGGTTAGGGTAAAGCGAAGGTTAAGCTAGTGTAGGTTAAGACAACGAAAATTATGTTTAAGATAGTATGCAAGAGCAGAGCAAAGGTAAGACAATGATAAGCTAGGGTAAAAATTACTTACCCCCAAAACGTACGGTGCAAAAAGAGTAAGGTAGAAAGCATACGGTGACAGTATATAACTGCCCAAGAAGTTTGGGGTATTGATACGTGGATCAAAAGCAAATGGATCTAGTAGTCGCATATCGAAAATTGGTGGTCTTCTTTTGACTCTAATATGTTCTTCTGTAGAAGCATTTTTCTGGCGTTCATTGTTCAATTTTGAATTTTTTTTGCCACTGCCACTTTGTTTATAATCTTTAGTGTATTCCCCATGATCTACAATACTATCTTCTTGCTTAAACTTTTCATTCTGAGCCATTTCCATCAGCTCATCTGGAGTCAATTCAGCCAACATTCGAATCGCTTTTTCCAAATAAAAGTCTTGCTCTTTGAACTCTTCTTCCAAATTCACGTTCATCGGATGTACACCGTGCTCACCGTACGCCAGCTCCAGTTGTTCTGGAGTCATATCCGCGTAGCCGTACCGTGCCATCTGTTCTTGTTGATGATCAGTGATTAGGCTTCGAATGTCTGCCATTTCTTCTTCAATCTTTTGGAGTTGTTGTATTCGTGGATGTAGCTTGTCTTTGACTACCTTCATATGTCTGTCAAACTTTTTTACATGCCCATTTAGAAGGTTGGATGCACCAGTCAGGTCTAATAGAAGATCAATCCAACGTTGGGTTTCACAGTCATCGGATTGGCTCCACTGAAAATGGCATTTTGCTTAGGGTAGGGTAGTGTGAAGTAAAGCACGGTAGCTAAAGTACCGTAGGATAGAGAAGAGTAGAGTAGGGTAATAAAAGTATATCTTACCTTAAACAATTTAGGAATAGGAATCATGCCTTCATCTTGAAAGCTTAACATATTAGGTGACAGCCATCGTTTGGATTCCGGATCAAGAGAACCTTCTGGTAGAATATTAAATAATTTTGGTGACAAAACAGACACAACCCCCTTGTCATCAAAACTTTCAATTTCTTGTAAACTGGCTCTCAATTGTTCATATGGAGTCTGACCGTCTGAGTTACGGTATTGATAGGTGACGTTTAGGTCGTGTTTTTGAAGGAATCTAAAAAAATGTCATATTGAGTAGTATTTAAATAGACCTGTAAAGAAAACGGGCCGAGCAAAGTAAACATTCCTTTAGGTTTAGTGATAACTAATAACAACTTTGATTTATGATGCATCTTTTTACAAAAGAGTTATGAACTTACTTTTCATTGTCTTTCCCAATGTTATAGCTGTAGCGAATTATATCGTTCATTTGGTCAAAGTAATCACGAACGTTCCTCAGAACAACCACGTTTGAAGGAACATCACAACGTTGACTTACGTTGAACACTTTCTTAAATACTGTAATTTTAATTCTATGATTGAAAAGAGTGCAAAACTTAACTATTATTTTTTTGTATTGTTCTAGAGATATTATGTTACTATTTATAAGTAGACTTTAAAAAATGCTTAGTAGACCTGGCATAACTCCGGCTTCAAAATAAAACAAATTTTAAAAGGAGTTGAGGCGAATTGCACACGCCCATAGATCGGACCTAAATTAAGGCTGCAGGAGCTCAGATTAGACTTGGCAATACCGAATTTGTGTTTTATTTTAGGCTGATTCAATCGATTTTAAATAAATTTGTATAAGGGGCCGGAACGAGCCTTAAAAGTTCAAAAGGCTTGCACATGCCGATAAAAGTGCAGGAGTGAAAACCAAAAGCTCGGCTAGGCTTCTTTACAGTTTTATTATATTTAAAAGTTGTTGGTGGACTTACTTACAGATTGCTCTTTTTCGTCTTTTGGCAAACTTTTGCTTAATTTTTACAAATTTTCTTTTCCTCCCGTTGTCTTCTATTGTACTGTTATTGTTTTTATCATCATTTTCAAATTTCTTCAACATTTTCTTTTTACTAGGTTTCAAAACAGCCTGTCTCAACTTTTCTAATCGCGTCTTCTTCGGCCTCACTAAGCACATGAATTTTGAATAAAAAAGGTTCAATATACTCTTCAGCCAATTTTCATCAATATCATCTTCAATAGCACTACATAAAGCTTTATTATCTTTGTCATTTTTTTCATCGTCATCTATAATATAAGCACTTCCATGGTTTTGTTCACTATACTTTTGTTTTTCAATAAGTTTATCACGTTCATCTAGAACTCGAACAACACATTTCGCAAAGTCCGTGATTTGTTTGGCTTGTCGATTACATGAGGCGTAGATATTTTTGTCGCGAGTTGGTAGATCTTCTAGTAGTTTTTTGGCTTTGCTCTAAACGAAAAAGTATAAATTCATAACTGCAAAAAAAATTTAATTTTTTTTTATTTTATTACTTGGCTAAATCTAAAAGAGGCACACTACCTTTTGTCCAGTCTTGGTTCGGGGCAAAAACTTTGAAAGGGACTGGGTTGGGTTTGCACTTATTGGCCCGAACAGTCAGACCCAATACAAGGCACAAAATGGACCCAGATTAGGCTTCTAACAAAATTTTTTTAAAGGTGCCACAACATACGTGGACCCGAGTGATATGATCTACAGTAAGAATAAATTGCATTGTTATAGATATATGTCTTTCTTTGATTAAAACTTACATCAAATAATGTAAAGACAGATGCACGATGAAAAAGCTTGTCAATATAATCGGAATTCATTTCAAAGGTCTGGGATTTTGCTAAAAAATAGTTTTTTTTTCTATTTTTTGTCTTGTTACGATCTAAATTATAGTAGTACTTACGTATAGCTACCCCATGACTAACTTCAAAAATGGTACAAAGTAGCGGTATTAAAGAAAATCTTGTGGTTAAAACCATAATGTTCAACGTTCCGTGTTCAATGTGTAGTAGGTAATGGCTTCGAAGCGTCGCAGTAGAAGTTTTGTAATTTAATAATATGTATTTTTAAAATAAAACATAGATTGTTATTAAGCGTAACGCTATAAATCTTTTTGCGGAAATAAGTTATCAATTAATGGTGGAAGAAGTGCCGGTTCTGTTGGATTAGTTTCATAACTGATTAACGTATGACCTTTTTGTTTTTATTTTTAAGCCAACTAGATTTTGTCATTAAAAGGCTAGTTTTCCATATTTTTTACAGGTCTTGTTTTTGTTTTATCCAAGCTTAAACGTAGCTTCTCCTTCTCCTAGGCTTGCGCTACTTTTAGTTTACTCTTGCTTTATTATAGTCTATAGCCTTAGTCTTGCTATGCTATACTAGTGTCTGTTTTTAGCCTTAATTTTGTCTTATTTTTGCCTGCTGTCCTACTCTTGCATTACCTTTGTCTTCTCTTGTATTACCCTTGCCTCGCTCTTGTCTTTTCTTTGCTCTGATTTTGTTTCATTTTTTATTTACCTTTGCTTTATATCTGTTTTACCGTAGTATCATCCTTGTCCTATTCTAGCCATTCTACAGTCATATTTATAAAAGGTTTAGCTTTAGTCCTAACTTAGTCTTACTATACGCTTACTACAGTACCGTTGCTCAACTGTTTCTACGGTAAGTACAGTCAGTTGTACATCAACATTCAATACAGTAATATACGTATATTAAATAGTTTTATTTACAAGACAAACATAATTAAAGGCAGTACTAATACAGTGTGTAGCAAAGAGATTGTTGGAATGTGAGAAGCTCCTTTGAGGTTTGTGTTACAATCATAATTACAGTAGTCTGATCCATCACATATTTGTAGCATCCATTCGTTGTTGCCACTTATACTAAAATTTAATTGTTTTTTAATTTTAAAATTAAAAAAAATTTTTTGAGGTTTTTACTTTGATGACAGTGAGATGGCTAGTCAAAAAACCGTATTTTACAATAAAAAGTTAATAAATCACCTTCGAATGCAGCGATTTCTGACGCCGAATGTCTGTTTGTCGTATCCGTATGTGAAGAACGGAGTGTCCGAGCAGCTCCGTTTCAACGTATATCGATCTGGATTTTTTTGAAGATCACGATGGCGGTCTGTAAAATAGTTTGCTAAGCTGTTCATACAGTAATGAGCCATGAATTGTAAGAAATTTAGTATAGACCCTAACCTTACCCTACCCTACCCTACCCTACCCTACCCTACCCTACCCTACCCTACCCTACCCTACCCTACCCTACCCTACCCTACCCGACCCTACCCAACCCTACCCTACCCTACCCTACCCTACCCTACCCTACCCTACCCTACCCTACCCTACCCTACCCTACCCTACCCTACCCTACCCTACCTTACCCTACCCTACTCTACCCTACCCAACCATATCGTACTATGTTGTACCTTCCTTGACTTTATCCTACTCTACCCTACTGTACTATGCATTATCCCACCCTAGCTCATGACATCGTTTTATACCGTACCATACCCGATTTTATCACATCTTACTTTACCTAACTCTTTCTATACTTTTACTGTTCTATGCCCTTCATTTACCTTTTGTCTAACCTTGCCATAGCTTTACCGCGCCTTGCCATCCCTTGCTTTAGCCGTACTCTTTTTCCGGATACCCTATCCTGCCCCTCTCCTTCTTCTTTAAAATGTACTACTTACAAAACGTGCAATACTTTCCGTTGCAAACTTCATTAATCTTGTTACAGCCAATCACACCCATGCATTGGTCGTGACATGCCACGCTTTCGGTTTCTGAAAATTTTTAAAAATTTTAACATAATTTTAAACTTTGAATTCACTTAGATTTTGTAAATTCAAAAGTAACCATTCAAAACAGAAATCTAATAACATACCTTCAAAGCCAATAAAAAGTACAACGATTGCGATCCGAACTGCGCCAATTCGCATAATGACCTTATTTACAACACCAATATATTGTTATGTCGAACGGCGAGAGCGAATATTGTTTTCTCGACAAAAAACAAAAAAATCCACAAAGTTGCGCAATCGGTGGCTGAAAATGTTTGTTGTTTGTCAAATTCTAGTGATAATAACATGGTTGAAGTAATAATAATAAGACAGCGGGGTTTTAAAATTGAAAATATTATACTCAACTATCTATATCGCCACAGTACTCTTCGTTTTACTTCTTGTCTTACTCTTTGCTTTACTCTACGCTTTGCCTTTTGCCGTACGCTGTACTAGTTGCTCTTCCCCTTGCCCTGCCTTTGCCCTGCCTTTGCCCTGCCTTTGCCCTGCCTTTGCCCTGCCTTTGCCCTGCCTTTGCCCTGCCTTTGCCCTGCCTTTGCCCTGCCTTTGCCCTGCCTTTGCCCTGTCTTTGCCCTGCATTTGCCCTGCTTTTGCCCTGCCTTTGCCCTGCCTTTGCCCTTCCTTTGCCCTGCCTTTGCCCTGCCTTTGCCCTTCCTTTGCCCTGCCTTTGCCCTGCCTTTGCCACTACTCTTACCTTATCATAGCCTATCTCAATCTTACTCTGTCTTTGATTTGTCGTTTCCCTGTTTAGCTTTAGCTTTTTCTAAAAGGTTAGACTTACATGATCTTCTTACAAACAAACGAAATCTGAGCGTTGTAGGTTGTGTACCTTTCTTGTTAGGTTACATTTTTGCCTAGCCTACTACTATCACCATCCTCTTTATCACTAACTTTTCCTTGCCCTTACAATCGCCACAGTCAAGAAGATTTTTCACCAAGCCCCGTATAACTTACCATCAGAAAAATAAGTGGCAGTATAACATGAATAAAATTACAAATTTTCAGTATAACATAAAAGCAAAAAAATAATAATTTGAGTATAATATCAAGCAAACACAATAAGTTTTACTATAACAAAACATAAAAAATAAGTCGCAGTATAACATAACACTAAAAAGACCCCATCAAACTCTTCCGAAACAACTGGATTAACTTTAATTTGAATGGTCATTGCGAATGAAAGTGCGATTTGTAACAGAAATGCATGTCCAAAAGAAGGAAAGGGAAGAGAGCATAAGGCCATTTATCGTCTTCGTCTGAATCATCCTCTCGCGGATCCAAAAACTATTTCTTTAAAGTTTTTAAAAACCTGGACATCATGGAAAAAATATTTTGAAATAACAAAAAATATTGTCATTGGTTTGCTGCAAAACCAAGAGATTTAGGTAATTTGAATGCCCTTCAAAAGCAAATCATTTACCGTGATTTTGTTAAGAAATTAAGGTAAAACTTTACGTAAACATGATTTAATTAACGTATTCAAAAGACATGCCTTTTGATTTCGTGGGTAATAAAGATAAACAACCTGTAGAGAAGTGTAGGGCGAACAGGGAAGGGGTGGAAGAAAGAAACGTTGATACAAGAGTAGAGCTAGGGTAACACAGTAGGGTTAAGATAAAACAAACCGTAAGATTGAGAGTGGGCAAAGATAAGATAGGGTTATAACAAGCTAACGCTAAGCAGGGCAACAACAAATAAAAGGCAGAGAAAAAGCGGAGTAAGATTGAGATAGGCTATGATAAGGTAAAAGTAAGATTAGGAAAAAACAGAAGGCAAAGGCAGGACAAAGGCAGGCCAAAAGCAGACCAAAGGCAGGGCAAAGGCAGGGCAAAGGCAGGGCAAAGTCAGGGCAGGGTAAAAACTAACTATTTTCAAATTTCAAAATTTCAAAAAAATTTCAAAAAACATCTATAAACGTGAACGTTCCAAATATGAAAGCAGATATGATTGACGTGCTCTAATGTAAAATATATCTTTTTGGTTCAAATTGTGTTAGTTTTTCCTTTATTTTCGATTGTCTGGGGAATAAACTTGAGAAACACTTTTGAAATGGATCAGATTACATAAATTTATTTATTTTAACGTTCGCAAGTTAAGTACAGACGGTATGAGACAATAATGTTGCACTGTTAATTAAAAATGACAGTGTTATTGAATTATTGATGTAAAATCACAATGATATTGCACTATTAAGGCAAAATGACATTGATATTGCACTGGAAATGATAATCATAACTTACATTTCCATCGAAAACGTTTAAAAAAGTCTTGTCGTTTTTTAACACAGTGTTCAGTACTAATAAACGACAAGACTTTCTTTCGAATTGACTTTACTAAAAAATAATTATTTCTACTATTAAAAAAGTAATAGTGGAATTAGTTACAGTATCTACAGTATATGTAAAACATATTTTTTCAATTTTTCATATTAGGCTTGTCAAGACCACATTAGGCTTGCCCAGTCAATTGCTTTTCATCATCACTATCAGTGTTGACAGGTCCATCCGATGGAGCTAACGTAGTCTGTTTAGCATAAACCTCAGCATTCACGGGTTCAGTAGCATTCACTACAATGCCAGCGACTTCACACTTCGTTCCACTGTAACCAAGGTTACACAAGCAGGTGTACTGGTTAGTAGTACCCATGCACCAGCCATGTCCTGAGCATTCACGGTTTGAGTCACAGTAAGCTGGAATGTGAGTGTAAGTAATTTAAAAGTGTTTTATAATAAGTAACACGCTTTATATTATCTTTACTTTAACATCAAAAGGTCCAAAAAACCAAAATTTTAAGAATTACAGTAATCTTATCGTAACTAAAATTTTTTAAAAATTTTAAAATTTGTTTTTAAAATGTTGAAGACCATTAAAAGATGCATTAATCTAACAATTTTCATATTTATATCTTGATTTATAACAAAGTTATGATCATCTGAAAAAGCCGAAAATCCAAAAATGTTCGAATCCGGCCGGAAAATTGCCCGTTTTTACATTTTGAACGCGCTGTAATTTCTTTACTACACACCGTCTAATTTTAAAAATTTTAATTTATATACGTTTTTTCAATTTCTATAATATGCTTTAACTTACTTTAGGTAACAACTTATAAGTTTTTTAAAAAACAGGTTGAAACCATCTATTATACCTCTAAAATGCCTAAAAACCTTTCACTTTTTGTCGTTTTTAAACTAAAAAACAAAAAAATTTTTTAATTGTAGCATGTTTGATTACTGAATGTTATAATAACTTACATTCTTGACATCTAGGTCCAGCAAACCCAATTTGACAAATACAAAATGGCATAGTTTTCGTCCCGAAACAAGTACCGTGGTTAGAACAATCCTCTGCCGTACAAACAGATGGACTGCTCACCGAGTTGACTGATTCATTCTCTGATTGTCGCGTCTTTAAAATGCATTTTTATTAAAATTTAACTATAAAAATTTAAAAACCTTCCTCACCCTACCCTACCCTACCCTACCCTACTTTACCCTACCATACCCTACCCTAAATAGTATTAACCTACCTTTCTCGCTTTGATCCAATCATTATTCATAGTCCTAGCGCTGGCCACAGTAACCAACAATACCAAAAAGCACGTTGAATTCATGTTTATGTAACTCGACAGCAATTATCTTCTTTTTATATTGTGTTAAACAAATATTTTTCTATAATAAAAATTTTATTGTACAAGATATAGAGAGATGTTGTTATTACGCGTTTTGAAAATAAACATGTTTTACAATGGAATGCTCGCTACTGCTAACACAATATTCTAGAAGAATAAAGCGTTTTTTAATTTTATAGTATTATGAAAGTGAGAACGGTCGTTTTAATGTCTTTTAGAGTTAAAAATTATAAAACCTAAAAAAAACTTAACTTTAGCTTTAAAAGTATTTTTAGGCTGGAGCTTAATCGTGGGCTTGCACTTGAAGTTGAGAACAAGCAAAAACTAAGCATAGATTTAAGCAAAACCATGCGTCCATGCCTAGACTAGGGCTTCAATTTACGTTTAAAAACGATTTCAGCTTATGTCTTTAGGCTAAGACTAAGGTAAAGGCTAAGGCTTGTCTTAAAAATTTAGTTAACTACCCCTCCCCGCCCCCTCCCCCACCCTCCGCTCTTTAAATTAAACCCCCCCCCCTCTCTCACTATTCTCTACAGTACCTTTTTCCTCAATATGGCTTCTAAACGTACCTAAACGTTTACTCAAAATCAAAAATCACCAAAAACCTGACAATTACAATAGCTCGATTAGTCGATCCTATAGTTACAAATGCCCCAACAGAGTAACATAATATAAAAAAAAGAATTAAAAAAAACTCGTCTGACTGACTTTTGTGTTTGATTGGTATTCGAAATGAAATAATAAAAGCGAAGCACACTTATCTCGTCAGGATTCGCGCATTGTTATTGTAGTCGGGAACATCAAAAGGCTTGATTAATTTTGAAAAAGCCGATTTTTAAACTAATTTTTCGGTTTTTTATAGCGATTCAATGCCGTGCCCTGATCAGATATGGTATAGACCGAGCTAGACTGGACTGTACCGGACCGGACTAAGCTGGACTAGACTGGTTTGTTGTGATCTGTTCTGGTCTGGTTCGGTCTGGTCTAATCTGGTCTATTTTGTCGTGGTCTGGTCTGGTTTTTCTGGTCTGGTTTGGTTTGGTTTGGGCTGGTTTAGACTAAACTGGTCTGAATTAGACTGGATTAGACTAATCTGGTTTGTTTTGGTCGGGTCTGGTCTGGTCTTTTCTGGTCTGATTTCCCCTGCCCTGCCCTGCCCTGCCCTGCCTGCCCTGCCCTGCCCTGCCCTGCCCTGCCCTGCCCTGCCCTGCCCTGCCCTGCCCTGCCCTGCCCTGCCCTTCACTGCTCTGCCATGTCCTGCCCTGCCCTTCCCTGCCCTGCAATGTTCTGCCCTGTCCTGCCCTTCCAGTGCCTATTCAAAGATTTATTCTACCCTACCCTACAGAAAAATTAATTCTACTCTGCCCTACTCTAAAATTTATTCAACCTCTTCTTTCTCCCTCCCCCTCCTCCCCCCCCCCTCCCCTGCCTGAAGACAAGCTTTTCGAATCAAATGCCGCTTTATTTTGACTGTCTGCTTGAAATCAAAGATTCACACGATGACACGAATCCTGAAGATGCCGTAAATAATGGCTTTCCATCGGCGTTCAGGTGAAGAATGGTTATGGAACATGTTACAACAAGTCAAGTGGATCATAATCTTTAGTGAAGAAAACGTTTGCTTTTTTAGAAATGATGACTAATAACTAAACTGTAAAATATAAGAAAATATTAAAAGTTATTACCACCAAGCTAAAAACTACAATAACAATTAAAAAAGTAACGATTTATTCAAATGAAATGTAAAATACGGAATGAAGAAATACTTTTTAATCTGATTTCGACGTGTAGAGCGCTGGAAATTTGTAATCTTCGGTTTCTTGCAGCCTAAAATAATAAAAACTACATATAAAAGACCAAAACTGACCATAACCTCAGTCTTAAGCGTATCGCTTTACCTTTAGTCTTAAAATTAGCTTTAAGCTAAGCAGTAGATTAAACCTGAGCTTAATCCTAAGCTCGAGTCAGAGCTTTAGCCTAAGCCAAGTTTGAGCCTGAGCGTGCGTCAAAGCCTACGCCTGAGGATGATCGTTAGCCTGAGCCCAAGCATACTCCAAAGCCTAAGCCAACGCTTGAGCTTGAATTTGAGCTCGAAATTAAGTTTGAGTTTGAGTTTGAGCTTGAGCCTGAGTCTGAGCCTGAGCCTGACTTTGAGCCTGAGCATGAGCTTTAGCTTCAGCCTGAACCTGAGCTTTAACTTTACTTTCAATGCATGTTCTGGCTTTTTCTTAAAATATGATAGCTATATTTAAGCCTTAATCTACACCGCTTTAGCTCTTTTCTTACAATACCTAACTCTAGCAGACTTAGTAGAAAAACAGTAACAAATGTTATAACCCACCAATTCCTCTCATGCCACTTCTTTCTCTCAACCATCTCCGCCACATGTACAGTATAAGCATGTCGACTCTTATCCGATGTATTTGGCTCACTTTTGTGTGCCACTAACCCATTAATCAGTACCATACTACCTTTCGGTACAGGTACCGGTAAAAATTTGCTCTGATCATACGTAGGCTTTTTACCTTCAAAAATCAACAACTTTTCATTGGGATCGGTCGAAAAAGTCCTAACAAATCGATAGCCAGGATGAGGACCTTGATGTGAGCCGGGTATAAACCATAAACAGCCATTCTCCTGGCTAGCCTCGTCGATCGCAATCCATATACCAAACAAGTTTTCGGGCGGATCACTTTGTAGGAAGGTAGCGTCAATGTGGTCAGTTACCGCACCACCAATTTTGGGCTGCTGCAAGTTTGCTACGTAATTTTTTTGGAGTTTTCAATGGGATATGAGAGGAAAAAGTTTGAAAAAAGTAAATAAAGTGAGAGATCAAACATTAAAATAGAGTTAAAGTACGTACACAGGGTGCGCCGAATAGCGAAAACAACCGGTAAAGTTTTGTAACAGAACTTTTGGCAGACTTTGTATAACTATTAGAGTAAGCTAGTAACCTTAACCTTAATGAAAAAACAGAAAAGCTTTTCTAAGCTAGTGCCAATAAGACTTAAAAAAGGCACATTAAGGCTCACCTAGCCCACTCGGGCCAAAGCAAAAGAAAAAGAGAACGAGTTGGCACATTAGAGATGGCAATCGGGACAAGCCGGCCAAACTTAAACGAGAAGCCTGAACAAAATTTAAGAAGGCCGACTCCAAGATTGAGCAAAATTTAGACCGGCAAGACCTAAAGTTTTTAGCTCGTAAGTGAGGCGCAGGCATAGACGTCGGGCGGGTCTAAAAAAAAGTAATCGGGTCGGATCCGGAATTCTATGGGTCCTGAAAATCGGACCCGACCCGCCCGACGTCCATGCCTGGTGAGGCTAAACCAACCCGTCTCAGTTCGGCATACTTACGCCCAAAGGCTAAGACCAATGACCTTTTACAGCTCCACACTTACCTTAAAGATGTACATGCTTTGAACAATGTGTGGGTTTTGGAATCCAAGTGATCTTACTATGTTCTGAAAAACAAAAAAAATATTAAAAAACTACAGTTTTAGCTTAAAATTTAATAAAGAAAGTAAAATACCAATAAAATGGAAAGGTGACATAACTTACACATATCCGTTGATCAAAAGTGTACTTTTTGAACACGGGATTCAGCCAGTGAAGCGCTGAAAACAGCTTATTTTAAATAAAACATATAGTCTTACTCGAGCCTGGGCTTGTGTTATCCTTGCTGTTCTTTAACCTATCTTTGTCTCACTATAGCATTTCCTTAGCCTTGGCTTACTCTATCTTCTTCTTAGTCTAGCTTTCTATTACTTTAGCTTTGCTTAAATTTGCCTTGCCTTACTCTAACCTTGTCTTACCTTAGCTTTTTCTGTAGCCTAACTTTGCCTTACTTCAGTTATGCTTTACTTTAGCTTTTCTTTAGTCAATTCAAATTCTAGATTTGTCTTACCTTTGACTTGCCTTACCCATGCCTTCTCATACATCTTACTTTTTCCTTGCTTTACCCGTGCTTTGTCTTACATTATTCTAGCCCTGCCTTAGCAGTAAGTACACTAAAGTCAAAAAAAAACTATTTTGCTTAGCCTATTATACACTTTTTAAACCTACCATGCCCAATTTTATTCAAAGCTTGATCCTTCGGCACAGTCAGCGTTCCATCCTTAGCCAAAGCTCCCTCTTCATAAAAGAAAGACACTTTTGAAGCACTGTCAAGAAAATACGTGTCAACATGTCGTTGGTCATCGTATGTATCGAAAATGGTCTTTGGATGTTGAGATAGGTCTAACTTATCAACAATTTTTTCAATTTCTTCTTTCATATCATCACATTCGGCTTCGGAAAATACGTTTTTAATCAAAACGTAGCCATTTTCATCGTATATTTGCTTTAGTTTTGAGAGGTCTGAGATGTCAATTGACATTTTTGATGTTTGAAAGTTAGAAAAATCTAAAAATTTTTAAAAAAATTTAAAAGTTTTCAAAAATTAAATGTAAAATACGATCAGATATTTGAAAACTAAAAAATTTTAAAAATACAAATTTTTTGATAGAAAATAAAAATACCCGTGGAACTACAAAAAGACAAAAACCGTTTGATAAAAGCTAAATTATTGATAAAACAAAAAAGGTCTAGAAATCACGTCTTTCTAGCCAGCCTCATGTTTGTTCTTATAATAAAAAGTGTTACGTCAAAAAAAGATTATTATCAACGCCTTAATCGATTAAACTGTACAATAAAGTGATTTATAGCTTTTTTATAACTACCCTAACCTAATCTTTGCTTAGCCTCACCTAATCTGTGCCTAGTCTTAGCCCCGTGTCCTTGCTTCGAGAAGAGGTAAAAAAACGGGCCGGACCTACTTTTTAAGCTCGGCTTGCTGGCCGGGCCCAACATTTAGGTCGCCCTGTTTTTACTTTTTTAGGCTAGCTTTACCCATTCCACACAAAAAGAATCTAAGCCTGGTCTAGCCCAGCCCGACGGTAGAGCCGGGCAAGACATGGTTGGGCCTACACAGTCGTTCGGCATTACTAGCTTCGAGCTTTATTTCCAAGCCTTAGCCGCGAACCCTAGCCCTAGCATTAGTCCTAGCCTTAAACTTTAGTCTCAAACCCAGCGTCATCTTCAGCTCAAGCTCCCAACCCCAGTCCTGGCCCTAGTCCTGGCTCCGAGCTTTAGCTCCGAGCCTAGAGTCGTAGTCCCATGGCTCCTGTAGACAAGAGGTACTAAAAAACGAGACCGATCGGAATTTTCTATATGCACACGGGCCAGCTTTGATTTCCAGGCCTGAATCAATGTTGGCCTGCATATTCCCTCCCCCCCCTCTTGGCCGGCTGGCCCCTTACTTCTTAGCCTCCTACTTTGCTAGTTCCCTAAATTCCTAGCCCCCTATCTCTGACCTTACCACTCTGCTTAAAAGTATTAATAGTTTATTTCCTACATACAATTTCTAATAAATGTTTTTGTACAAACCGATGAATTCATGTAGTTCGCTTCCTCAACCCATTGCCATCGTTCATATCGGTCGCTGATGAATGTCGTCGATCGAAATCATGTTTTACGTCTTTGGCAACATCAGACGCTTTTACAAAGATACGTTCGGTTGCCCAGGTCATCATCTGAAATGGCATAAACTTTCTTTACAAAGCATAAAATGGCAAAAACTTCTTTTACAGAACAAAAAATGGCAAGAACTTCCTTTACAGAACAAAAAATGGCAAGAACTTTCTTTACTAAGCATAAAATAGCAAGAACTTTCTTTACAAGACATAAAACGGCAAGAACTTTCTTTGCACTACCACTCCAACCTACCTGAATCAAACTAAGCATGGAAAGCCCCAGCCACATTCCAATCACACCCCCAAGTTCACCAATGAACGAAGCTGTTGTGTACACTCTTGACTGAGTAACTTCAATGTATTCGAACGATCCCCATAGTAAGAAGATCGATGTGAGGTTGGTATTCCTGACTCTTTGATCTCCCACTTCAGTCACTGACACTTTTTGATCCACACTGACAGAGTAACGAAGTTGATGACAATCACGAAAACAACGCTTTGTACAAGCCTCTTCTGACTTGTTACTTTGCTTTTGGACACTGTAAAAGGCATTATAAGTTAGAATGTTAGTAAAGGAACACAGAGTAAGACAATGTCAAACAGGGCAATTTGAGGTAGGTTAATGCAACTTAAGGCAGGGTAAGGCAATATGCAGTAAAGTAGAACAATATAAAGTAAGGAAGGGCAATATAAAGTTGAGTAAAACAACTAAAGGTAACTTAAAAGACTTTGAAATAAGGTAGGTTAATATAAAGCAAGGTGAAGCAATACAAGGCGAAGTGAGGCAATATACGGTAGGTTAGGAAAGCATAAGGTAAGGTAGGGCAATATAAAGTATAGAAGGGCAATAGACGGTAGGGTATGATAGGATAAAGTAGGGTAGGGTAGGGTAGGGTAGGGTAGGGTAGGGTAGGGTAGGGTAGTGTAGGGTAGGGTAGGGTAGGGTAGGGTAGGGTAGGGTAGGGTAGGGTAGGGTAGGGTAGGGTAGGGTAGGGTAGCGTAGGGTAGGGTAGGGTGGGGTAGGGTAGGGTAGAGTAGGGTAGGGTAGGGTAGAGTAGGGTAGGGTAGGGTAGGGTAGGGTAGGGTAGGGTAGGGTAGGGTAGGGTAGGGTAGGGTAGGGTAGGGTAGGGTAGGGTAGGGTAGGGTAGGGTAGGGTAGGGTAGGGTAGGGTAAGGTAGGGTAGGGTAGGGTTGGGTAGACTTACTCTATGACACATTTACTGTAGTTACACAACGGGTAATTTTCAAGTTCTTTTTCGTCTTCTACCAGATACTGTGTTGTAATTGATGTGCATTGGCATAATTGCTAAAATAAAAAAATTAAATTTTAAAAATAATTTTTTAAAAAAATTTTAAATTTTAAAAACCGACCCTAATCAACTCCATTCTACATCGACTTCTACAAGAAAACTCGTCATCATCATCGTCGCTGAAGTCACGACACGCTGTGCGTGGTTCATCGTTTTCCAACATATCATACTTATTCTTTACCTCTACAGTGACATCATGCCTCAGGCCAGGACATAAGTTCTCATGATAACCATCTCTACTAATACCACCACCTTCTGTTACTTTCGACCAGTCGAATGGATAACCATGAAAATCGACACTAATACAACGTTGACTCTCTTCTGTGTTCACGTTCTCTTTGTTTTGAGCTACTTGAAGGAAGAAAAAGGAGCCCTACAAAAAGAAATGTCATTTTAGTCTGTTATGACTTTTCCCTGCCTTTGCCCTGCCTTTGGCCTGCCTTGGCGTCGCCTTTGCCCTGCCTTTGCCCTGATCCTGTTCTACCTTACACTACTCTACCCAACTTTTACAAAGTCTTGACGCTTTTTTCCATTAAAACCAAAATCAATTGCCGACATGACTTTAATGACTCTTAAAATTTAAAACTTTACCACAAAATATCTTACCTGATCTGTGATTGGTTTCAAATTCTCCTCATCATACGTAGGTTGGAAACAAACATCAGATCTAGAAACCCATGTTATTTTAGGGTAAAGTTTAATTCGCGGCCCATCGTCATCTTTTACTATTCTTGTCATCTGTTTGATTGATCTGAAAAAAAAATTTTTTATTGTTTTTTGGTTTTTCATATTAATATATGGTTAGGTAATACATTTGAACAATGCTAAAGTGAAGTAAAAATCTATCCTCAAAGATTTTTTTATAATTTACCCTGCTTTTCAAATTTTTTATAAAACTTTTTTTGACTTTACCATCCTTTTGTTGCGCAAGCCCTAACAATAGCTTTAACACTAGCCTTAGCCATATCACTAGTAGAACCGCTCGACCAGTTCTGATAAAAATATTACACTTACTTAGCCAAGACTTCCTTTCCAGCTTTTTGAGTAAAATCTTCAAAAGTCAAGTTTCTTTCGGCCATCTGCTTCACCCAGAACTAAAATTTTTTAAATTTTAAGTTTTTGAAAATTAAAATTTTTGTTAAAATTTCAAAATGGGTCAATTTTAGACTATCAATGCTTCAAAAATAAATGTCATGTTTAAAAATTCCTTTAAAAACCTACAGAGATGCCATCTCGCTTCTGCGTCAAATACTCCTTGCCCTTAGGCGGATTAATGAAACGATGCAAACGTTGAGCCATATGACTGCCCAGAAACTCTCGCTCTATTGTAAACATAGCGGCCAAGCTCTGGAAGGCATGGAGAGCCAATTCTGGAGGCCATTTCTTCTTCAGAAGCTGTTCTGTGCTCTTGAACTTGGCTAGTTGCTTCTGGAAAAGTTGAATTTTTAGGCTGGGCATTAAAACTATGCTTTTGGAGATTTAAAAGGTTTATAAAGCAGTAAATGAAGTATCTGATAACGAAGTTTAGACAAGATACGATGCATGGTAAAAAAGTTACGGGCGGTTAAAATAAAAAAAGTAAAAACTTTGGCTGAAAAATCGATTTTTTAGGGTTTTTGACGTTTATAAAAGCCGGTAACTTTGTTGTAAACCAAGATACCACGATCAAATTTACAGTGTATTTACACCATGGAATACTCCACAAAATCAAGTGAAAAACGTTTTAAAACTCTGGCCATTTCAGTCTTTATTCATAATGTAAACTCCCTCGACCATCAAAGTCTCGTTAGAAAAAGTAGCCACTAAAGACACCTCTTAAAAACACCACTCCCAAAAACAAAACCTTCAAATACTCATGCCCTTAAATTGCTAATAGACAACATTTACCAGACCAACCTACCTTGACAGTTTCAGTATCGTTTCCATTTGGAAAATGACTCAAAACCTGTTTTGTAGGTACACAAAAAGTGATATTAGGCAAAGTCATGGTCTCATTCAGAATCATATTCATGTCAGCTTTCATCGGATCGTCCAGGTACTCGTTCACCAAATTCCATGTGTCACGAATTGTCAAAATTGCCAGAAAAATCGCGACAAACCAGAAGGCTTTATGCCGGAAGGGCATGTGGCGAAAGTTTTGCCATGCCTTCTTTAAATTGAAGGAGTCTTCACCCATTCTGAAAGTATAACAAACTTGTTGAATTGATTTGATCAAGAGGATTGGCCAGGAAATTTGCAGAAAAACAAAAAAATGCGTTTATATTGAAAGAACGTAAAATAGCAAAAACTTTCTTTACATGTCAAGAAATGACAAGAACTTTCTTTACAAAATAAAAAAGGGCTAGAACTTTCTTTACAGAATAAGAAACGGCAAGAACTTTCTTTACAAGTCAATATATGACAAGAACTTTCTTTACAAAACAAAATTATTTAGATTTTCTTAATCAATCGTATAATTTGTCACCTTCGAGCGGCATTACTCAAAGGTTGTGCTTTTTGCATAAAAATGCAAGAGCGTTGTTTACAAAACAAAAAATGGCAAGAACATTCTTTACAAAACAAAAAATAGCAAGAACTTTCTTTTCAAGTCAAGAAATGACAAGAACTTTCTTTACAGAATAGGAAATGGCAAGAACTTTCTTAACAAGACGGAAATAGCAGGAACTTTTATTACAAAAATAAAAAATGGCAAGAACTTTCTTTACAAAACAAAAAACCAAGTTTCAAAAAACCAAGCGCAAAGTCAAGATCAAAAGTCGTTAATTTTTAACTTTTTACACTATTTCCCTAATAATTTTCAACAACTTTTACTGCACTTTTAGAGCCCCATAAACTCGTTCCATAACACTGTAGAAACCTAAGGCAGCCCGATTACATTCCTTCCTCCACCTACTACCCGAATGTGATCTGGAATCGGTTTTAAAGGACGCTCGTTCTACCGCTTCATATTTTGTATAATTGAAAGACATGGCGGTTTGATGACGTTGATTACACTGACAAGAAAACGTTGAATATTGCTCGAGTTGTAACAAACCAAAACCTTTTCCACTTTAAATTCATTATTTTGAGTTGAAAAGGGTTGATAAAATTAAACAGGTACAAGTTCATGAAAGTAAAAGAAGTCAGGGCTTGTACAGGTTAAAATGTTAGATTTATGGAATTAGGCGAGTGAATTATAAATATAAGCCAAAGCTTAGTAGGAACAAGCTTAGCTTGCTTAAGCTTAGTAAGCTTAAGCTTAGTAGCCTTAGGTTTAGTAGGTTTAGGCTTAGTAGTCTTAGTAGGCTTAGGCTTAGTAGGCTTAGGCTTAGTAGGTTTAGGCTTAGCAGGCTTAGGCTCAGTAGGCTTAGACTTAGTAGTTTTAGGCTTAGTAGGCTTAGGCTTAGTAGGTTTAGGCTTAGTAGTTTTAGGCTTAGTAGGTTTAGGCTTAGTAGTCTTAGTAGGCTTAGGCTCAGTAGGCTTAGGCTTAGTAGGTTTAGGCTTAGTAGGCTTAGGTTCAGTAGGCTTAGACTTAGTAGTTTTAGGCTTAATAGGCTTAGGCTTAGTAGGTTTAGGCTTAGTAGTTTTAGGCTTAGTAGGTTTAGGCTTAGTAGACTTAGGTTCAGTAGGCTTAGGCTTAGTAGGATTAGGCTTAGTAGGCTTAGGCTTAGTAGGCTTAGTAGGCTTAGGCTTAGTAGGCTTAGGCTTAGTAGGCTTAGGCTTAGTAAGCTTAGGTTTAGTAAGCTTAGGCTTAGTAAGCTTAAGCTTAGTAGCTTTAAGTTTAGTAGGCTTAGGCTTAGTAGGCTTAAGCTTAGTAGGTTTAAGCTTAGTAGGCTTAGGCTCAGTAGGCTTGTTGTTATTAGAATTTGGTTTAGTAAGCTTAGACATAAAAAGCCTAGGCTTAATAAATTTAAAACATGTAAGCTTATTTGTTAGGTTAAAAACTAATAGAATTAGGTTTATTAGGCTTTGTAGATTCACACTTAGGTTTGAGCTTAGTAGGTTTAGGCGTGGTAAGCATAGGCTTAGTAGACTCTAAATTAGTAGGCTTAGCTCTGTAAGCCCAGTCTTAGGGTAATGACTGCCCGAAGAAATACGGAGTAAAATCCCAGCACTCGCAGTCATTTGTTGGGTCGTTTTACACCGAGGCAAATATGTTATAAAACTATAATATTACATAAGAAAAAGTTGCGTAATACCATTTCTTGCAATTTACTTTAGGCTGTTTAGTTATATCAATTAATTAGGTAATACCCCGAAATTTTTTCTTGCTGATATACTTCCAAATAAGGCTAAAACTAAAGCTAAAATTATGACTAGAACTAAAACCAAAGCTAAAGCTAGAGGCTAGGACTAAGGCTAGGACTGGAGCTGGGACTAGGAATAAGGCTAAAGCTGGGGCTATGGCTGAGGCTGAGGCTAGGGCTGAGGCTAGGGCTGACGCTAGGCCTGAGGCTAGGGCTACGACAAGGCAGTACAACATTCAATGTATAAATATGTATGTTTTACTTGATCTTATTTTATGTACAACATATGAATCTGTTATTTGTATATTTATGAAACTGGCATCGAACTGACATTCTCCTTCTTAGGGAGGGCAGCGGCTTGAGTTTGTTTCATACTGGCATTTCGTCGAATACTTTGAACATTCAGTCTTGTGGTAACCGTTTTGGTAGCTGTTTCCGTCATGAAGACAAATAACTAAAAAATGTTATTTTTATGGTAATTTAGGTAACAAAAGTCTGTTTTTTATTATTTTTTTCGTTTTGTAAGCAAAGTACTTGCTATTATTTGTTATGTAAAGAAAGTTCTTGCCATTTTTTGTTTTGTAAAGAAAGTTCTTGTCATTTCTTGTTTTGTAAAGAAAGTTCTTGCCATTTCTTGTTTTGTAAAGAAAGTTCTCACCGTTTTTTGTTTTGTAAAGAAAGGTATTGCCATTGTATGTTTTGTTATCCCCACTTTCTTTTCTCTTATTATAACCCCGATTCGACCCCTCCCTACCTGCAGAACACTCAAAATAGACAAGCCCAGCCACATGCCCAGTGCTCCACCAAATTCGCCAATGAATGATGCAAAAGTAAAAGCATATTCTTGTTCAACCTTCAAATACTCAAAGGATCCAAACTGTAGTGCCATACTTAACACATTATCAGCGACAGCCGGCTTCCCCTCAGGCGATAACATGACCACACGTCCTCTTTGGAACGTTTTGATACTGTATATGAGCTGATGACAATCTCTGACACACTTTTTGGTGCATTCCAGTTCATCGAAATTGTCATCCTTTATGTCACACTTTTGGTAGTTACAGTAGGTCAAGTTTTTGGCATTTTCGTCTTCGTCATTCTCCACCAGGTCGGCTAAGGATATTGGTACACATTGACAAAGACCCTAAATGTGTTAAAAAATTAGATTCCTTAAAGATGGTTTTGAATTTTATGAAATGGTACCATCTTTTTAAAATTTCTTTTCTGTTTTTAAAAATGGGCCCACTTTCTTAGAATTTTCTGTTTTGAAATAGTCCTATCTGCTAGAAATGGTACTATCTTCTTAGAAATAGTCCCAGCTGCTTACATATCGCCCCAGTTTCTTAGAAATGGCTCCCTCTTCTTAGAAATGACCCCATTTCCTTAAAAATGATCACATCTTCTTAAAAATAGCCCCAGCTTCTTAGAAATATACCATCTTCTTAGAAATGATCCTCTCTGATCAGCAAGGTCCTATGTTCTTATAAATGACGCCAGCTTTATAGGAATGGTCCTATCTTCTTAAGAAGGGTCTCATTTGCTTAGAAATAGTCCTATCACCTTAGAAATGACCTTATCATCTTAAAAATTGTCTCATCGTCATAGAAATAATCATCTTTTCAAAAACCTTCTTATATTTACCCAATAAAGACCCAAATGGTCCTAATTCCTCCAAAATGCCCCATTTTACAACTTTAAATTTTCAAAAAAACCAGCCTTAATATGCTCGTATCGACACCTGCTTCTGCATGTAAAATCATTCTCATCATCATCTTCATACTCTTTACAAGCTTCTCCTTCATCCTCTGTTTCAATCATGTTGTACTCGTGCCTCACCTCCAGTAACACTTCATATCTACTGCCAAAACATAATGGTTCAGTGAATCCATTCCTACGTTGAGACCCTTCCAGCATATACGGTTCGCGGTCGAATCTAGAGCCATGGAAGTCAATAAATACACATTCGTCTTCTGGCACAACATCCTCACTATCTTCGTCCACTATGAAGTTGGGATTGAATTTGAAGGTTAGGAGGAAGAATGTGCCCTAAATAATGTTTTTTAGGCTTAATTCAACCATTTTTAAGGTTTTCTTTAGTTTTTTGTCATTTTTAATGTCTTGTTTGACATTTCTTCATAGTAACTAAGAATCCAATACTTTTATTGAAATTTCGTCACACAAAGTGAAAGGCCAATATATTTTGTGACATTTCATTATATTATGTTAAAATACGTATTGCCAAATAAAAATTAAAAATTTTGAGTCTTTTAAAGAAAGTTCTTGCCATTTTTCGTTTTGCAAAGAAAGTTCTTGCCATTTTTTGACTTGTAAAGAAAGTTCTTGCCATTTTTTAATTCTTAAGCTTACCTGGCTCTCAATAGGAATATCTTCTTTAAAAGTGGGTCTAAAACAGAAATCTTTAAAAGATATCCATTCAATATGCATTTTGGCTGGCACAGTACTTCGACCGGTCGGTGGCTGTGGTTTGTGGGTTTCACGTTCGAATCGGGTTAAGCCTCTGAAAAGTCATCACTTTTTAAAAATTTTAATTTTTTTTTAAATCACCCCCTAAAAATTTTTTATTTCCACCCGCTATCAGCAAAAAAAATTTACTCTGCCCAAAAAAAGTTTTACTATTCTACAAAAAAATTTTTTTTTACGCCACCCAAAAAAAATTTTACCCCGCCCAAAAAAAATTTTTTTTTATTTTTTTGCCCTACCCCATCCCTCTTCCTCAAAATAATGTAAAACAATCCCCCTACTTCATCATAGCCCTCATGCCGACAGCTTGGATCAAATCGTCTACTTCAATATCGTTCTCTTTCATGAAATCCAGCCAAAACTGGATGTTTTCCCAGTCTTTTTCTTTTCCAAATTGCCAAGTTTTTGAATGGCCAAAAGTTTTCAGCTTCTCTGCCACTTCATCTTCGAATATTTCAACTTCGTTTGTGTGCATCGCGGCTAGGGCGACAAACGCAGAGAATACTAGATCATCGGTCCATGGGTTGGCTACTAGTCTGTCTGACATGTTAAAAGCTTGGAGTTGCTTCTGGAATTGAATATAATAAGAACGTTACTAATTATAGTACTTATATATAAAGATCATTTTTGACAAATTAGAACCATATTTAAGAACGTGAACCCATATAAAAGAAGAAGAGGCTAATTAGACAAAATTAGAGCTATTCCTATGAAAATGGCACCTTTTCTAAGACGATTGGATCATTTTTAAGAAGATAACAAATTTCTAAAAAGTTGGAGCCAGTTCAAAGAAAGTAGGACCACTTCTAAAAAGACAGGGTCATTTTCTGAGAAGATAGTACCATTTCTAAAAAAGTAGGCTAATTTCTAAGAAACTAAGGCCATATATAAAAAGATGAGACCATTTCTAAGAAGATATGATCATTTCTCGAAAGATAGGGTCATTTCTGAGAAGCTGGGACTATTTATGAAGAAATAAGACCATTTCTAAGAAGATGAGGCCACTTCTGAAATACTAAGACCATTTATCAAAAGGTGAAGCCAATTGTAAGAAGATAGGGTCATTTGTAAGAAGATAGGGCCACTTGTAATATGCTAAGACTATTTATAAGTACACAGTACGATTTAAAAAAAATGTGAATATTTCTAAATAGATGAGACCAATCGTGACTGTGTAGTACCATTTTAAACACAACAAGGCCATAAAAACCAAAAACAAAAAAAAATTTTAATTTCAAAATAGTTAAAAACCTACATCCAGCGCCTCCTTCGAAGCAACAGTACTATTCTCCCCAAGATTCTGCACGATATTACTCAGAACGTGCCCAGACGGAAAGCAGAATGTCATTGGTGGCATCGACATTGATTTGTTCAGTACAATATCCAAGTCCGCCTTTTTCGGATTGTCCAGATACTCCAACGTGATCTCAGTCAAATTTTTAATTGTCACAATAGAAAAGAGTATGACTACAGTCCAGTACAGTAACCTCCGCCAATCGGTGCACAAAATGCCACGCCAGTCCAACTTCTCTTCTTCTTGTAGTTCACCCATTCTGAAAGTGGAATTGATAAATAGAAAAACACAAAATTGTAGAAAAAGAGAGAAATACTGTACGTTAGAGTAAAGATAAAGGTAGCGATAACAGTAGAAGCAAATCTTAGTCCAGCCAAACGCAGCTAAATCTCGGCTCAAGCCAAGACAAGCCAGGACAAGGCAAAGCAAGGCAAGGAAAGGAAAGGCAAGGCAAGGCAAGGCAAGGCAAGGCAAGGCAAGGCAAGGCAAGGCAAGGCAAAACAATATCAGTCCAGTTCATCCCAGCCTAGCCCAAGCAATGAAAACCCAGCTCAACACTGGTCATCCCATCCCAGCCAAGCCAAGTTCTGCTCAGCTCGGCTAACCTCAGCCCAGCTTAGCCCAGTCCAGCCAAACCACACCAACCAAACCAAGGTCCAGTCCAGTGCAGATTAACCCAGCCCAGCTCGTAGCCAAAAGAAATTAGAAAAAACCGGGCCAGCATATGCAGGCCCGGCTGCCAGAGCTTAATAAAAACCCCAAGCCATTCGTTATACAGGAGTTCGACTGTATATCAATCCAAAAAAACGACTAAACATGTCATGTTAAACACAAATTGACCTCAACCTGACTTCTCTCCCCCCAAAGAGAACGGCGAGTCAAAAGCCATCAAAGAGTGTTGTGAATTGACAAAATTAGTTGCGCAACCGGCTGGAGTGCCTGCGGTTTCGAATGTTTTTCTTTCCCCGTCTAATTAACTAAAAGTTTAAAGAACTAAAAACGGCGAAATGTGTGAGAAAAGAGAGGTTATCGCGAAAAATTCTTTCGCAAAACTTTTAATTTCAAAAAAAAACAAAAAATAGCAAGAACTTTCTTTACAAAACATAAAATGGCAAAAACTTTCTTTACAAAACAAAAAATAGCAAAAACTTTTTTTACAAAACATAAAATGGCAAGAACTTCCTTTACAAAACAAAAAATAGCAAAAACTTTCTTTACAAAACATAAAATGGCAAAAACTTTCTTTATAATACACAAAATGGCAAGAACTTTCTTTATAATACACAAAATGGCAAAAAATTTCCTTACAAAACATAAAATAGAAAAAACTTTCTTCACAAAACAAAAATGGCAAGTACTTTCCTTACATAAGACAAAACGGCAAAAACTTTCTTTACAATTCAAGAAAAGCGCAAAACCGATCCTGAATCAACTTTCATCGCATAAAATCACTTCGCAGTAAGCAGAAATCGTTCGCAACGAACAAAAAACCTTCGCCGAATTCAAAATCGCGCAAAGTTCATTTTTATCGCTGAACCTTCGTTTCCTTCGCGACTTTTGTTTTTCACTATTACAACGTCGAAATTGGATTCAAGGAAGTCGATAGTAATATACAAAGACACAATTAAAAAGTAATGACAAAGTGCATCATATTAACATCCTTAACGGTTCGTAACATTGTGAAAAAGTAGATCTTTGTGTGAAAAAAAAATTTTAAAAAATTAACAATCGACCTTTGGTTGATTTTTATTGGTACTTTTGGTATTTTTATTAGTATTTTACGGAGTGTTATAGATCAATCGTTAAAAATACATAAATTTTTAAAAAATTGATATCTTCATCTAGTCGTACTGTAGTTGCCTATGGATTTAGAATAAACCTATGATACTCGGTCATATTCCAAAGTTACTTCGCTCATAGAATTGCCATGCATTTGTTTTGTTGACCATGGCCTAGCATTGTGTGGGTGTTCATGCCACACCCTATCGTACTCCCCTATCCCTACTGTACCATGTTCCAACATTACCGTCTCAAAGCTCTACCTTATCCATGCTTTATCGTAAGTATGCCTTAGTATAACCATAACTTAGCCCTAGCCTTTACTGTAGTCATCCCTTATGCACGCCGTACTCATGCCCTTGACCTACTGTAGCCATAGCATAACCTTAACATAGCCGCGTTCTAGCCTACCGTCGCTATTCAGTAGTCGTACTGAAGTCATATTTTATGCTTGCCGTAGACTAGCCTTATCGTAAACCTATCGTATTCACATCCTATTTCTACCCTGGTCATAGCCAAGAGTACTCTACCATATTCTATTCTACCCTATCCAAGTGTACCCAACACTACCCTACCCTACTCTACCCACCCAAGTCTACACTATCTTACCCTACCTTACCTTAACTTACCTTACCCAACATTATATTGCTCTGCCCTACGCTACTCTATCCTAACCTTACCATAGTCTACCCTAGTCTCTTCTTGATCCTACCGTACTCACACCCTAACTGCTCCCTAAAAATCATTTTTTTAAGATTAATACAAGCCCAAACCACAAGTTACAGTACCTAAAATCAATGCGTATTTCCAAATTGTGCTGACGTCATATTTTGCAAATTTCGTTTGACTTCACCCACTCACAACACAATTTTCACATTTAATTAGTCGTGATTTTGTCTAATACGATTACATTGTAAAAACAATTTATTTTGGGGCTGTATTACAAAATACACTTAGTCAGGGTTGTAAATTTACAGTAGCCTATACTGGGCTGTTTTTTCGTTTTTTTCAAAAAATTTTTTTAAATTTTTAATTTTTTGACAAAATATGCCTTTCTAGACCAAAACTATACCTCTACCCATCATCTCCACAAGCAACCTAACCCTCCTAATCTACATCCTCCAAAGACCATCAATATATTTTGTCACAAATTTATTTTACATTCACTTATGTATATGGTCTTATATTATAATACAATACATTCGCAGCTCACTAAAACTCAAAGACAAAACTGATTTACATTATCAAAATGACTTAAAACATCAAAATGCCCTAAAATATCAAAATGACTTACAATGAATTGTCCTTGAACTACTGAGACAGACTTTACATTATGATATGTTATAGGCTTCAGGTTACGTTATAGACGACCTCATCCCTTCAGAATATTATTATAGACAGATTAAGCTTCTGAGAAGACAAAGCCTCTTTTCATCGTCGTATAGAATCATTCTTGCTTGGACTGATCTTAGGTATTTCATTTTTAAACGACTTATTCCGCCTTGAAGTATGACCAATTCTGGTGACAGCTTTCCTTGTCACGTCTTCGGCTGATGTGAATCCGCCCTGAAATGCCATTTTTAGATCATATCTAATAGTATCTTCGTTATTAAGAATAGTAAATGGCCTTATTTAATCAAAAAAGCTAAAAAATTTGCAAAAAATCGATGTTTTCCAAGCGGAATCAAACTTTTTTTGATTTTTGACATTTTTAAATCAACGTAACTATGCCAAAAGTTAAAATAATATTATGAAAATTGCAATATAAACACAACTTTTCATGCTTTACAAAACGTATGTCCCAATTCTTCAAAAAAATTATTTACTTTGCCCACCCATCTTACCCTACTTTAACATACCCTGCTCCACTCTACCTTACCCTACCCCAAATTCCCTTCCAATTCAAAAACTCTTACCTGTATAATAGCCAGAATCGACAGTCCAAGCCACAGTCCCAAAATGCCACCCAATTCTCCAATAAACGATGACCAAGTATATACGTTATCTTGTTCCACAGTCATGAACTCAAACGAAGCCCAGCTCACAAAAACCGTTGTCATTGCATTCGATTTGACCTTTTTACCATTGGATAAAGGATGGACAATGCGAGCAGTTTGTCCTGACACAATTTGATATCGAATTTGTTGGCAATCACGTTTACACTGTTCCGTGCATTCACTTTCCTTCGATTTGTAGTGTTGAACACTGAAATTAGGTGACTTAGATTGAAATAAACGTGGAATAATGCCTAAATTAATAAAATATACTTCTAAAAAACCATTCTCCAACTTACTCCACCTCACACTTTGAATAATCGCCACACAAAGGCATATCTTCATCTTTATCCTCATCTTCAAGCAAGTGCAATGTGCTCATGGCCGTACAATTGCAAATATCCTTGATCAAAGCCGCTCTACAGATCCCAATACATTCAAAAACAGTCTTTTCTTCCTCGTCATCATCATCACCAACCTCTTGACACATTGTTCCTTCCTCATCGTTCTCCACCATCTTATACGAATCCAACACCTCAACAGTAACATCATACCTCAAGCCAGGACAAATACTCTCGGTAATACCGTCTCGACTCGAGCCACCATGTTCAGAATAAGGAGAAATGTCATAGGGATCGCCGTGGAAGTTCATGCTGGCACATTTGACCTGATCATCTTTGGGCAGGTTTTTCTCGTTTTGGAAATAGTTCAAGAACAAAAATGGCTTCTGAAATTGTTGATATTAATATAAGTTGTTAGAAAATATAAAAACCATAGTGTAAAAGCAAAGATAATACAGTAGAAAAGCAGATAAAGCTAGTAAAACAAGTAACTTTCAACAAACACCCGATTTCGCAAGAAATCTTTGAAAAACAACGAAACGCCACAATTGATAGAACAACCATCGCGAATTTTGCGCGAAACTTTGGCCAAATTTCATGTTTTTGACAAGTAAACAGTAACATTTGCCTTGAATATAGTTTAGTATTATAAAACTTTTTTTCAAAGATTTCTCTTGATGAAAGAAAAGATTTGAAAATTTAGATTCTTCCCTTACTTGATTGCCAATTGGGTCACCAGTCGTTTCGTTCAAAACTGCTGTGAAACAAAAGTCTTTTTCGGAAATCCAAGTTGTTTCAGCTTCAAGATTATCCCTAGTTTCTTCAGTTCTATTGTGGTAGATCCTTTGGAATTCGTCTCGAACCATTCTGTAAGTTTTTCTTTGTTATACATGTAAAAATTGTACATGTTTTTAGGTTTTGGTATAGTTTCAGTAATTTATAGGAATGTTAATATGAAACTTGATGAAAACTCACAAGCTGATCACTTCACTGCCCACTTTGTTCCTCAATTCTGCGAATGTTACATTGCGTTGCTCAATATGGTTAATCCAGAACTAAATCAGGTTAGTTAATTCTGATTTTTTGAGTTTTGCTGGTTTAGGTATCAATTTTGAAGAATATGAAGCTTTCCTTTGATAAATTTATGGTCAGAAAGTTATCTTTTCGAATAAAAACGACTGCCCACTTACCTTAACGTTCTTCCGCTTCTGTGAAAAGTGTTTTGAGTTGCTGGAGCCGAATTGTTTTATCCGTTTGGCCAAGAATGAGCCGAAAGCTTCACGTTCGAGTGTATGGACGGTGGCTACAGCCGTGTACGCGCTGTAAATCAGTTTGCCACCCCATTTTTTCTCCAGGAAGTCTTCTTTGTTTGGCATTCTGTTTAGGTATTTCTAAAAAATGAGGGTTAGCTTTGTTTTTGGGCTAGGTAGGTAACGGACTAATCTACCCAACTTTTTTTTCGGAATTTTACTGTTTTGGCTTGTAAATTGAGCATTTTTTATCTTTTTCATGCTATTTTCAAAGTTTTTCATATTAAAAATCTACTTTAGACCCCGCTTTCTACCCAATATTAACTTACATTGATCTCTTTATAGTTAGCATCCTTGGCGGCTTTGTTAAAGTGACTTGTAGCCTGAACTGATGGTATGCAAAATGTGATTGGTGGTACAGGCATAGTCTCATTGACTTCTATTTTCATATCAGATTCTTTTGGATCATCCATATATCGTTTGAACAGTAATATCGAGTCGTGTATTGTGATGGCGATCATGATGCCAATTATGACTGATCCTGTTATTGACCTCCATGTTGGGTTGGTGAAGGGCTTGAGCAATGCCGATAGCATGCTAAAATGAGCAAAGTTATTACGTTTATTAATAGTAGTTGGGTTAGGGATGTTATAGCAGAGCTCATACTGCAAAACAGTTGATTGCCTACTATAATATGGCCAAAAAAGTGATAACATCAGGGTAAAATTACGAAAAATTAAGATATATAAAACAACAGCAGTAATACTTGGTTAAAAACCAATTTTGGTCAGTCCACAAGGATAGTAATTGTTATTTTATGTTAAATACATTTATACACAGGTAGGTGATTACAATATTATGATTAAGATTATGTTGCGGTCGTGTTGGATATTTTACGTCGTCGTTTTAGGTCTTCGTCTGAAATTTTAAATGGTAAGGTTTTGGTTTTTAAAATTTTTCTTTAAGGTGTACTCTGCCTATTCCCCTACCCTTACCCCTACATTTGCCCCTACCCCAGTTTCAAGGCTAAAGTAAGTTCTTTTTAAAAGTTTTAACTCACCAGCCCCGCCAAATGGATTCTGACTCAACGTAACATCTCCAAATGGATTACTAGAGAAAGTGCCATCTTCATCTTCAACCTTCTCCACCTTCTTTTCAGGCCTAAACATGTTATAGATCCACACCACTGATTGAATAACACTCAGCGCTGACAGTCCAAGCCACAAACCCAACACTCCACCAACATTTCCAATGAACTCGACCCAACTCGTCTCCCAATCTTGTTCACAATCCATATATTCGAAGGAGGTGAACAAAAAGTTTACTGTAAGTTCGTTATGAGGCACGTCTTGGCCTAGTTCTTGAACTAGTTTCGCCATTTCAGCTGAATTACTTTTGGCTCTGGTTTGGGCAATGATAGCTGAAGTGTGGCGGGCAACACCTTTCTTCACGTCGTACTTGATGTAGTTACAATCACGGTGGCATTCAGCACGACAGGCGGTTTCTGTGTCGGTTATGTTGGATGGCCTGGAAATGGGAGGACTTGTTTGATGTTTTAGGTATAAAAATAGGCTTAAAACTCATCAAAAGCCTTTGATCAACATTGGCAAAAGCTGGCCATGTTTTGTCAAAATTTCAAAAGGTATTAAACACTAGTGTAAGTCGACTTACTCAATCATTTTGAGGTTACTATAGTTGCAACGTGGATACACCTTCAATTCAGTTTCATCTACCGCCAAATATTCTAACGTAATTGGCGTGCAATCGAGGTTTTCCTAAAATTTCATGCTTGTTTTTTATTTTTTTAATATTGTTCTGTCTTTAAACCTTATTTACCTTTAAGGTTTTTAAAAATATTTGATGAAAATATTTAAACACATTACCTGTATTAAAGCCTTTCGACACTTGGCATGACACTCAACCTCTTCCCCTTCTTCATACTCTTTACAAATTGTTTCCTCTTCATCATTCTCATCTTCCAACATGCGATAGTAAGCTTTTACTGTGGTAGTTACGTCATGTCGATCACCAAAACATAAGTCTTCAACCACACCATTGTTATCTCTTCCATGATTTAAATGATATCTCCAAAATGAACTTGGTCTTCCGGACACATCAGCTGTTGGGCAGTCAAGGTCATCGGTTAACAAGTTTTTCATATTCAGCACGGTTGTGAATGTGAAAAACGTACCCTAAAAAGCTTTGTTTAGAGTGAAAAACGTGTCCTAAAAGGTTCAGTAAACCGTATTGGGTTGGATAACATACTTGAAAATCGACTGGAGTGTCGTCATGGAAGGCTGGTTGGAAACAGAATTCTTCTTGTGACAGCCAGGTGATTTTAGGCCAGGTTTTGATCTTTAAGTCATCGTTTTTGGTTAGCCTTTGGAGTCGTCTCATTTGGCTAAAAATCATGATTTATCCTTTCTTGTCAAACTGATCTTTTCTTATGGTCTTTTGGGCTTTTTTTGTTTTTTGGTCTATTTATGGTTAATATAGTTTTACTGTCAGGTAAAAATTGCTAAGGGTTTTAAACTATTTGTTATGTTGTTTTTTTTTCATTTACACTTTTTCAAGGTAATAATAGTTTAATAATGCTTTTTATAACTTACTACGCTAAGGCTTCTTCTCCAGCTTTTTGTCGCGCATCTTCGATGGATACGTCTAATTTGTCAAAGAGCTCGGTGTATTTCTGAAATAGCAACATGAAATCTATAGTTATTTCAACAATTATTTAGCTATCTTGCAGAGTAGAGTAGGTTTAGGTAAGGTAAGCTAGCGTAGGGTAAGGTAAGAAGGCAGAGTAAGAAAAATTAGAGTAGGTTAATGTCTCGTACGAGTAGGGCAAGATAGGGAGTAGGGTATGTTTTATGTCTTGTTTAGTTATGAATCAGGATTGGTAAAGCTGGCCTACCTTAATTTTATTCCTTTTCTTTTCATCAGCCATCCTGACGGAAAACATTAGCATTTGAGCTATCGTGTTGGTCGTAGTGATCTCTTTCATATAAACAGTCTGGATTACATCAAAAACGTCGAACAAGAACTCTGCAGGCCATTTTGAAGTTAGGAAGACTTCTTTCGTTTTTATTTGACTCATTGCGTCCTGTAAGGGTTAGGATTAGTAAATTACTGCACTGGGTAATATCACTAGTGAAGACTGGAAAATTTTAAATTTTCGCTTTGCAAACTCACATCAATCTTGCCATTCCAATAAGCAGTCCGTTCTTCATTCGAAGACAGGTTCCTCAATGGACTGAAATCCATAAAGGACTGGATCTGCGACTGTGGCATGCAAATGGTTATGTTAGGCATAGACATGGAATTGTTAAACCTCACAACCATATCTACTGATTTGCCGTACTCCAGGTACTCTGTCACAGTTGTTATCAGATCTTTAAGGGTTAATATCATCATGACAACAATGATTGTCCAAAAAATGTAAATTTTCTTTTCCTTGCCAAGGAGAACTTGTTTCCACGTAACTTGTTGCCCATCTTTGTTGTAAGGCATGGCTGCCTGAAAAGTTTTTTTGGTGAAAATTGAGCGGGAAGGGTTAGTTTGAAATGTAATGCGGTGGTTTTAAAGTTTAAACATAGTATTGTACAGGGGAAGGGTGGATGACTTTAGTTTTTAAAGTCCATCAGGATCTCATTGTTTAGCTTTAAAATCTATCAAAGTCTTTGCATTTTCCGGCCAAGAAGTATTGAAAATGAAAAATCTTTAAAGGATGGCAATATCAGTAAATAAAACATGGTGTTTTTGTTGTAAACTAATACGACAAACCATGTTATTGCTTTACAAATGAACCTTCATATCAATTTAACGATTTGATAGTAAAAAATATTAAGGAAGTAACTATATCAAGGTTAAAAACTATCAAAAATAATAAATTTTACGGCTCTTTTAATACGAACTTTACTGCCAATTCACAAAGTTAGTCTACAGTCTCTGGCAGGCTAGGCGATGGGGAGATTAACCAACAAAAAGTTTTGAAAAAAGTTTTACTTGATCCCCCTGTTGATTTCTTTAAAAAAATGCGGTTTTCCCTCTCCCCCAAGCAAAAATAGCCTTTCCGGCTTCTTAATGTACCTAAAACTACCAACCAAACCAACAATATACAATCAAGTTAAAAAGTATCAAAAAGCACAACCACGAAACCCGCGATCAATCAAAGTAACAACAAGTACGCAAGGTGTCGAATCTTTGATCACCTTTTATGAATTTTACTATTCTGTTGTCATTCAACAATAAAACCACGTCAATGTGCTAGACGAGGGTCTTGAGGCAGGGAATGGGGGGTAAGAAGGGGGCAGGTTTGTGGTCGCTCCTTCATTAAAACCCACTGTAAAGGCGGCTGTTCAAATGTTTTCCTAAAATTTACAACGCGAACGGCTCCACAAATTGAGCGAAACATTTGGCTTTAATTGGGCGAAGCTAATTTTTGGTTTGGCGAAAGGAGTTTGTGATTTGGCGAAGGGTTTTTCTAAGTTTGCGAAAGAACTTTTGCGAAACATTTTTTAGATTTTGCGAAAGAATTTAATAAATTTGCGATGCAGTTTATTAATTACGCGAAAAAATTTTTTAATACTGCGAAACAAAAATTTGCGAAACTATTTTAAATTTTGCGAAACAACTTTTCAAAGCTGCGAAAACGTTTGCGAAACATTTTCAAATTTCGCAAATTACTTTTTTGCTCGGCGAAACCTTTTTTTGGCAGTTTGAAGGTCAAGGAGTAGAGTTCTAGGAATCGAACGAACTAGTTGATTGGAAAAGTTTTTATAAACAAATCATTAAATTACAAATAAGTAATAAAAAAGATCGTTTTTGCTTTTTTACAACTCTCATTTTACTTGGTTTCTTCTTGTGTAATTAATACTTGTAAATATAGTTGCTCTGTGTGATCTGTCTTGGTGTTTTAGTTTTTGGAAGTGATTTTTGAAACGGCATGATTTATTTGAGGTTTTGTGATTAGTGCTGGGATAAGGTAGAGTAATGTAGGGCAAGATAGGTTAGGATTAGGTAGGGAAGGGTAGGTGAGGCTAGAGTATGTGAGCGTAGGGTAGTGTAGTGAAGGGTAGACCAGAATAAGTTAAGGCAAGGCAAAGCAAGAGTAGGGTAGGGAAAGATAAGGCAGGATAAGGCAGGGAAGATCAAAAGGGATGGTAAGGCAAGGCAAGAGTTGGGCAGGGTAGTGCAAGACAAGGTAGGGTCGATCTTGTTTTCTATTGACAATAACTGATCTGATCAACTTGCTTAAGGGTTTGAAAATTCAAAAACACAACACCTAATCAAATAATCAATTGAAGCAGATTGAAAAGCAATTGTGATCGAACTAAACTCAATAGACCTTAAAGAGGAAAAAATTTGATTCTTAACACAGATTTAGTTAAAAAAAAATGACGATAATGTCACAGTAATACAAGGTGTGAGCGTTGAAAAAACAGTAAAACGAGGTGAGAACGTTTAATTTACTGTAAAAGAAGACGAGAACGTTGGGTCACAGTTAAACCAAGTGAGAACGTTGAAGGTGTTTAAGTGGTTCCGAAAAACTTTGTCAAATTAGTTACCTAAAAGTTGTTAAGGAATTCACCTAAAAATTGTTAGGGCATTTACCTTAGAGTTGTCAAGGCATTCACCTAAAAACCGTTAAATTAGTTGTTTTTTACGATATTTGCGTCATCAACGCTCAAATCGGCTATTTACCGGTAAAAGTTCACAGGTCTTGGGTTGGTCGTAAGTTCAGGATGGTCTGGTTAAACTTCGATTAACGGCATTTATGTTTGAAGGTTGGTCATCCGTATATTGGTGAGATAATTGATAGTGAAAGGGTTTGTACCACAGTTGGTTTTAAGATGAAAGTTATGAAGGAATGGCTTAAAGAAGATGTAAAATACGATAAGTTAACTATCATTAGCATAACATGAAGTTAAGGCAGGAAACTAAAGTTATAGCTTAAAAATAAGTCACAAGTAAGATAGATAATATTGAAAAACGTATAGGAAGCTACGACTATAAATAACATGAAATAACTTTATTTACAAAAGCAATAAAAATAATAAAAATTGAAAAACATGAAATTTAATACCTAAAAACATTGGTTTTTCAAAAATTACTTGGTCATCAGGTCTTCATTTTATGAGATTAAAGCAAATAAATGTTGAAACGACTGATAATTCATATTTTGGCATGTGTAAAAGGTCCAGAGTAGGGTACACCGGGAACAAAGAAGTCGGTTACCAAAGGGCCTAAAATGATGTTTTTCAAAATTACAGCATTGCATGGTAGGGTAGGATACGAAAAAAGTTTAGAGTAGTGTAAGAAATAGTAAGGCAAGGTAAAAAACAGTAGGGTAGAATAGGGTAAGGCACAGTAGGATAGGGTAAGGAACATTAGGGTAAGGTAGGACAGGACAAGATAGGGTAGTGGAGGGAAGAGTGGGGTTAGAAACAGGAGGATAGTGTAGAGTAGGGTAGGGTAGGGTAGGGTGAGCTAGGGGATGGTACAGTAGAGAAGGCGTATAATACTTACCATCAACAAACTTGAACTGGTCAAAGTCAGTAACTCCATGCTCTTGCAATATCTCATCATCAAGTACAAATTGTCCAGTAAACCTCCTGCTTTGTTTACTCAATATCAAATATGCAGCGTCAGCCATAATGTCATCTTTGCGACAATAATTTTTGGCATTCTGATCACGGCTAGCCAATTTAATGGCCGCTGTCCAAATGGCAGTTCTTGGCCATAAGGCATTGACAGCAATACCATCAGCAGCGAATTCGTGAGCCATACCTAGAGCACACATACTCATTCCGTATTTTGAGATTGTGTAGCCTACATGGTATCGAAACCATTGTGGATCTAGGTTGAGGGGAGGAGAGATGTTGAGGATGTGAGGGTTGGAAGACTTTTTTAGGTATGGAATGCAGCTTTTTGACCTGAAAAGGTATATAATGTACAGTGTAGGGTAGGGCAGGATAGGGTAGGGTAGGGTCGCGTAGCGTAGCGTAGGATAGGGTAGTCTTCAAATAGAATACAGTAATCCTCTTACATAAAAAAAGTTCCTCTAGTATTGATATGCTGCATTAGATCATACTGTTTCATGTTTGTTTTCTCAGTAGCACTGGTATTGATTGCTGAAGCATTGTTCAGTAGTATGTCAATACCTCCAAAGTGTTTGACAGTTTTTTTGACTGCTTTTTCAACTTCTTCTTCATGTCTAACATCCATTACTAGAGGCAGGCATCTTCCTCCAGCTTTTTCGATTTCTTTGGCTGCTGTGTAGATTGTACCTGCAATGAAATTAAAATTTTTAGTGCCTTAACGTAACATAAAGTTATGCAGTTATGGCCTTGAACGCCAATTGGATAAGCAAAAAATTTTTGTGTTTAAGTAATCTTATAAAGGCGGAGGTATAAAAGTCTTACCTTCTAGTTTAGGATGAAGTTCGGCCGTCTTGGCTGCTATGACAATATTAGCTCCATCTGCGGCCAACTTTTTTGCAATGGCCAGCCCAATGCCTCTTGATCCACCAGAAATGAACACTGTTTTGTTTTTGAAAAACCTAAAAATTAAAAAAATATTTTTAAAATTGTTTTTAAAATCTGATAAAGATTAAAAAAAGCTTGTAAGTTTAAAACGTAACCTTAGCTTTAGCCCTAACCTTGCCTCAACCGTAGATTTAATCCTTATTCGAGCTCTAGCGAAGTCACAGAAATAATGAAAATTGTCTTACCCAGTATTTTCAACCATGTTTTAGCTTCAAAAAGTCTTTTACTGTGGTTGTTTGCTACATTTCATTATATATCTAGTTTTGGTTAATGCGTCAAAGAAAGATGTCTGATTTCGAAGAAAATAAATTTTACAAAATAAGGAAGTGAGACAAGGGAAACATTAAGATGTTACTCTTAAAATTACAGGAATTTATTTTTTTTTGTTTTTTTGGTAGGAAGTTTGTACTATTTCTTTTTTGTACTTACTAAATTAAATATTGACTTCTTACTGGTAGGCCTGAAGGAAGGCTTACTAGGCCTGGCTCTGATTTCAGGCGGGCAGAAGCAACTTAGAATTAGGACCAAGGCGAAAAAATATGTAGTAGGTCCGGTCTCTTTACAGGTTTAGCTACAGGGCATGTTACGGAAAAACAGGATAACAGAAGGGTCGCCCTATCTGATCTTAGCTTTGCCTTAGTGGTTTAAAGTGCCTTTTTATAAAATAACACTTATATTGTGTGTGTCGAATTAAAAATCTATATTGTTATGTAAAATTCCGGGAAATCGAGATAAAATCTGACCAAAGTTGATCAGTTCAAGTCTGACGACGAGATTTCGGCATTATTGTAAACAAAAACAGCTTATACTTCGGTTTTTTATTACTGTAAATTAAAAAAAAACACTTTTGCAATTGTTATAGTACTAAACTTACCTTACTTTACCTTGCTCTATCCGACAGTTTTATAAATTGCTGTGCTCTGGCATATCTTATCCTACTCTAACTTCTTTTGGTATACCCTATTTGGCTTTACCTCTTTACCTCTTTGCACTTGTCATTGAAAACTGGGTTTGAGTTTATAAAAAATTTGTTTTAGTATAAAAAACAGGTGTTTAATATAAATTAGTATATATACCTAAACAATGCACATATTGTCACTGTTGGAAGTAGTGAATTTAGAAGGGCTATGGCTCAAATTACGAATAAAATTTGGACAAGTCAACATCAAATTTGGTACGTTTTCAACTTTCATTTGTATTTTAAAATACTTAAAATTTTAGTGCTAGCATCTCTAGTCATAAGCGCATTTCTACTCTACGCTTCATACCATCTCTACAACGATTACGATGACTATTTTGTCAAAAACGAAGTTGTGCTTCAGTTTGAAGCTGACTTAGTAATGGATTCGTTTCAAGCCAAGTTTAAAAACAAACGTCAGAAATATAAAATGATGCGCGCTAATCCGAAAGATTGCCAAGGTAAAGATTTGGCCGTACTTGTTATGTCAACGGTGGCGGAGAATAGTGCCAAGCTAAGAGATGCGATGAGACGGGTCATGTTTAGGGATGTGAGTTGAGTTTATTTTGCTTTATTTTGGCCTACTTCATTTTAGAATGCTTTTGCTCTAATCTACTACTAGCTCTGGCTTTGCTCTGTTTTTGACCTCCCTTTGCCCTGCCTTTTTCTTGCCTTTGTCTTGCCTTTGCCTGCCTTTGCCCTACCTTTTCCTTGCCTTTGTCTTGCCCTGTTTCTGCCCTAATCTATTCCTAGCCTTTGCTTTGCTTTTGCAAGTTCTAGTTATAGACTTAGCTCTAAAATTATACACATTCTAATATAACCTTCAGAATCCTCGAGTAGTCCACAAATTTTTTATTGGCTATGACGAAGAATTCCCAGCTTCAACTCTGGTCGACGAGATGAACCAATACAATGACATTGTCTACTACAGTGGTAAAGGCGACTACCGTAACAACTATCTTAAGTGGTACGCTATGTATCAATGGCATGCTGCTTATTGTTCAAATGTGAAGACGTTTGTTAAACTGGACGATGATACGACCGTTCACATTCCTAGGTTGTTACAATGGATTGACCGGGATTTTAACTATTTGACGAGAAACGTTGACGACTATCTTCTTTGTTGTTTATTCATTGGCATGCTGCCGTTGAGGGTTAAGGGGGATCGGTGGTGAGTTTGATATTTATTATTAAACTACAATATAAATGTCATATCACTTTAGGTACATATCCCCAGAAGAATACCCTAACCTAGTATGGCCTCGATATTGTGTTGGATTCTTTGTCCTAACATCGAACTCAACTGTTCAAAAATTGCTCGCAACAGCTGAAAAAGTGGACTTTTTCCCGATGGACGACGTTCTTTTGGCTGGGGCTGTACCCGAAGCTGCTCAGATCCCGATCATGGGCTTTGCTGGGATTCGTTCAGAGCCAACAGTACGGTTATGTTCTCCTGATGGGTTGCCGTACTCGTTTACGCGGCACAACAGCAAGTATGCTCATATGATTGAGGAGGACTATCAACTTTTGGATGACATTAAATGTGCTGTATATTAACATTGTTTTATTTATAAACAGCTTTTTAGGCTTGCCTTTTTGATGTTAGTAGGTTAGTATAGAATAGGGCTGGATAAAGTAAATCAGCAGTAAATTGTGTAATATTATTTAATCAATAAGCAAAAATCTGTACAGCATCACCAACAATCACTACTATAATATAAAGAACAACAAAAAGCCTTTTTTCATGGCACCTTTACAGTACACAGCCCTACTATCCAGCATGAGGATTTGGATTCATCTCGACATTATTCGACTTTTCCTGCATTTCCCTACTCTTTTTCCTAACACTAGTTACAGTAGCATCCACAAAGTCTCCAAATGGATTAAAGTGCAATGATGATGAGCCCAAGGGGTTTGATGACACTGTACGGTCCATCGACGTTGTCTCGGCGCTCTCTTCGTTCTTGGCACGGCGTTCAGCACATTTGTCGTAGATGAAGAAAGAGCCCTAAAAGGAAGCTTCGATTAGGAGGACTTTTACTTTTTTTTCTAAAGTTCCGTACCTTAAACTTTACCGTACTCTAGGTTCCACCCTACCCTAGGCCTTACTAGGTGCTAGCGTATTTTAAGCCCTACCATATACTAAGCCCTAAAGTAATAGGGCCCTTTAACCTGAGCTCTACCGTACTTTAGTCCTTACCGTTCTCCAAGACCTTTCGTAACATAGACCTTACTGTACACCAGCTGCTAGCGTACCTAGAAATTACCGTACACTAAAATCTACCCTATCTTAAGGCCAGCTTTACCAGATTTTAAGCCCTACTGTATCTTAAGCTTTAGCATATTTTATTATCTTGCTCTGAGCCCTATTACATCTTATACCCTCTTTTACCAAAAGACCTACTGTGCCTAGGCCCGGCCCTACTACCGTATGCTACGCTGTCAAGCCCTACCTCATACATACACATAAGATCTTCTTTGTCACTATTGTAACATTAATCTACCCTAACAACCCAAAATCAAAATAAAGCACATCTCACCTGCATAATTCCAAGAACCGAAAGGCCAAGCCAACAGCCCAGAATACCTCCAACATTACCCATAAAACTTGACCAAGTGTATTCAAAGTCCTGCTCTGTTTGAATGTACTCAAAGTTCTTCCAGTAGAAGTTGATCGAAGTGACGTTTGGATCAGTTCCTGATTTTTCAATTTTATCTTCGTTGTCGTACATTGCAGTTAGCTGGGCTGCATTCGAACGCAAGTCTTTCTGTATGTTCCACTGAACCGTGGTGCATGAACGATAACATTCTTTCTTACAATCGTCTTCTGTTTCGTTTACTGGGAGTTGGGTTGGTCTGAAAAATAAGATTTAAGAGTTGGTCTAAAAAGCATAAATTTTAGGCTTTTTGTTTGCTTGTACAGCTAGATATGAATCTTGTGACACAAACAAAACATAAAACTTTGTACTTATATGGTATTGTCTACTTGTACACTTACTCCAAGGTACAGTTCTCGTAAGAGTTGCATAGTGGAAACTCAGTCAATTCCGATTCGTCTCCGACGTAGTCTTGTAAGGTTGTTGCTGTGCATCCACAAACGTGCTAAAAATAAATTTTTTAATATAATTTTAGCCATTAAAAGTAGGGCTAGGGCTAGGACTCTTGGGCTAGGAATAGGACTCTTTATGCATCAAACTTAAAACTTTTCTTACCCTAATGAAGTTCAATCTACACTTCAGCAAACAACCGTACTCAGTGTCAGTTCCGCCTTCATATTCTGTACATTTTTTGCCTTCATTATCATTGGCCAATTGCGAATAAATGCCCACAATTTCAATGTTTAAATGTGAATCAGTGCCAAAACACATTTCTTCAAAAACTCCATCTCGAGAACGGCCTTTTCCTACCGCAAAACGTTCGTAATCAGAGGAACGGCCTTCAAAATCCACCGTGATACAGTCAATATCGTGCTGCGCGTAGGCTATGGGGGAGCGGATTTGAATGTTTAGGAATTTGCCCTGGAATTTATTCAATGTGATGATAAGAAACTTTAAAATGTCTAAATTGGGCTTAAGATAAAGGAAAATAAGATTTGAAGAATTTTTAATCAATAATATACCTAAAATTAAAAAAAAAATTATAAAAACCCACTTGGTGGTCGATTGGTGCAAAGAATTCTTCCTGAGCGGCCGGTTGGAAGCAGAACAAGCTAGATGATATCCACTTTATTAATGGGTACATGGTCAGATCACGCTCGTCAAACGGCGAAAAACGCTTCATTCGTTGTAGAGACCTAAAAGATAAAAAGTTTTAAAATGGTGCTCTTTTAGCTCATAGTGTAACATTTTTTTCAAAGTATTACTAGTCGTGAAGGTAAGGCTAAGGTTCAAGCTAAGGTTAAGACTCAGGCTTAGACTAAGGTTAAGGCTACGGCTCCAGCTGACTTTAAAGCTAAGGTTAAAGCTGTAAGTAGCTCAGGCTCAGTTTCAGACTCAAGCTAAAATTAAAGCTAAGGCTTATGCTCATCATCATGTTCATGCTTATCATCATGCTCATGCTTAGGCTCAGAATCACGCTCAGGTTAATGCTAAAGCTATATTTAAACATAAAGTAAGCTGAGAAAGCTAAATCACTTCCAATAGCACTTACAATTTGATAAGTTCATAGCCAGTTTTCTGGAAGAATTGATTGAAAGTCACATTTCGGTCGTCCAGTACACTTAACCATTGCTGAAAAAAGCATTTTAGCTAATAACGCATAAAATTTTAAAAGATACATAAATAATTTTATTTAACATTTTATAAAACTATAAAAAATTTTTAAAAAAATTATTTTTTAAAAAAATCAAAAAAAAGAAATAAATCAAAGTTAAAAATAACATTCAAAACTTACCTGCACCATTTGCCGTTTAACAATAGTACGTGAGCTTTTTCCTAACATAAGTAAGTTCAAAGGAATACGTTCAAGCATAAGCTCCCTTTCGAAGGTGTATAAGGTCCCAATGACTTCAACTGCTTCTCGAATCAGGCGAAAATCCCAGGTTTTTCTGAGAAAGTCTTCAGTCGAATTTAGTTTGTTTAGGGCTTTCTGAAGTTCTCAAGTTAGTACTAATTTGCTCACAGAATCATCGTAGTACTAGTTTTATCAAAATAGTACAACTTTTTTCAAAATAAAACTTGTTTTATAAAAATGATACCGCTTTTTTCAAACGAATGCTAGTTTCGTTAAACATAATACTATCTTTTCTAAATTAGTACTACTTTGTTAAAATAGAATAGTTTTTTAAAACAGTACTATTTTTATCAAACGTGTACTGATTTGATTAAAAACTATTTTTAATTTAAGATGATAATATATCTTTAAAAAAATCATAAACTCACATTCATTTCCGTATCCCAATCCTCCTTAGCATGCTCTTGCATAAGCTGTTGAATCGGCAACATTGCCTGTTCCTTACCCATACAAAACGTTACATTTGGAAACGTCATACTCTCATTGAACACCATCATCATATTAGTCTGTGTTTCATTTTCCAAGTAATCATTCACAGCTTCATTCAAGTCTCGCAGTGTTAACAGAGTAAATAAGATGACAAGGAACCAAAAAATATAATTTGACCATCGGTTTGTACAGAAGAGGGTACGCCAATCCACTCGTTCTGGTCGAAGTACTCCAACTATCGTTGTCATATTGAAAAAAAACTGATTAAAAATTAAAATCTAGCAACTTAATTTTAAACCACGTTTAATTCTGAACATTTTTCATTAAAAACCTTAGTTAGAAACTTTCGAAGTCGTTGTAATAAATTGAAAAGAATTTTCATTGACGTCTCATTTTACTCTTGCCATTAGTGCAAAAACAAACTTCTTTTTACTGTAATATGATTGGTTTTTACTTTGGTTTTGAATCGGTTTTTAGGTAGGAGTAATATTGGTTTACTTTATGTTTAATAAATGTTTAAAAAATTGTGAAATATGCCAAATTTTAAAAATTATAAGGAAAGTTACGAAAATAACAAATTCTAAAGTTAAGCTAAAATCTTAAATTACAAAAAATTGACATTAAAAATAAAATTTTTAAAATGTTTTATTGGCTACAACAATGTAAATTAATAAAGAAAGTGGCCGACCTGCTCCGCTATGTGATTTCAAGCGTGATTAAAAAATTAATTTTTAAATTTCCCGTTAAATTTTCATTGTGTTTCAAGCTTATAAATACGTTATTTTTTGACTTTTGATCTTTATTATTTTATACTATCATGGTAATAGAAAACCTTTTAATGAACCTACATTTTTTACTTTGTATGCGCAGCTGGTCTGGAAAAGCAAAAAAATGTGCTTGACACACTACATGTATGCTAACTTTGCCGAATTGACGAGGCACTCAGAATTTAGAGCTTAAAATACAAAAGCGCAAGCTAAAGCTTTTTGTGGGTACTATTGATGGATTTAAATAAAATATTTGGACTGATTCTAAGCAGGTAAAGTTGTGCACTTCCTTTGTATAAACGATAGATTTTTACTAAAAAAACACAAAATTTTAAAAAATCATAAATACATTTTAAAACAACTTTCTCTTCTGCATACATGCATACAACCGCACATTATAATAATAAATGGTACAATATCATACTGATACTACTCTTCAGAATCACTTCTCAAAAGGTGCCATCTGTTTAGCCCAGCTAATAAAGTCTTGTTGATCATTGGGCTGTTGGAAAGATTGTTTTGAGTTCAAGAAATCATAAGCGACAGGTCGGCCACTCCTGTTCGTAGCGTAGAAGATGGCTGGAGTTTGTTTGGATTGTACATTCAAAATTCCTGGTTTGTACTTGTCTTTACCACCGTACTTCAACGGACCTTTGCGAACGTAGAACTCATCGTTGGTTATGTATAGCGTGAACTTGCCGTCGGATATTCCACGTGGTGGGGCGGCTGAAGTGTTAAATTTAGTTTTTGTTTTGACTTTAGTGGTTTAGACAGAAACAAGCAACATAGAAGTGAAAGAGACGCCTAAACTCTAGCCTTATCCTTAGTTTTAGCCTTAGCCTTAGCTTTAGACTTAGCCTTAACCTAAGTCTAAACCTAAGCTTAAACCTAAGCCTAAGCCTAAGCCTACACCTAAGCCTAAGCCTAAGCCTAAGCCTAAGCCTAAACCTAAGCCTAAGTCTAAGCCTTAGCCCTTGCTTTAGCTTTATCTTTAACTTTAGTTTTATCTCTATCCATAATTTCAGGGCTAGTCTTAAACCGCTCTCAATCTTTATTGTCCATCCACAAATTAGTCAAAAGACCACACAAGTTGCGACAACAACCTCCTAAAGTTTTTTTTTCCAGAAATTTCGAAAAATATCATAAAACAGAGAAAAAATAAGTTACCTATCAGTAGTCACGCTAGCTTGTAATTTTGACAAAGACAAACGAGCTTCTACAATTTTTTCAAGAGTTTTACTGCTTATTTCAAGGCTTCTGAGAAACATTCGCATCAAAGATTTTCACAAGATAAGCCTGCAAGTTTATCTAACAACATCTATTTTTATTTTTTCAACAGCGTAGACAGTAACAAAAACTTGTATTATTCAAAAACTGCCCTGGTTTTTTCTTGTCTAATCTGATGTACGGTAGCGCGGTTACAAATCGAATCACAAAAACATAAATCGCAGATCTCATAAATCAAGGTTTGAGCGGAACCATGAAAATTGATGATGCAGCTGATTTGACAAAAAAAAGACTTCTTTGTTTTTATATTGCAACAATGTGGCTTCATGAAGAAGGTTTTAAACAAACGTTTAGTATCTATCAAATTTTAGACAATGGAAAACGTATCTGAGAGGTTAGAGTTCAGAGTTTACAAAACTAGTGAAAAAAAAAGTTGGAGCAAAATTGAAGTGTTACCTGGTAGGTCAAAGAGTAATTAAGGTTATCCCTGATAAGCCAAAGAACGAAGGAATTTTAGGTAAGACATGGATGGTCTAGACAATACAGTACATACAATAAGAGAAGTAAAGCATGAAACATGCAAACAAACAGCTTTGTAGCTAAATAATAAGAAAAAAGTTTCTTCGAGCCCTAGCCTTACCCCAAACTAATGACGAGCACAGAACTCTAAAAAGCGCAAGCCCAACTTTTGGCCCGGCCCGGCAAGTCAAGCCTTAAAATGCCCTTCAGCTCTTAGACTCACATAAACCGTCCCGGTCTACTTTGAATTTGCTTTAGTTTGACCCGACCTTTGTATAAAGTCGTTAAAATAATAACTAAGAAAGTTGTATTGTACCACTTGTGTACCCTAAATAAGCAATAATTTAATTGTCCGAGCTGAGGCCGGACCTACTGAGCCTCATTGCAAGCCAGAAGACGAAGAAAAGAGTCTTAAAACAATTAAAATCTATTTAAAAATCCTAAAATAACATTAGTCATCATTAACTTACCTTGTAACACGCTCACCAGCAAACATCCCGCCAAAACAACACAAAAAAAGCACTTCATTTGTCAAAAAATGTTCTGCAAATAACTTTTCGCAACGGTCTTCAACCTCGAATGTCACTTCGATGTCAAGAAAAAAAAATCCTCAAAAACAGCAGCTGGTCGGAAGTTTAGGCGTTACGTTAAACTTGTTTTCGTTAAGGCTACGCGAAACCACAAAAGAATCGCACGGCTCTGTTTGTTTTACCTCAGGCAAGCGTGATTTAATTGGGTTAGTCGCATACAAATTTTAGTAGATCAACCCTCGCTGGCTACATGATGATGAGCAGCGAAAACGGCGAATAAAATACGTCGTTACGATGTTGCTTGACGTGACAAGAAATGCGCTGTAGTTAAGTAGGGTTAGTAAATGAAAAAGATTGTAAAACCGTAGTTTATTCGAAAATTGAATACATCGTAAGATTGAGGTTTATGCAAGACATAGTTAAACTTGTGTTTGATGACAATATGTTGCTAGAGCCAAGTTATATGTAAATATAGTAGAAATGACACCAAGTTTTAGCTGTTTTTGTTTTATTTCGTTTTTGTTTGTCTTTTAAATATATATCATACACAAAGCACGGCTTTCACCGATATTGTGGAATCCGTTTAAAGCTGGTCGTAGCCAAAACTCAATTGATCAATAGTAGTTATTCAATTAACAACAAACAGTTAGCTAACAAGTTAATTTATCGCACAGTCTAGTTTACTCGTTTTGCGAAACAAAATTTAATTTAATATGGACATAAATCTCAATCGTATAGAAGAAAGCAATTAATTTTTATCCAAAAGATACAAAATAGTAAATATGACTTAAGGATAAAACAGCAATTTGCCGCAACATCACTATTCTGATAGTATGTTTGTCACCGTATGTTTTGATCTACGGTTATAGATCAAAACAGACGAAGCACGGTAGTAGTAAGGTTAAGACAAGTAGAAATTCACATTTTCTCAGCTTTCCATTTTGGGCGTAGCACACTCGACCGACAGTACCCTGAAATAAAAAAGTTATTGTAAAAGGTTGATAATATAACTTACGCCTAGAGTGAAAACGGCCCACTAGTCTCATCGTCAGCCCGACTCAGGCCCCAAACCAAGGACCGTCGAAAAATTGAACCCAGCCTGGCCCTTTTATAGGTCTACTTATGTTTCTTTAGATATTAGAAGTGTAGTTTAAACGCTGCGCTATCTGAAATAATGAGCTGGTATATAAAACGCAACCGGTTGCAAAAAAAGCGGATCGAAAAACTAAACGAAACTTTATAAAACCAAGTTCAAAAAATTGTAAAAATAAGCCTCTTGGTCTAATGATATCGCTGCAAGTTAAAATAAAAATTGAAACTTATTTTTAATAATGTTTTCAAAGGGTTATACTAACGTCAACAATTTATGCAGATCAAACATGTCCGTGGATGATCTAAGTTGGACCTAGCACGAGCGCACCCTTTGGGTCCCGCAACGACAACGAACAGCACTTGGCATTCCGCACCACGTACGTGGACAGCACGATAAAAGGAGAGGACGGTCAAGCAACAGGAGACTTGGAGGACAGTTGGAGTGGAGTATTGGGGACATTCGGTCAGCAGGCGCAGGACAGTTGGGACGTCCGAAGGACGTCGCATACTTTATATCTGTGATCTTTATCGTTATTGGTTTATATTATATTATTGTTGAATGTATTGAGGAAGGTAAATATTATAACCTTATCATGTGGGCTTATTGTTATAGGCATTTTATGTAGGAGCGTCCCCCCTTAAGTGATCCGAATTCTAAATCAAACTCACTAACTTGCAATGTGTCTACACGGAGTCAAGAAAATGTATAACAATTTATTTTCACCAGTGTACAATATAAAAGATCTTCTAACTAAAGACATGTTTTGTGTTTTGTCGCATTACTTCAACCCTTACCATCAAACCTGAACTAAAAATCATCTGTTCTGGCAGGTAATGATGTTATCTTACTATAATATAGATTTTAAAACATACACTGTAAACTACGACTACACAGTTACTAATATTTTCAAAAATGTTTTTTTTTTCTAAATTGTTGTAAGTTTTAGGTTTTGTTGAAAGTAACCTTTTAATAAAAAATGTTTGTTTTAAGTTTAAGAATCGTACCTTGACTAAAAATTCTAATTAATTATAAATGCACTTTAATGAGAGTTTTCAAACCCTGTTTTTTTTTACTTTTTAAAAACTACTTTTTTCTTCTTCTGTTCTTCGGTAAGAGATACGTTTCAAGCAATGTAAGAAAAAGCAAAACAAAAAGTATAAAAGGCGAATTGTTACTGCTTTTGACTTAATTATTACTAGCACTAATGGAAAACTTGGTTACAGATGGCGTTCGTTGGAATGAGGAGCTAAGTACCTCAACTTACAGTATACAATTTGTGATTGAGAAATTGTATCTGGGTTGTCCAGCGTTTAAAGATAGTATTCAAAAAAGCACATTGGCTGATGTAAGTGGTTATGGAAGACTTACTTTATATTATTGTAAACATAAACTACAGTGGAACTCTGGCATAACGAAGTTCTGTTCTTGCATAACGAGCTTCTGTTTTATTAGTTGGAAAATGAATTTTTTCGAGTTTTAAGGTCTCATACAGATGTATCAGCGGTGGCAATGGTTATTTTTCACACGTGTACAAAGTAGAATTTACATTTGAAGATGCAACAACCCTTTCTGTGGCCATTAAAGTGCCAACTACTAATCTGTTAGAGAACATGGAAGGTAAAATTTTAAATATATTGTTTTTACTAAAGCAAAGACACTATCAACACTTATCTGTTGATTTGCAAGGGAGCCCACTAGGCCACCCCCGCCCTCAGCTCCGAGGCCACTCAGCCCTGAATCGAGCCGGGCTGAGGCTACTTTAAAGTAGACGGGATGAAAAAATTGGGCCCGGTCTGGTCCTTTTACAAGTCTACTTATCATTACCCTTCCCTAGTTTTATTTCACACTATTCAACCCAAATTTAGACTTCAGTGAAGCCCACAACTGTGAGTGTAAATTCTTCTCGCTAGTCCAGAACCATGCTGATATTCCAGTACCACAAGCTTTTTATATCGAAGAGTCATCCGAAAAGCACCCCGGATGTATTATAATGCAAGATCTGTCAGACAATTGTAAAGGCATATCTGTCCGGAATTATGTTACTGCGGAACTTTGCTTTGATTTGGCTAGAGTTTTGGCTAGATTACAAGCTGGTCTAGCCGCCATTGGCTCTTCTAAATGGAAAGGTGTTTTTAAAAATGACGACTTTGTTAGGACGTTTTATGAAAAATGTTATCAAAGCTACATTCCCGAGAAGGCAATACAATGTGGATTGAGTAGGTTTTGGTATCATACTATAGTTGTTTATATAAAAGCAGTTTAATTTTTTTTTTTTTTTTAAATTTTTCAGAGATTGTTTAATTTTTGTTTAAATTTTTTTGGTTTTAAAATTCGAATTTACAAATTTTAACGCTTTCACATTTTAGAAGCTGACTTGATTGAAAAGTGTCAAATCTTGGCAAATACTGACTTTTCCAAATTTGCTACCAAAGGAATTGCTGAAAAGTACGGTAAGTATATTTACGTGACAAGAGGGCAAGAATAAACGTGAAAGGGCGCTCACCCAGGTTCAGTCCGGCGCAGGATTTATCTAGAGCTGGCTAAGGACAAAAGAAATTAGTAATGAGCCGAGTAGGGTCAACACATGTGTGAATGAGGGCCAAGGCGCAAACTAAGGCTTGCACGTAAATTGGGCCGGGAAAAGTAGGGTCCGGTCTCTATACAGGCATAGTCAGAAGGGTGATAGCACAGAAGAAATGTGTTTATAAGGGGTTTTTTCCAAAGGGCAACTATTCCCTTTCTTAGTCCAAAACTGCTCGCGTGCGCCCACCCCCATTAATATAACCCTGATTTTTTAAAAAATTAAAATTTTTTTGAAAAATTTAGTTTCAGATATTATTTCTATGTGTCACGGTGACTGTCATTCTAACAACATGTTGTTTTATAAAAACCCAGACAATTCGGTTACAAACTCGGTGGCCGTACTCATTGATTGGCAAACAGCTTACGATGGTAAGCATTTATGCATTGAAACAATATTTCCATTTTCAAAATATTTTTAAATTTTTATGTTAAATTAAATAATGAATGCGCAGGCAACCCACTATGCGATCTGGGCCGTTTTATGGCGTCTGCTCCAGAAGGTAATACTCGGCGGAGTATTGAAATGGACGTGCTGGACACCTACTACAACACATTATGTGAAGAATATAGAAAACGGAGTTTAGAAGTGCCATTTACCAGAGATGTTGTGAGTTGCTTTTACCTTTTTTGTAAAAATAAAAAAATTAATTTTTTTTAAACTAAAATAAAAATTTAAAAATTTTTTTTTAATTTTAATTTTTTCAAAATCTCGATTTAAAAATAAATTTACAGTGTCAAACCCTATACGACTACGCCTTCCTCCAACAAGTGCCCAGCTGCATCGTTATGCCACAACTTTTATTCAACCTTGAAGACTCAAAGGTACCAAAAAAAAGTTCAATTAGCAACACGAGACCGTCTGGTAACAAGGTACAATCATGTAATGGAAGATGCTGTTCCTTTGATTCAAAAATATAAGATTGCCGAAAAATATTCGTGGCCATAAATGTGCTGGTGTATCGGTAATGTTATGAATTTGAATTTTATGTGATAATAAATATTTAATCTGTAAAATTTTTTGAAAGGATGCAGCACGATTGGGCACATAAATATTAAATATAATAGTTAAGTAGAGGGCTAGAGCTAGAATTAAGACTGGGGCTAAAGAGATCGGGTTAGATAAGTGTGAGAAACAGGACAAGTCCACCATTGAAACCCGGCCTAGGCCCCGGGGCCAACGTTTAGGCTCGGTACTTTTTTATTTTTTTAGGCCGTTCCGGCCCAACCGAAAAAAAAAATTTTTTAATTTGTTGGTCTTTGGCTTAATTTTCAATCCCGGCCCGCAGACAAGACCCAACTTTCAGCCCCTGTCCATTTTAACTTTAGCTCAAATCCAGCTTCGCACGATCGAAGGGAAAACTAGATATGGCCTACACGGGCCGTTTCTCATCCCTAGGGTTAGGAATAGATCTGAAGCTAGAGTCTAGGACTAAAGCTAGGGCTGAGGCTAGGGCCGAGGCTAGGACTAAAGTTAGGGCTTACGTTAAGGCTGAAGCTAGGGTGACGCTAGCGGTGAAGCTAGGGCTGAATCTAGAGCTGAAGCTAGGGCTGAGGCTAGGGCTGAAGCTAGGGCTGAATCTATGGCTGAAGCTAGGGCTGAGGCTAGGGTTGCCGCTATGATCAAAGCTAGAGTTATGAATCTGGCTATGGCTAATATGATAAATATTTCTTTTCGTGAACAATATATATGTGTCAATTCATAAATCACTCGATTTAGATCCTCGGTTTGGTTTATAACTTCCTGTCGGTATATTCAAGTGGATAATTGAATCTGCGTCGATCTTATGCGCCAATTATTATTCGGTTTTTCCTCCATTTTGTTATAGATGCGCAGTTCTAGACGTTTCGTTTTCTTGCTTCCGCTAGAATTGCGTGCGTTTACTGTTACGATGCCAGCCGTGATTCAAAGTTAACTGTCTGAAGCTATTGAGCTCTGTAACTGGCGTAATATTGTGCTTTCTCAGCAGCTTCTAGGCTCTGGGATCAGCTACCAAGAGTTGGATTTCTTGACAAATCTACCCAGAGAAAGCTGTGAATCTCTTATTCTACAAAAACATGGCCAAGTATTGTCATTGCCAAACGTACAACAATATTTATCTGAAGCTATGTCTTTCATGCCTACTAGTACTTACCAAGTTATCATACGCTAATGCTAGTCCTATAGTAGACATAACAAGAAAAATGTCAGCTAAAGATCGATTTTTCAATAGTCAGTTACCATTACAGCCACAGCGTAACAGTACTGCACCTCAAATCGCCAATTCTGATAGTAGTGTGGATAATGAAACTTCAGAACAGACGAATTATAAAGCCTTGTTCAAAGTTTCTTCTGGAACTGATACACAGAGAGGGAGTAAAAGTAAGTTTAAAATTAGTTTTATTTTAAAATTCTTAAGTTTTGTTGAGTTAGAGTAGGGAGTAAGGCAAGAAGTGTGGTTGAGAGCAGTTAAAAACTAGACTAAGGGTTTGTCTAGTGATTTAGCTAAGGCCCAAGTTAATGAGAACTTTGTTATTAAGCTTTGTCTGGAGCTGAAGCTAGGGCTGGGGCTAGTACTGGGGCTATGGCTAGGCCCTAGGCTAAAGCTGAAGCTGAAGTTAAGGTTAAAGCTAAGGCTAAGGTTAAGGCTAAAGCTAAGGCTTAAAAAAATTCTTTAAATTAACATTGTTTTAGAACGCCGAATCACACGCCTAAATCAATCTACCGAAGAAGTGATCAACGATTTTGATACCAGTCAAGAACAATCTGACCCTCATTTTCTGCTCAAAAAAATGTTCGAAACGCCTCAACTCCACCCTAACAAACATGTCAAAACAACCAGGCCTTTACGCAAAATTACCATCCAAACAACCACACCCTTCACTATCACAACTTCTGAAATCTCAATGCGCCGCACCACTGTTACCGTGCCGGAGGAACGTTCTAGGGTGAGTTATAACGTTTTAGTCAAACTGTGAATACAGAATCTATTTGTAGGTAATATTATTGCACGGCAAGATTCCACTGAAAATCAACTGTCAAATGCTGGAAGGACTAATGGAGCAGCAGTTGGTAGATTCGGAAATGCTAACAGTAGAGAACGGCATACTAGACTCGGAGGTTGGGGTAGTGAAGAACGACAGGGTAGGCTCCGAGGTAAGGATAGTGAAGAACGACATGCTGGATTCGGACGTCGAAACAGCGCTGAAGCTAATCGACGACATGAAAATGAAGATATTGCCTCAAGAGGAGTTGAAGATAGCTCCAGCAGAAATCATGACAGTGGCCTCAAGATTCTCAAAATCGACCACAACGCCGGAAATGACAAAGTTAGTCAAATCGACCAGCTTTTCGGTCCCAAGAGCAACAAAAAGGTCGATAACAGAAGAGGAGGCAATGGCAAACAAGATCATGAGTTCAACGCCCAGAGTCACGACAGTAAAGGGGTTAAAGTTGAGCACCGTACCGACAGTAGCAAGAAAATCGACCACAGACTCAACAGTCAAAACAAAATCGACGACAGCGCCATCAACAACAAAAAAATCGTCCACGGACCCAATGGTCAAAATAAAATCGACCACGGACCCAATAGTCAAAACAAAATCGACCATATTACCCCAAGCAACGCAAACAACGACCAGATCGACCACAACTTTCACAGACAAAAAAAAATCAACCCCCAAACACCAAACCAAATGGAAGTCAAGCACTGGCTTGAGTACGACCACACAATCGACCAAAGACTCAATTACAACCATAAAACCGACCATATCCCCAACCAGCTCCCTCCTTCATCTCTTCACCAAGACACCCAAGATAGTTCTACCAGTGAACTTGATAGAGCAAGAGCGGAGTTTACTCTCCCATCTACTACAAAACTCTATCAAATTTTTGAACACACAACGACAAGACATTCCACTGCCGGACAACATATTGACTCAGCGAGAAAAGAGGCTGAAGGTTACCGAAGATCAGGATCTGATTCAAAAAGATATGCTAATGAAGTTGCTTTCAAGGTTTCAAATTCCAAAAGGCTTGCAAGTACAAAGTCCAGAGGAGATAATGATGAATCAAGAGGTGAATATGAAGAATCAAGAGGAGATTATGAAGGACAGTCACATAGCTCACGAGGTAACACAAACAGCTCAAGAATTATCGATAGAAACTATGAAGAATTCCCAAGACCAGAAGGGTTCGTTACAGCAACAGATGAATCCGAATCATTTTCAGACCCAACAAGGCCAGTTGGAGCTACAGAAAGACCATTTGGAGTCACAGAAAGGCCATTTGGGGCTTCAAAAAGGCCATTTGGAGCCCCAGAACGGCCTTTTGGAGCCACAGAAAGGCCATTTGGGGCTTCAAAAAGGCCATTTGGAGCCCCAGAACGGTCTTTTGGAGCCACAGAAAGACCATCAAGAACAACAACAAGCCAAGACTCAACAACTACAAGCCAATATACATCAAAAAGACCAAGAACAAATAGCCAATATACTTCAAAAAGACCAAGAACAAACGTTAAAGCTGAAACAGATGAAAACCTTGATGAAACAACTCCGGAGCCAGTGTCCGAGCCGTACGCTGATGAATTAATTGAAGCTTTCTTTAATGATGAGCTAGACATCTATTATAATAAAGATTCACCGTCTACAGTGCTAGTCGACAATGGTGATGAAGAACTAAAATATGATAATGGTGATGAAGAACTAAAGATGAATCAAAGGGTGGAAGAAAATAAGCATAAAGAAGGAAAAGATGATGAGAAAGAAGATGTAGAAGAGAATTATGATAAAGAAATAAGAGAAGCTGACAAAACAAAGCAAAAGAACAAAGAAAATGACAATTTAAAGCATGATATCAATGCCAACTTTAAAGAAAAAGACCTTGCAAACATAGCGTTCCTTCAAGAAAATGATGCCATAAAGAAAGAACAGGAAGACGATAAAATACCCCGCTTATCAACCACAAAAACAGATCAAAAACCCAAAGAATCAAAGGAAAATAGCAATAAAAACAACATTTCAAATCAAAATGTTCATAAAGATGACAATAGCAACAGCTTTGACTATAAACAAAGGCTTGAAAATGACTTTTTGCCTCTCCAAAAACCTTATGTCAGCCCTACTTACTGGAACAACAAGGTGGTCAAGTTTGACGACAACAATGTTATTGTTAAAGAAAGAGGTACCATTGTTGATAGTGACTATTAATAAATTTAATTTATCGTATTTTAAATTAATTTTAACAATATTTGTTTAAAAATAAATTATTTTAATTTTTGGCCTTCATTACTCTCTAGAATGACATATTATCAGCTGTAGTACACAAAATCTTAGCTTATCTTACATTATTGTACCCTACCCTTTGTATTGTATAGGGTGCGTAAAAAGTTTTGTTACACGGTTATATCTTAAATAAAAAAATTCAAAGTTGTGTAAGGTAGAGTAGTACTAGCCATAGACTTTAAGTCATCAAATTTCAATTTATCAATTTATACGTACAACTAACTAAAACCTTAAAATTTATATCTTGTTGTACCTCCCACTCTGTATTTCATCATACATTTGATAATCAAGTTTTTTGTAAAGCTTTGCAGCAGCATCAAAGTAATATAAACCATCACCATCACATTCATCTGGATTAAACCCTTGATCTCTCAAAACATTCTTCTTCAGCTTGTATGTGCCAGTACGTTCCACTTCTTTACAAATTCGAAGAAACAGGGGAATGGCATAGCTGGGCAGACGGGAAACTACTCGTTCGGCTATGTGGGTTATCACTGTCTGAAGAGAGGTTGAGGCACTCTTTTGTAAGTAATAAGAATAAGGTTAGAGTAAAACAAACTAAAAGTTAAGTTAGGTTTCTTGAGAAATAACAAGCCACTGTAGCTACATATAAGTGCACGAGTAAGGCAAAAGTAAAGGAAGGGTAGAGTAGGGTAAAAGAAAGCATTGTAAGGCAGGGTAAAGCATGATGAAGAAGGGTACGGTAAAGTAAAATAGCGTAATGTGGACTAAGGTAAGGTAGGTTAAGTTAGAGTAGGATAAAGTATTGTAGAGTAGGGCAGGGTAAGATAAGGTAGAGCAGCGTAGGGTCGAGTAAGGTAAGATGAAGTAAGCAAGGGTAGGGTACACTAGGATATGGTAGAGTAAGGTAGGGTAGAGTAGGACAGGGTAGAGTAGGGTAGTGTAGGGTAGAGTAGGGTAGCGTAGGGTAGGGTAGGGTAGGCTAGGGTAGGGTAGGCTAGGGTGGGGTAGGGTAGGGTAAGGTAGAGTAGGGTAGAGTAGGGTATGTTAGGATAAGGTAGGGTGAAGTACAGTAGTGAATAGAAAAGTAGGGTAAGATAAGGCGCAATATAAAGACCAAAATTAACAGTAGACAAAAAAAACCTACATTAACATCAACCCCATCATAAACAGTTGCACTGATCATGCCAGCTCGCCCTTCTCTGCCTTTAACTTCAACACCATAAACAACAGCATCTTCTATCTCTTTTACTGGCTGTAAAACGCTCTCAACTTCAGTTGTGCTCACGTTTTCACCTCTCCAGCGATAAGTGTCTCCTAGACGGTCCTAAAATGCCATAAAATTTGAAATTTCAAAAAAAATCAATTTTCAAAAGACTTTCAACCCCTACCTTAAAGTAAAGATATCCATACTCATCCCACAAGAACAAGTCTCCACTCGCAAAGGCGACATCTCCTTTGACAAAGACGTCTCGTACCAACTTCTTTTCAGTTTCCTGCTTGTTCATGTAGCCTTCAAAGCTGTTCAACTTATCATTAGCTCTAATAAGTCCAATAAGATGACCATGTTCTCCTGGCTGACACTTTATACACAAGCCTTCCTTGTTTCGAAGGAATTCGCCTGAGTCTTTGTCGACTGAAAATAGCTTTTAAATTTGAAAATTTTATGTTGTTTGAAGTTACAGTAGCTTAGATTAGTCTATCTCGGCTTATGGTTGTATATCATACCCTAACCAACCCTACTGTACCTTTCCCGACTTTACCTTACTATAAATTACCCAGCCGTACCATATAGTAAACTACCCTTCTTATCCTACCCTGCACCCACACTTACTTCTCAAAACAGCCACGGTAGCATGCTTCTGAATCCACTGAGGTAGCGGCAAGACACCACAAGCCCCAATAGTACCATCCAAATTGACCGCATTGGCATTCCCTTCAGTACTACCATAAAACTCGCTAATCCTTTTGACCTTAAACCGGTCAACAAGTTCTTGCCAAATTTCTTTCCGCAGCCCATTACCATATAATACTCGAAGAGGGTGATGGGAATCTTCTGGAGATGGTTTTTTGGCTACCAAGTACCTGGCTACTTCTCCAATGTACTGACTTACAGTACAATTGTACTTCCGGACATCTAACCAGAAGTTTGAGGCGGAGAACTTCTTTCGTACTACTAGCTTGCAGCCTGAAAGTGATAGTACTATTTTAAGAAGAATGGTACTAATCTCACACAACTAGTACTATTTTACAAAAACTAAGATCTTAACAAAAGCAGTACTACATTACCAAAAAATTAATAAAAAACCCTACCTCTAGCCACCAACTGTCCAACCCCCAATATCCCCCCAGCTGAATGGTACATTGGCAGAAATACATAAACTGTGTCATCGTTCCGAAGCCCACAAACATTTCCAGACAAGGTTGATATCCAAAAGTATCGGAAATGCTTAATGACTGCTGGCTTTGGATTCCCAGTAGTACCACTTGTGTAAATGTAGGACAAAACTGACGAAAAGTTAATATCAGCCTCGGGTGGCTCGGATATGTCAGTTCTTACGCCACTGACGTCCGTAGCGTATGTTGAGTTAGTTTGGTCGATGGTGAAGATTGGAAGGTCGGTGGAGAGACAGTCGGCTTCACGGGCTTCGTCGATTACTGAAAATAATGAGATTTAGAGTTTAGGGAATGTTTGTACCTAAAAAATATTGAAGAAAATAAAAACGAAGTGTCAAAAACTTCAAAAATTGGAGACGAAGTGTCAAAAGTTCGAAAAAACTGAAAAATAATTTTCGACCGAGTTTTAGGCTTATTTTCTATTCTTTTTATGGTTTTTTTGGTCTCAATTTTTTTGTAAATTAATATTTTAGATATAAATACGTTATTATTACTTACTCTTTCATTATTTGCCTGTTTTCAGCTTCTAACCCGCATCCGCAACCAAATTTTCGTTATTTTTTCAAAAATTTTGTTATGGACAATATTTTAGCTCGTTTTTGGTGGAATTTGCTTGAAGAAGACCAGTAAATGGGTAAAATACGAGACAAGGAATCAACAAAGAAAGCCCTTTTAGGCAATATTGATGTTTAAAATTAAGAAAATAGTGTGCTTAGTTTAAGTTTAAACATAAGAAGTCTTGAATCCAACCTAACTTTTAATAAAAAACGTTTTGAATCATGGGTAACATCCTCAACACAACTTTTTCAAAAAAATACTGTTTAAAAGTTTAAAAACCTAATTAATAGTGAATGAATAGGTAACAAAAAGAGCATGTGTACTTAGAATATTATTTTAAAAAGCTTTTGAAAGCATATTGATCATGATACTAAAAGAAACCGGCCCAGTTCGCGACCATAACATTATTTTTAATATTTCTTCGAATTTTCAATTTTTTTTGACTTTTTTCGATTTTTGTGTCAATTCACTTACCATGTAACAAACTTTTGCTAGTAATGACAGCTTTACAGTTTGCGGATGTAATTGAATGTTGAAGGGGTTCTAATTTGATGTTGATATTGAGCCAAGCCGTATGAATACCTACTTTGGCTAGTCCTACCCATACAGCAATGTAATCGGCGGAATTTTCCAGAAATACTCCGACTGTGTCACCTTGCTTGTAGCCTTTTGACTGAAATTTTAGACGTTAGGCATGATTTTTGGGGTAGGGTTAAGTTAATTTAGAGGGTAGAGAAGACAGAGTAGACAGGACTTACCAAAAAGTAATTAGCATATTGATTAGCCAGTTCATTGAGTTGTTTCAAAGTGAATTTTCTGCCAGTTTCAATCTCTTCTACTACTATTTTGTCTGGATTTTGGTTAACAATTTCCACAAAATAATGAGTTATTGGTTTGTTTCGCTTTTGGGCTTTACCAATTATGTACTTTACGTACAATAACTTGCTGATGGCTCTAAAATTTTTTTATTAGAAGTAAAGGTAAGCGGGTTATTTTTTTATTATTACACCTTACCTGACATCTCGCGGAAACGTATACAAAAGTCGTCGATAATGAGGGAACAACCACAAACTTATAGCACCAGCGGCCGCGATAGCGACCAACCATGTTCTTTTGTCATGCGCTAGCTCTATGGACATGACCTGTAAATTTAAAAAATAATTTTTTAGTGAAAATAATTTTTTTTTGTTTAACAGTAATTTTGCTAACAAAAAAAACAGTATGAAGATGTAAAATACGAGAAAACAAAACACGAGTGTGCTGAATGAAAAGTAGGGCTATGGGCAAAGCTTGGGGTAGGGTAGAGGTAAAGGTATAGTTAAGGTTGGGTGTAGGAGTAGTGGCAATAGTAGCTGTAAGGGTAGAGGTATGAAAAGTAAAATACGGTAGTTGATCTCATTGGTGACTATGATTTTCATATTAACTTACTCAGTTTAGCCCAAACTTTGGACTTCAATAAAGTTTACTTATCAAGAAATTTTAAAAGTGAGACAACCTTTTAATTTAAAAAAATGAAAAATGTTTCAAACATTGTAAAAATACATAAATATCATTGCGCTACAGTTTTTTTTTGGTTCCCTCTTATCAGTTGTTATTTGCATCCGAAAAAACTAAAACTAATCAGTTCAAAACAAAATGGTTTAAAATTATTTCTATTATAATATGCTTATAGGTTAGTTTATGTTAGGGTATGGGGTGGAGCAAGAAGAGCGGTAGAGGGTCGTTTAAGGCTAGGCTAACAAAAACTTGTAAGGCGGTGACTAGTGATAAATCTATGGAAAAACTAAAATTAAAGGAAAAAACAAAGGCTAAGCCTAAGTCAAGGTTAAGGCTACAACTAAGGCTCAAAAATTAGTCCCGGCCTGGTTCCTTTACAGGTCTAATGATAATATAAAAAGCCGGATTTTCTTTTAAATGTAAGCATATAAAATAAGCTAGCAATCATAGGCATAGATAACATTTTACAGACTTAAATTTTCAAAATTCAATAAAACATTTTTAAGACCAGTCCATATGACAAAACATACAAAATCATGATTAAAAAACCACTGTCTATCTAATTTTCACAATCTTATCACGGAACAAAAACTGATAAAATTTGTTTTGTTTAACATTATTGATAGCCGCAGGGTTAAACATTATTCGAAAAGGAAATTGTAATTGAGCGCAAAATCACCAACTTAAAATTGTTTTAATTAAATTACATGAATAACAGTAAAAAATTAGTTGATGACTAGGGTTCATTGATACCACGAGTTTTGTGGTGTCGATAAAAACGCGTGTTATCATAGCGTCACATGTATTTTGGACTTTACACATGAGTTTTTTGTCTATTAATATAATAAAAGGTTGTCTGTCTTATGTTTATTGTTGATTTTTTTAATTATTGTGGTTTTTCTGTTATTTTAGATAATCAAAAAGGCTAAAACTAGGATTAGAGTTAGGGCTAGGTTCAGGTTAAGGCTAAAATTAGGGCTATTACCTATTAGTAGAGCTAGGGATGAGGATCTAGGGCTAACACTCTAATAAAGCTAGGGCTAGTACTGTATTAGGGCTAGGACTGAGGCTCTAGGGCTAGTACTCTCGTAGATATAGGGTTAAAATTTTTTTTAGAGCTAGGGCTGACAATGTGAGACTCTAACGTTGGTACTCTAATAGAGCTAAATCTAAAACGAGGGCTAGTACTATAGTAGAGCTAATGCTATAGTTGAAGCTGGGGTTAGCACTGTGCTAGAGGGCTGAGGCTCTTTGGCTAAAGTTAGGGCTAGTACCCTATTAGAGCTGGACCGTAGACTTTGGGCCTAGTAATCAAGTAGAGTCCCGCATAAGGCTAACGTTAGGGCCATGATTAGGGCTAAGTTTAAAATTCGGGTAGGGTTGACGAGAACTAAGTTATGAGAAACACATGGTAAGATAGCAAGCGTATTGTAAAGCAAGGTAAAATAACATGAAAAGATCAAGCTCAATGACCAAAAATCATGGTTTATTGTTAAGAACAACCTGTACATTGAGAACCCGTATAGTCAGTTTACAATACAATCAAGTTTTGAATACATACTAAGTAGTTGGAGCTTGCATACATACTATAATAAGTAGTTTGAGCTTACAATATCTTTAAAAAAGTGAAAAAATACTACATTATTTAGGCTTTAAAGGCCTTCAAATGTTATAAAAAACAACGAAAAATGAAAAAAATGACAAATCTAATCAATATTCAACAATAATAATATGAGCAGCACAAAAACTACTCAAAAAGTGATAAAAACCGTCTGAAAATTTCAAAAAAGTTATTGAAATTTGGAAAAATTTTCCAAAATTGATCGAAATTTTCAAAAATCGATCAAAATTTCGAAAATCAACCCAAATTACTCATTGATTTTCAAGTTCTGAATCGAACATGTGACATCCTCATACACAGAAATGTTTTGATAGTGACCACAACAGTCAATAGCAGATAAGGACAACTCCTCTCCTGCCGAATGATTTGATAAAAATGGTTGAATATAGCAAGGCGGCACGAAATGAGTGTCAGCCAATGAGCGAATGGCCATAACCGAGGAAACGAGGCCAATTGAGGTGCCAATGGTGGTGGCTATTACGCACATCCACTTGATTCCGGTCTTGTTTCGCTTCCAGATACTGTAATATCGGTTTTAGGCTTGGGTTTTTAAGATTTAAAAGTAGATAGGGGAGGGGGGTGTAGTGTGGGCAAGAGTAAAGTTAAGGCTATGGGCAAAAGGTGGGGAGAGGGGGATAGGAGCTAGGGGTAGAGATAGTGGTAGAAGGGTAGTGACTAGGGTAGGTGTAGAAGTAAGGGCAGGGGCTAGAAGTAAAGGCCCTACCTTACCCCTACCTCTAATCCCACCCTAGCCACTATTCATAACCCTTCCCCTTACTCCTACTTATATTCCTACCCTTACTTCCACACGTACCTCTACCTTAACTTCTACTCCTACTTTTACCACTACATCTAACCCAACCCTATCCACTACCTCTAGTTCCTGCCCCTACCTTTATTACTATCGCCTAAAGATAAGGGTAGGTGTAAGGGTAAGGGTAGAACTTGAAGTAGAAGTAGAGGCAATATTAGATGTAAAGGTATGGTTTTGAGTCATAGCAATACCTATGATGTTGATATTAACCTACTCAGTCCAGCTCAACTCCTGAGCTTCAATAAAGTTGGCTTTGGACGACCCATCAACTTCACCAGCCTTCAATGTCAAGTAAAATAGGCAAGGGAAGAACAATGCCGTCAACAGTGATGCTGTCGCACCAACCAGATCCATTAAAGCGCCAAAGTTTGGTACACTTAGGGCCGAGAAGATCTGTAGAGCCATAACCGAGGTACGGAGGATCACTCGTTGGTATCCAAAGTCTAAAACAAGGTAATCTTAGATTGCTTTAAGATTTGAAATTAATGTTCAGGGTATTGATAAGAGTGGGAGTAGAAGTAATATAGGATAAGAGTAGAGTAGGATAGGGGTAGGAGTAGGGGTAAGGATAAGGTGTGGGTAGCGTACAGTAAAGCTGAGTAGGGTAGGGTAAACCAACACCGCTTAGAGTAGACTTGATTACTTCGAGATACCATTTATCTTACAGTAACCCCAACTCACCATGTGGAACGTTGAAATAGTCTTCCAACTCCTGATTCAAAGGATTCGAAGCTATGGTGATGGTTAAGATACAATGCATTGTGATCAACAAGTTAACCGTAATTTGAATCCAAGGAGTTTGTACTGAGTTAATAATTGAATTTTTTACTGAATCTCCGTAGGAAAAGTAACTGATGACTGATACTGGGCCGTACAAGGAACTGATCACTGAAATAATTTTTTATTTTAAATTTGATTTTTTAAAATTTTTTGACTATTATACTGCCCTGCGTCTACTACTTCATACCCGTACTCATAATCCTACCCCTACCTTTACCCCTATCCATACTCCTACCACTACCCCTACCCAAACCCTTGTCATTACTCTTACCTCTACTCTTACCCTTACTCTTATTCCTACTCCTATATCTACCCCAGTAAACTCTCATACCCCTAATTGTACTTCTGTCCTTACCTCTACTCGTACCCCTAGCTCTAGGCGCTACCCTTAACTTTGTCCTTACTGTTACCCTCACTTCTACCCCTAGTTCTCCGCTTTCCCGTGCTTATACTCCTAACTCTACCCTGGATTTACCCCTATCTCTACCCCTACACTTAGCTTTACGCTAGCCCTGGCTTTTACCCTTGCCCTTCTCTACTTCTATCCCAATTTTCTAGGCCTACTCTTACCTTACATTGTCCTTACTCTTACCTTACCACCACCCCTATTTCTTCTCTTCTCCCTATTCCTAAACTTGCCCTGACTTTTACCCATACCTTACTCCCACTTTTACCTCTACCTCTAACCTTACCGACCCTACCACTTTTTTGGCTGGCAAACACCCCTAAACTCAAAAACATAATCCCCATAAACTCACAAATCATAGCCAAGATCATAGACTTTGTCCATTCAGCAGGTCTTCTCATGTCATGTTGTACCGTCGGAAACGAGGCATGGGCTTCATAAGCGAAAAAGAACGTTCCCAATGCCAAAAAGTAGTTACTCGGCGTGAACGGTGGCATTTCCTTCACGGCCGAACACGTTGGGTAATCAATAATGCCTCCAGCAACAATTAAAGAAGCTGATACGACTGATGTGAACATGGCTACAATCACCATTGGCCAGAAGTCTTGAGGAGATTTGAGGAAGTTGAGTGGTAATAGTAGGATACCAAGGAAGACGACCATGAAGCAGTAGCTGATATTGTAGTCAAAGAACATTAGGATAAGATCACGAAGGTTTTTGGCTGATAAGAGGAGGTATACTACTGATTGGCCAAACTGAGCTATGTTACAGTTTAGGGACACTATCCAGCTGAAAGTGGCAGTGTTAGGAAAGGGTAGTGATAAGGGTAAGGGAAGGGGTAAAGGTAGGGGTAGGGGGTATGGGTAAATGTAGAATGTAGACTTACACATATTTCTGCCCTAAGGCACGTTTGGCAATTTCAGCGTATGGTTTTCGGCAGTGATTACGATACTCTGGCCATCGTTCCAACATCATCATCCAACACTTTCCAAGCAATATACCAGTCATCCCCATCGTTACCGCAATGTAAAACGTGAAGCAGAAGCAGGCCCATAAGCCTAAAAAATTATTATCACCATTCTTCAATGCCCTACCCTACTCTACCTTACCCTATCTATCATACCATACCATACTGTAACTTACTCGTCCTAACTGTAGCCACAGGCAGTGTAACCAATCCACCACCAGCTACATCACCCAAAATGAACAAAGCGGTCGTAACCCAATGCATTCCAGCCGGTCGATAAAATTTCCCATCCACATATTCACCATCCGACACTGTAGACACGGTTTTGTTTCGTTTCTGAGGTATTGGGTCGGCTACGGCTTGAATTTTCTTTGATGACATGGCTGGAATTTTAAATTTAAAAATTTTTCAATTAATTTTTTAAATCGAATAGTGTTACCGCAGGTAAAATACGTACGAAAAAAATTATTAATACTCTTTAAAATCCCCCACCCCATCCCAAAAAAAATTTTTTTTACCCCGCCCATAAAAATGACACTCAACGCCCAAAAAACCGTCCTCACAACTTTTATCAATATGTAAAACAAAGTTTAGATTGTCATTTCCAAACAAAAACAAAGGAAATAGATAATCAAATGTAAGCTGTTATCATTGTCATTCCACGTATACAATTAGCAGACGTTCGACATTCGAAAATAGCGACAAGACATTGCAAAAAAATTCTCATGAAATCACGTGCCTTATCATTTTTACCTTCAATGAAAATTTTTCATCTTCTTTTGAGACAAAAAAATCTTTAATAAAAGTCATTTTGCACAAAGGATTTCGAAAATTTGCGATCAACTTTCGTCAACTTTTTCATCGATATTTGGAGGAAAATGAACTGCAATAGTTTGCAAAATATGTTTTAAATAACGGTCGTATACAGCGTAAAAATAAAAAAATCATCACGGTAAATTTAAGGAGGCCCATTCGGCCCGGCTTGAAGCAAACTCGAAAGGTAACAAACCGGATCAAGCGAGCCCGAGAGGTTAGGCCTAAATAATGGCCCCATTTCTGGCCTGAGAGTCGGGGCTCAAACAAAATCCCCAGGGCCCAGCTTAAGTCTCGAAACAAAAGATTTGACTTAGGAAAAGTTCTATAAAGGTCTGCTGGAACACTGAGAACCCCAGGGTTTGCTCAAACCAAAGCACACCGACGGACACTGTTGAACCCCTTTACGGGCCAAAAGGCTTTAGTCTGGAAACAGAGGAACAAAAAAATCAATGCAAAATGTCAATTAGAAAAAACAACCATGTTCAACATTCTTCTTCAAAATTTTTTAACAAAACACGACTAAAAAGACGAAATTTAAGTAGTTTCTAAAGTAGAACATTTTCGTTTTCTCAACGTCATTCGCGTTTAATATGCCAACTTTAAACTTCCGGTATACAAAAAACGCACAAAAACATACGAAATATTGTGTTGAAGTCTATTGACAGATTCATCATCTATAACCTAGACTAAACAGAGCTCCTTCGTAATTTTATCCTACCCGATAACCTTGTCCTAACTAAATCTATATCTATAGACTAGCTAAACCCCTGCATGAACCTCCCCAAGCGTCACTCTTGCCCTACTCTAATTGCCAAAGTTTGTTTACCGTCTTAACATGCTCCAGTCATATTCCACCCATACCATAGTCTTATCATAGCCCTATTTTAACCGTACCCAAGTCCTATTATAGCCGTAGCCAATCCCTATTATAGCCATATTCTAGTCCTCCTGTAACCATTCTTAAACCCATACCCTAGCTCATACATAACCTAACTTTAGCTAGCCATTTTCGATATCTGTCCTAGCTTAAAAATGTCTTACCTTAGAGACAGCCTAACTTCAGCCCTAGTCTAAGCAGCTTTTCTCGTACTTAATTTAAAAATAAGCCTTATTAAAAGTACCAAAGTCCTTTAACCTTATTAAAGCTCACAATAACATGATGGTTTTTGACGATTGTAACAGGCGTCAATGATCTGCTATAATAACTCATCAAAGTTCTCGTTTTTGTTGTAAAATCAAGCGGTTCGGTCAAGACGATTTTGTTATTGTTGACTGAAACTTCAAAAATAACACAATGTACTTTAAAATCAAGCCTTGTTTTTAATTTTTTTTGCCCACCTCCTCCCTATAACCTAAACAAATAGAACTTAGTCCCTAATGTTAACTAAAAAATATTAAAAAAAATAGAAAATTTTTTACCTTTATTTATTTTTTTTCAAAAATGTACAATTTAGTCCCCTCCTCTCCTATTAACTTAAAAATAAGAAAAATTTTACCACCGCCCCCCCCCCGCTTAAAAAAAATCCGCCTCCCCCCCCCCTTTCCCGGTACCGCGCATCACTAAAACAAGATGTCACAGAATACAAAAACCATATTACTAACAGTAAACCTTCAAAAAACAGTTCTAAAGTGTAATCGACTGACAATTGTAAAGCGAGGGAGTAAACGGTAAAGTCGAATGACAAAAAAGAACAGAACGGCAGACAAATGATTAATGAACCGCCTACACAATTGTAATTCGTAACCCAAGATTCGAAAACGTTGAAACAGCTTGAGCTCAACCGTCTGAAATTAACTATTTTAGGCTGATTTGGTATGATTGGGTATGGTAAGAGCGATACTATTTCTAACGTTTGTCGAAGATAATAGTGGACAACGTCAACAGAAGTAAGAGAGAAGAACAGATAGAGTAGAAGAAAAAACGGGAAAAAATGTGAGATATAGGATAACTTAGAGCTAGAGTAAGAACTTTGGTAGGGCTAAGACCAGGCAGATTTATTTAATTGGACTCGGCTAGGACAAAGGCAGAGTTAGAGCTATCAAGTAAGGCATGCCTAAGGCTTTCATATGAGGAACCGACCCCCTACCACACAAAAAAAATGTTTTTTGAAAAAAAATTTAAAAGTTCCCCCCCCCCGCCTAAAAAAATATTTTTTCCTCCACCCCTAAAATTAAACACTAAAACCAATATTTATAACAAATTTAAAGCCCCCGCCTTACCCATTTTTATTTTGCCATACCCTGCCCCAGTCTACCAAACCACCCTCCTCATCGGTAACCTACTATATTGTACATATTCATCCTACCTTACCCAAACTTAGCCCAACCTAACTTACCCTACCCTAACATACCCCAACCTAACCTACCTTACCCTACCATACCCTACCCTATGCTACCTTACTACACCCTACCCTACTCTACTTTACCCTACCTTAACAACAATTAAAGCCATAAAAGTATATTTACTTCAAACTCATTTACTGTTCAACTAGTAATATAAATCATAACCGTTCTTCCACCAATCTATCACAACGACTTCTCAATTTTTGAGCCTTCCGAAAAACGAAGCACTTATTAACCTTCGCTTCCATTACTGATAATTCGAAAATGTCCGAGTAATTAAAAGTTGAAAAAATTAAAAAGTTGCAAAAATGGTGTTATCAAAGGTCAAAAAACTCCCAGGAATTTGTGAATTAGTGTTGTAGCAATAAAGTGTTATCGATTTTGTTACAGTAATAAAAAGTTTAAAGTGAAGCTAGAATAGAGCTAAAATAAGGCTATACTAAGAGCTAAGCCAGTGCTATAGTAAAGCAAATTTAAAGGATGGCTACAGTAAAGCTATAGAAGAGCTAGAATAAAAACTAGGTTAGGGAAAAGATAAAGTTATGATAACGCCAAGATGAGGCTTGGTTAGGGCTAATATGAGGCTGACGTAAGGGATAACGGAAGGCTAAGGTAAAGCAAAGAAGGCTCAGGCAACAGGGAAAAGTTGCCTGTGCTAGGACTAAGTCAGGGGCTAGAGAAAGGTCAAAGTAAGGCTAATTCATGGCTAAAGCACTGTGCTAGGGCTCTGGACTAGGGCTCTGGGCTAGGGCTCAGCGCTAAGCAATGGCTTGATCAAACAAGTAATAAAAGCAAACTTTCAAATTGTCAGTTCGATTGTTTTGTAGCCCTGATAAGCTTAAAGTTTGTTACAACAATCTGCATTTTCTAATGATAACATAAGCCTTGATGAATACGCTTTTCTGTTGCTTATCATAAGTTTTGTTGGTGGGAACGTAAGGAGAACGACAAATTCACACAAAAGTTCAGTTTACAACACTTGTGAAACAAAGTACAAATATTGATTTTAATGATTTTTATAAAAAAAAAGTAGGGAATTTCGTATTTTACAAAATTTGAAAAAATAGCCGCTGCTATTATACGGATTGGAGGTAAGCCCTTACCGGTTCTTGAGGTAAGAGGCCGGGCTTAGTGCGAAACCAAACCTTGGTAGGACCTTTTCACAAATTTTTTTAAAAATCATTCAAAAACACCAAAAAATCATTTTTTTCAAAAAAATATAAGTCCAAGTATTCAAAATGAAAATTGATAAAATTGATATTAATAATCAAATATACAACTATTAATATTCAATTGATTAGGGTCACGTGTTTACACTTTTCAATTAATTTGATAACTTCTTGACTTTTGCTCCTTTGAAGGTGACGTGACATTAAAACGACTAAATTCAAGGTTTTTCTAGCATTCCAGAAAGGTTAGTCGTAGGTTTGTATATTGAAAAATGAATTACAATAGAGCTAGCTAGTATGTATGTATATTAATAACTACTATAAAAGTCCTAACAAATACTAATATAAAAGGCCAAAAAAAGAACAAACTTAGGTTTTCCGCACTGCCATTTTACGTCTGTAACAAAAACAGTGATCAATTTAATCAAGAATAGGGCAAGCTTAAAGTTGTTACCTAAATTCCAAAAAAATTAAAAAATGACTAACTAAACTTCAAAAAACTCAAGGTTAATACCCAAAAACAAATATTTTTTACCAAAACAAACTTACTATTGTAATTGTACATCATTTTCTAGTCTTTTGATAACAGTTTTCAAAGCCATTAGTATCTCCGTATAGGTATCAACCGCTCGGTGTCACAGTTTTCGCTTCCCAAAGCATCCTCAACTTCTAGAAACTGAAATTGTTTCATCGATGGGCCAAAGCTAGGACTTGTGAATCTATTATCTCTTATTATTGTTAGACATCAAACACAAGCAGTCGGCCAAACCAGTTTTTTCGCAACTCAACTTGACCCGAACTCGAAAATCGAGTCAAGTCTTTCTTTTTTGTAAATTATTTATTTTTAAAAGCCTGAAGTTTTGATAAAAAATTGATGTTTCAATGCGCAATTGACAAATTAACATCATCCAAGCACATTATTGGGCACAGGAGAATGTTTTTCAGCTGCAATTGCAAAAGATTTGGTTGAATTAGCTGTAAATTGGCGGAAAATGCGCGCGGAAAAACTGATCTCTTCACATCCATGGAGAGAAGATGGAAAATGGATCATAACCAAATGGAACTTGAATGTTTTACATTCTCCACTCTAGATACAAGGTTTCTCATGGATTTATTGAAGGTAATGTATTGATTTAAAGTTTTATTTTTCAATGTTTAGGGTCTCTACAACATGATGGTGAATATCGGGCTGAATAAATTGAGAAATTGCTCGTTCTTAGCCAATTCTTGATCAAATCCGCTACTTCTTTTTGCTACAGATGTAACATGGCTTTGGGAAAAATGTGCATTTGCTCCTTTTTTTATTTCTTGGTATTTAAAATTAGTTATGATATATTGAATAGCTACTTGCACTGTGCAGACTGTTTTTGGCTGTAACTTTTTTATTTTTAATTTTCGGCAAGTCAGGTTTTAAAATTTAGGTTTGTCATTAAATTTTGATTTAGAATCTTAATTTTTAGGTAATATTTTTAATTTTCCAATGTTTTTTCATCACTTTTTTCTTCACCATGGTATATATTGGCCCCTAAAGCCTACTTTTCCACTTTACGCTTTTGTTTTTTCTTATCATTCGTAATAATTGTAATGATAAAAACTTGAAATCGCTTTCTAAAATTTTTTTGATTAAGTTGGCTTATGGCAAACAAAGGAATATAGTATAACATTCGAATAAAAAACGGCTGGCTCTTAAACATGATGTAAGATAAGATATATAAGTCATATAAAAGAAGGGAAATTTCCGAACGTTTGATAAGTAAGCGGTGTGGCGTGGATTTGCGAAGAAGAAGATTGGGTGATAGGTTAAGGTAGGTTTTAATTGGTTTTTTGAGGGTTTTGAAGGCTAATATTGTTGTAGGGTCAAGTTATTGGCCCAAAATCCAAAAATTTTTTTAATTTATGAAATGTTTAGTCAAAAATGGCACTAAGACTGTTTTTTACATTTTCTCAAAACTTTATTCAAGGGGCTAAAAAAGTCTTGTCGTCAATTTTCACTAATTTTCATAGTAAAAAATGACAAAACTTTTTTCAACTATTTATTTTTAAACTTTTGAAAATAAATTTAAAACTACAGTAAGTTTAGCCATTTTTTATCGTAAGTTCTTTCATTTTTCAATTTTCAGATGAAAGCTCTAATCCTCTTCCTAGCCTTCATATCAACCAAAGCTCTACCAACCCTAGAGAATCGTGCTCAGCATCGTACTTTAGCTACAAAATTGTCTTCACAATCCGTCGTAGAATCGGTAAATTTAGATGCTACATCAACATTCAAGACCTTTTTATATCCTCAATTCGCTGATGCTTCTTTGACCGACATCAAGGGGTTGATGGGTGTTAAAGAAGATCATGATGTTGTCGTAGCCAAAGAGTTGGGAAGATCGATCAAACTTGGCCCGAAATATGATGACGAAAGCTTTAAGAACCCTATTACATTGCCAACTGAATTCGACAGTGCTACCCAATGGCCGCAATGTCAAGATCTGATCAACGAAATCCGAGATCAATCATGGTGTGGCAGTTGTTGGGCCGTCTCTTCGTCAAGTGTACTAACCGACCGACTTTGTATCGCTTCAAATGGTACTATTAAGACTGAAATCTCGGCCGCCGATCTTTTGGAATGTTGTGATTACTGTGGTAGTGGATGTGTTGGTGGTTACCCATATAGAGCCTTCCATTATGTTGAACAACTTGGTGTTGTGTCTGGTGGTAACTACACTTCACATCAAGGTTGCAATCCATACCCATTCCCACCGTGTCATGCTCCGGATAGTAAGAACTACCCAGAATGTAAGAAGAGGAACTTCCCTACTCCGAAGTGTCAGCAAAAGTGTCAGAACGGTTATAGTGAACATGATTACAAGCATGATAAGTACTACGGTAAGATGTTTTGTGGGACAGGGAAGGTATTGTTGGGAAGGGTAGGGTAGAGTAGGGTTGAGTAGGGTATGGTATGGTAAGCTAGAGTAAAGTCAGGTACGGGGCATGGTAGGGCGGATAAGGTAGGGTAGTGTAAGGTAGGTTAGAGTAAAGTGGGGGTATTGATGATAATATTGTTCTTTTAGCCTCCTTGTCCTACAGTTATGTGAGAGACAGCTTCGGAGTAATGAAAGAGATTGTCCAACGCGGCCCGATCGTCTTCGCTGCTTTGGAAGTGTACGAAGACTTCTTGTACTATAAATCTGGAGTTTATCAGGTAAGCCTAGTCTTATATTGAACCATTTCAATTTTTTTTAAATTGTGGAATTTCAAAAAATTTCAAAAAAATTTTAAAAAATGGAAAAACACCATTCCAGCACAAAACCGGAGGCTATCTCGGGCTGCACGCGGTAAAAGTAGTTGGCTGGGGCGTGGAAAATGGTACCAACTATTGGAAAGTGGCCAACAGTTGGGGACCACAATGGGGTGAGAATGGCTTTTTCAAAATCAGACGCGGCTACAACGAAGCCAACATCGAAGGCTCTGTTAATGCTGTTGTTGTTGTGGCCAAGTCTCCATCGCCTTAAAAACGTTGTTATTGATGATATGTCATCTTTGGCTGAAGACTGTGTTTGGAGTGGATTTGAGACATGATTTTGTTAAATGACTACTATGTAAATACACTAATCAATATAAGTATATATATACTAAACAATATGAGTATTGTAAAATAAACATTAATCTTAAGTGAAAATTTTTTTTAGTGTAGACAACGTATAAGAAGAAAAAGCATAATTAATTTATCCTAATCTAGTAAACTCAGTAATTCGCTCGTACATAAGTTAAACAAATTTCAATAAAAGTAAAAAATCTGTATTATATGTACTAAATATATGATATATGGTTTGAGAATTAGATTTTACATTAGTAAAAAGATTTAAAAACAAAGAAAAGTACTATATAATACAAGTAACGTACTATATAGTGCAAATAACGTCTACTATATATAAATTTATCAATTCGCCCGTACATAAGTTGGAATTCGTTCGTATAAGTTAAAAATATTATAAAAGCAAAAATCTTAGCCTTATGTATATAAAACCATATATAACATAGAAATGAATATTTCGCTTGTACACAAGTTCAAAAACTATAAAAAAGATAAACTCATAAACTATGTATCTATAACCATATATAACATAGAAATGAATAATTCGCTCGTACACAACTTTAGAACTATATAAAAGCAAACCCATACTCTATATATATATATACTTATATATAATATAGAAATTGATAATTCGCTCGTACATAAGTTCAAAAACTATATAAAAGATTAACTCATACTTTATGTATATATAACCATATGTAACATAGAAATTGATAATTCGCTCGTACATAAGTTCAAAATTTTATAAAAGCAAAAACTCTATGTGTATATACTTGTATATAACATAGAAATTAATAATTCGCTCGTACATAAGTTCAAAAACTATTTAAAAGAAAAAAACCATCTAATATCAAAACAGTCGTATATGTCAACGACCGTGCACACTCCGACAATCAACCATATGATAGAAATCGTATGGATTCAACAACAAGCCAGTAATTAAACCAACCTGCAAAGTCAAATCTGGGGTAAAGGCTGCAAGTACGGTGGAGCGCACAGGCATAAACGTTAAATCCGAAACCGGTAACGTGAGTACTAAATAGTACTATGTTTTGTCATAGTTACAATCTGTACTGTAAGTAGTACTAAAGTCTGTCATAGTTACAATTTGTAATATCGATAGTACCAAACATATTTGCTACAATATACTCATACGGTTGCCCAAGCCGTGTTATATTCAGTACTCGCACAGTACAATACAAAAAACAGTACTCTCACAGTACGATAGTCAAAACAAAGCACTCTCACAGTACTTAAACGGTTGCCCAAGCCGTATCTTATATAGTACTCTCACAATACGATAGTCAAAGCACAGTACTCTCACAGTACACACACGGTTGCCCAAGCCGTATCATATATAGTACTCTCACTGTACGATAGTAAGACTAAGCTTACAGAGCACTCCCACAGCTCTCATACGGGCAACCACTCCGTTCACTAGCACTCCCACAGTACAAAAATGCATCAGCATTATAAAAGCACGTACTCCGCCATATAAATGGCATGTTCGACAAGGGATCTGCACAAATCCGCTTTTACAAAACCCTATAACAGCTCGAACAAACGCCGTACCTGCACCGACAAACAAGCGTTTATAATAGCGAGGCATGCCTCGACCTCGTAACTGCACTATGGTTACGACAGCTATATGCCTCGACCTCGTATTCGTACTGACAAAAGGCTATACACGCAATTGCGCTTCGATAAAACTATCGAACTCGACGCTCAATCTAATATAATTCGATTTTCGCGTCTTCTTCTTTCACGAAATGCGTAAAATTGGGATTCCGCATTACGAATCTAAAACATATTTTTGATTTTTAGTCACCTCCCGCGAGGTTGCGCAATGCCAAAATTGATTTTTGAATTTCTGACGCGGAAAAAGGAAGCGTTGGGAGTTCAAAAGCATGCCATTTGTTATTTTTGAGGGTTGGGAGGTGGTTGGTGTTAATTTTGAGAGTAAACCATTAGTACTATTTAGTACTTTTTATATTATACGCGGCTTGGGCAACCGTGAGTACTATTAAGTACGGTAAAGGTAGTGACAGTATGATACACGGTTTGGGCAACCGTGAGTACTATTGAGTACGTTAAATGTATCGACAGTATGATACACGGCCCGGAAAACCGTGTGTACTGTCTATTACGTTAAAGGTAGTGTCAGTGCGAATACAAAACGAAAGTCATAATATGTGTCAAAAATATTCTTAAAATGACATTTTTAATATGAGATACGGCTTGGGCAACTGTGAGTACTATTAAGTACGGTAAAGGTAGTGACAGTATGATACAAGGCTTGGGCAACCGTGAGTACTATTTACTACGTCAAAGGTGGTGACAGTATGATACACAGCTTGGGCAACTGTGAGTACTATTAAGTACGTTAAAGGTGGTGACAGTACGAATACAGAACGAAAGTCATAAAATATGTCAGAAATACTCTCAAAATGACATTTTTGATATGCTATACGGATTAGGAAACCGTGGGTGCTATTTCGTACGTTAAAAGTAATGACATGATGATACACGGCTTGGGCAACTGTGAGTACTATTAAGTACGGTAAAGTTAGCGGCAGTATGATATACGGCTTGGGAGACCCTGAGTATTATTTAGTACGTCAAAGGTAGTGACAGTACGAATACAAAACGAAAGTCATAATATACGTCAGAAATACCCTCAATATGGCATTTTTAATATAATAAATTGTGAGTGCTATTTAGTACGTCAGAGGTCATGACAGTACGATAAACGCTTTGGGCAGCGATGTTTAGTACTTACGCCAGCCTTGTCCTTGCCCCAGTATGGCTTTTTCTGATTTACCCTACCTTTTCTATGTAAAACTGAAAAGCCTTGCTCTTGTAAGCGTAGTATTCAAATATCGGCGGCTATGTTTGTTCTTACCTCAACGCACGCGCTTTTTCCCATTTTTCGGTCGGGCCCCTTAGGGTTCAGAGGCGAAAAAGCGAGTGACGAAGCGTTGTATTTGCATTTGGAAGGTAGAGGAAACCAGGCTTGTCGCCAGTTATACCTATTTCTTTTATCAATACGATGTTTGTATCTTATAATATTAAAAAAAAGAAGGGGGGGAGGAATAAAGCTTATTTTTGAAAATACTTATAATTAGTGACACATTTTTGTTTTCTAATTTTTAAATCAAAGTTTTAGTTACTATGACAACGGAGAAATAAAGTCAAATTTGATTTGGAAAAAAAAGTTTTTTATGTTTTATGGGGGTATATGATTTTTTATGTGTAGTACGTATACTTTTATAAGATCAATAACGTTTATTTTTTTGGATGGAGGTGGGTCAACTATGGCAGAAAGACATTTTTTTGGGTTTTTTTAAATTTTTTGCCGAAAAATTTAGCAAAACGGTTTTTACATTTTCCTATTTAGCCCTATTCTAGCCGTACTTTTTTTCTACTTTAGCTTTACCATTGCCTTATACTAGTCATGTCTTGCGCATACCTTAGCCTTAATCTAGCTCAGTCTATTCTTGCCTACTTTAGTTAAAGGTAATGATAATATACCGGGAAAGATTGGGAAAAAGTAGAAGCTCTAGCTCTACCATGGCTTTTACCTTAGCTCTGCCTTAGCCCCACCTAACCCTTACTTTAGTTCTCAATTAGCTTTGCCCTAGCTAAGTTTTAGACTCACATCGCTCTGTTCTAATCATCTTCTTGACTATTCTAGCTTACCTTAGGGGCTAGAATTTACCTTAGCTCTACTGTAGCTTTATCCTAGAATTAACTTGGTTCTCATTTTACTCTAGCTTTTTTTTGTCTTTCTTTTTATCATATCTTAACACTACCCTAATTTTGTACTAGTTTACTCTATCTAACTTAAAGTTTTCTTTAGCCCTTCTTCAACTTTTCTTTAAATAACCTTACAATTAGCCTTGTCTACCTTGTCCTAGTCGCGTCTTAATTTTAAAGTTATATGCCAGTCTTAGGCTTTATGTACTTCAACTATTTTTCACCGTATTTTACTTTTACTATGGCTTTTGACATAGTTTTACTGTAATATTACAGTATTCAAGCTTTCTGCGTGTACTATTTTTCTTATTTTTATGTTTTTCAAGCCGTTTTTTTATTGCTTTGCTTCTTTGACCTCTAGCAAAATCCATGCTTATATTTTCATCACCTCCTTCAGCTTTATTTTCTTTTATTGTCGTATCTTGATTGTCCTATTTCGGCCCAAATTCAATCTTCTTCACTTCAAGTTGTCATTCCTTCTTCGTGGCCTCTTTCTTATCTACGTACTTGAACAATTCACAATGGCATTTTGCGAAGCCAAATCAAATCTGGTGAAGAGAGGGAAAAGATTTTGGGCATCAAAACTTTTAGGAAACACATTTTTAAATGTGGGGGGGGGGGGAAGGGTTTGGAATATTTGTTACATTTTTGATTACAACAACTTTAAAACGATTTTGTATGGGGTAAAGCATAGTACAGTAAAATAGGGAAAGGAATTGGTATATGAGATACAGTAGAGTGAGTTAGGGTAGGGCAGAAAAGAGTATGGGAAATTTTAGTAAACTAGGACAAGGCAAGATAGGCTGAAGTAAGGTAAAAAACGTTGGGTAGGCTAGGGTTGAAAACTATAGAATACGGTAGAGAACAGTATTGTAGGGTATGAAGAAATAGCGTAGATTGAGGTAGGGTAGGGTATGGTAGAATTGATAAAGGTATTGGAAAAAGAGGCAAGGTAAAGCAGGGTAGCTCATTTGTAGGGTAGGGTAGGTTAGGGTATGGTAAAGAGTGACAAAGCAGAGTAGGTAGGGTAAGATAGGGTAGGGCACGATAAAGTAGGGTAAGGTAAAGTTTTTCTCAAAAACCATTTTTAAGAATAAGGAGGGGCTTTTCACAGCCAAAAAACCTAAGGGCATAAAATTCTGTCAAGACCGAAAAACCAGGGCCATTGGTCGAAAAACCGTGGCATTTTTTATAGATTTTGATGTCGTCAAACGGAAGTCTTCAAGCGGCGGAAAAGAGATTTCAAAGATTTCGCGGCCCCACCCAAAACTTCCAACAATTGCTTTTGGCGCCCTGTGGCATTCTTGTACGAAACAACAACATTTCGCCATTTGCATGGGCATAAAACTATATTCCCGTTTGCTTTTTACATTCCCGCGTGCATCTAATTCTCTGAAGAAGGGGGGGGAGGGGGGAGAGCAGGGGTGGAGGGAGGGAGAGAAGAAGGGGGGGGAGAGGAGAAGAAGGGGGGGGAGAAGTATGGAGCAAGCAAAAAAATTGTTTTTGTTTCTAGCAGCCGGCTTTTTTTTAATTATTAAGGGGGCAATTTGCCAAACGCGGATGCACTTAAGTAGTTGGCGGTTGTAAATATGAATAATGGCTTATTAGGGCTGGGAAGAGGTGGGGAGAAGGCTTTGAACGAATAAGGAGGGAGGGGAAGATAAGGTGGAGAAAGTAAGAAAAGAAGGTGAAGACGTCAAACTTAAAAAATGGCTTACTGTGCGTTAAATGTTAAGTTTGAACTATACAGAGTGCGCAAAAAGTTCTGTTACAAAACTTTACCTTAGTTTGCAAAAAAAAATTTTTTTTTAATTGCTCTATGCTTTAAAGGCTTGGTCATTATCAGAAAAAGATAAATTGCAATTTTTTTAGCCCTGGGCGAAGTAAAAATAAAAATTTTTAATTTAGAAGTAAAATTTAGTTTTTTTTGGCTTAAGTGTCACGTATTATATTATGAATGAATGTGGTTCCGGATTTGTTTTTCTTGTTTTATTTAGAGTGTTGTTTTGCATCAGATTTTTGTTTTTAGAGCTAGCGCAGTGTTTGATAGGGTGTGTTCTTGGTTTTAAAATCAGAAAACAAGACATTTTTTTTCAAACAAAAGCTCTTTTCTTACACATGCCCTAAAATTTTATTTTTAGTTTTGGCTGTACTAGGGTATGGGTATAATGAGAAACAACAGTGCAGAATAAGACAACAAAGACCAATGTTGAGTAAAGACGAAAACGGCAGGAAAGGGTGAGATAAGGTAACGCTGAGTAGAAAAAAATGTAGGGCTGCAGGGTAGGGTATGGTGGACAAAAGTAAGGGAAGGGTAGGGATTGAAGAAAGCAAGGACAGGACAAAAGCAAGAGTAGAAGAAGGGTAGGGCAAAAGCAGGCAAAAGTAAAAAAAAGGTAGAGAAAGAGTAGGGTAAGAGTAGGGCAGGGGTAAGGCAAGCGAAAAAAAGAGTGGGGCAATTATAGGGCATGGCAATAGTAAATTAAAAGTAGGGTAGGGTAGGGTAGGGTAGGGTAGGGTAGGATAGGGTAGGGTAGGGTAGGGTAGGGTAGGGTAGGGTAGGGTAGGGTAGGGTAGGGTAGGGTAGGGTAGGGTAGGATAGGGTAGGGTAGGGTATTGTAGGGTAGGGTAGGGTAGGGTAGGGTAGGGTAGGGTAGGGTAGGGTAGGGTAGGGTAGGGTAGGGTAGGGTAGTGTAGGGCAGGGTAGAGTATTGTAGAGCAATGTAGGGTATTGTAGGGCAATGTAGAATATTATAAAGACTAGGCATGAGCATTAAAAGTAACTGTTGCTCCCCTCTCTCTCGAAAACAAAAGCACTTTAGCAGTTAGGGCGTTAAACAAATTTATTCAACGCCTGTCAAAATTGAATCTACTTTGTATGCGTAGCACCCCCCAACCGCCCCGTAATGTTATCTCAGCACTTGCCGAGGAACAAAAAGCGCCTTTGAACTCTCGTTTTTTATTCGACGTAACATACACTTCAAGGATGACAAAATAGTACTTTGCGAGCAAACGTGTTGCTTTTTTTTGCGGAAACACGCTGAAGTGGCGCGTGTTGATACTGTTTTATGAGTGTTTAGGGGTGGTTTTTGATATTATTTCAAAAAAATTTTATTTTTTTCTTTAATTGCTATATAGAGCTAGCTAAAAAGGGCAAAATGTAAAAAAAAATTAGGAGCCTATTTTGGTATTTTTTTTTAAATTTGATTTTGTAAAAAATTTTAAGATTCAGGCTTGCGGGCAGGTGGCTTTTTTAGCAAAACAAGGCTAAGCGCTTATGTTTTAAAAGTAAGTCCGTAAGGTTAGATTAGGACCGTACTAGCCTAAACGAAAAAAAGCAAAGAAGCAAAGAAACCATTAGACACTTAGGCTTAAGGTTTAAACCTGGGCTTATCCGGAGGCTCAGACTAAAACAAAGGCTAAGATTTAGGCATTGATTCAAGTTCACGCTTACGCTTTAAATTAGGCTTAGACTAAAACTGTGCCTAATCCTAAGACTAAGATTCAGTCTATGACTTACGTTTAGATTTAGGCTCAGGATTACTCTTAGGTTAAATTAAGGCTAACTCTAAGGCTAAGGTTAAAGCTAAGGCTAAAGCTAAGGCTAAAGCTAAGGCTAAAGCTAAGGCTAAAGCTAAGGCTAAAGCTAAGGCTAAAGCTAAGGCTAAAGCTAAGGCTAAAGCTAAGGCTAAAGCTAAGGCTAAAGCTAAGGCTAAAGCTAAGGCTAAAGCTAAGGCTAAAGCTAAGGCTAAAGCTAAGGCTAAAGCTAAGGCTAAAGCTAAGGCTAAAGCTAAGGCTAAAGCTAAGGCTAAAGCTAAGGCTAAAGCTAAGGCTAAAGCTATAGGCTAAAGCTAAGGCTAAAGCTAAGGCTAAAGCTAAGGCTAAAGCTAAGGCTAAAGCTAAGGCTAAAGCTAAGGCTAAAGCTAAGGCTAAAGCTAAGGCTAAAGCTAAGGCTAAAGCTAAGGCTAAAGCTAAGGCTAAAGCTATTAAAGCTAAGGCTAAAGCTAAGGCTAAAGCTATAGGCTAAAGCTAAGGCTAAAGCTAAGGCTAAAGCTAAGGCTAAAGCTATACTAAAGCTATAGGCTAAAGCTATAGGCTAAAGCTATAGGCTAAAGCTATAGGCTAAAGCTAAGGCTAAAGCTATACTAAAGCTATAGGCTAAAGCTAAGGTTAAAGCTATAGGCTAAAGCTAAGGCTAAAGCTATACTAAAGCTAAGGCTAAAGCTAAGGCTAAAGCTAAGGCTAAAGCTAAGGCTAAAGCTATAGGCTAAAGCTATACTAAAGCTAAGGCTAAAGCTAAGGCTAAAGCTAAGGCTAAAGCTATAGGCTAAAGCTAAGGCTAAAGCTAAGGCTAAAGCTATAGGCTAAAGCTAAGGCTAAAGCTAAGGCTAAAGCTATAGGCTAAAGCTATATTAAAGCTAAGGCTAAAGCTAAGGCTAAAGCTAAGGCTAAAGCTATACTAAAGCTATACTAAAGCTAAGGCTAAAGCTATAGGCTAAAGCTAAGGCTAAAGCTAAGGCTAAAGCTAAGGCTAAAGCTATACTAAAGCTAAGGCTAAAGCTAAGGCTAAAGCTAAGGCTAAAGCTAAGGCTAAAGCTAAGGCTAAAGCTAAGGCTAAAGCTATAGGCTAAAGCTAAGGCTAAAGCTAAGGCTAAAGCTAAGGCTAAAGCTAAGGCTAAAGCTAAGGCTAAAGCTAAGGCTAAAGCTATACTAAAGCTAAGGCTAAAGCTAAGGCTAAAGCTAAGGCTAAAGCTAAGGCTAAAGCTAAGGCTAAAGCTAAGGCTAAAGCTAAGGCTAAAGCTAAGGCTAAAGCTAAGGCTAAAGCTAAGGCTAAAGCTAAGGCTAAAGCTAAGGCTAAAGCTAAGGCTAAAGCTAAGGCTAAAGCTAAGGCTAAAGCTAAGGCTAAAGCTAAGGCTAAAGCTAAGGCTAAAGCTAAAGCTAAGGCTAAGGCTAAGGATAAGACTAAGACTAAGTCTAAGGCTAAAACTAAGGCTAAAGCTAAGGCTACAATAAAAACTAAACTTTTTAAAAACTTTTCTGTGCAGTAAAACAGCTACATTCCAATGCATTTTTTCTTTTGAAAAGTTGGCTGTGTGTTCTTTTCCTCGTCTTATTTTTACGAAAAAAAGGCACAAAAGTTTTATGCGAAACTGTTTAGGGAATTGGCCAATGGGTCGTTCAACTCAATTTTTTACTCTGTTTTTGGCCGCGCCCGCCTTTTATTTTGTTGTGTAATGATGACTTGCGTGGAATTTCGAATTGTATAAGATGTAATAGTACGAGCTTGTTTTTATTCAGGAGTTCAAAATTTTTAAAAAAATTTTATTCTACCCTACCCTACCCTACCCTACCCTACCCTACCCTACCCTACCCTACCCTACCCTACCCTACCCTACCCTACCCTACACTACCTTACCCTAACCTACTTCACCCTACTTTACCCTACCCTACCTTGCCCTACCCTACTCTACCCTGCCTTTGGCTTGCCTACCTTGCTCTCCGTTAGTCCCAATCTTTCTGTAGCTTTCTCCATCGACAGTCTACTTGCACTAGTCATACCCTACCTTCTCTACAGTTCTTACAGTCTTATCTTGTTTTGGCTTACTACGTCTTTTAACTCATTTTGTATTATAGATTTACCCGTTCCTTATTTTACCATACTCTTGCTGTATTTTCAATCTTTTTCACCCTACCCATCAGGGCTGGGCGGGGCACTTTTGGTCCGAGGTAGCTAGCTATCTGTGACGATTTTTTGCGAAATATTTTTAAATCTACAGGGGGACCACGTTCAACCTTTTTCAAATTGTTTTTTTTTCTCAATTTGAAAAAATTGCAACTCCCCCCCCTTCCTTCGCGTCCGGCCCTGCTACCCATACTATACCATCAACTCTATTTTTAGCACTTGCATAAAATTAGCTAGCATGCCCATGTAGTAATTGCACTTTTTTTTCATTTCACGGTATTCAAAAAATTCGTGGGCAACAATGTTTGAAGTCGGCGAGGTTTTGAAAAGTATTTTAATTTTAAATTTGCCTTTTTGTTCTTCTCACTATGCCAACATACGTTGGGGCGGTTTTTTGACGCCGCTTCAATTCACACCGAAAAAAAAATATTTTGGCACGTTATTTTTCGCATTTTTTCATAACACTGGTTTTCGAAATGGATTAAAATTTAGCGAAATTTGTTTTTCTATGGGGTTTTTGACCGGAAATGAATTATGAAATATGTTGGAGCAAGGGTTAAAGGTACAGGTAGGTTAGGATAATATTGGGTAGAAGAGGGTAAGGTAAGTCGTGCTGGGTCAGGGTAGGGTAAGGTAGCACAGAGTAGAGCAATAAAAAAAGGGGGAGGGGGTTAGGATAAGATAAGTTTATGCCGGGCTAAGGTACAGTAATAGTAGGGTAGGGTGGTATCAGTAAGTAGGACATTATAGGTTATGGCATGCTGGGACGGGACTAGGTAAGGTAGTATATAATAGAGCAAGAAAAACGAGGTAGAGATAGAGTTGGTAGGGTAGGGTAGAGTAGGGTAGGCTAGGGTAGAGTAGGGTAGGGTAGGCTAGGGTAGGGTAGGGTAGGGTAGGGTAGGGTAGGGTAGGGTAGGGTAGGGTAGGGTAGGGGTAGGGTAGGGTAAGGTAGGGTAGGGTAAGGTAGAGTAGGGTAGGGTAGGGTAGGGTAGGGTAGGGTAGGGTAGGGTAGGGTAGGGTAGGGTAGGGTAGGGTAGAGTAGGGTAGGCTAGGGTAGGGTAGGGTAGGGTAGGGGCTTGTGTTTGTTGAGTTGTGTTAGGTAATGTGGTATGGTATATACCAGGGAAAGACCGGGGTTGGGTTATTCATGGGCTAAAAAATGAAAAATCAAAAAAAATTTTTTTTAATTTAAATGGAGAAGGTTGAAAGTTTTTTTTAAATTCTTTTTTCCCCTTTCCCTATCTTCCCTTACTGTCTTTTTTTTTGCGTTCTACAAATTTATGGGCCACCTAATTGTTTATTACTAAGATTTTTTGTGCATTTTATTTTTGACATACATATTTTATAGCTCGAGCTCACTTTTCTCGTGTTTTGAAGTTTTATGCAAGCAAAATATTAAAACCCAACACTTTTTAGAGCCCGTATTTTACCAAAAATGCTCCAAACCTTCCACACATAACTGTCGGTTTTTGTTGGCATTCGAATAGTAAAAGGAATAGTCGACGTAGTAGTTTTTTGGAGCGTTTTTGTTTGTTTTATGGCCACAAATGCCGACTGAGTTTGACTAATCTCCAGCGTTCCGAATAAAAAAGATCCACAAAGTGCCAAAACAGTAAGTTACTATTTTGGGTTTTGGGTCATTTTTATGGGTTGGAAAGAAAGTTCTTGCCATTTTATGTTTTTTAAAGAAAGTTCTTGTCATTTTATTTTTTGTAAAGAAAGTTCTTGCAATTTTTTGTTTTGTAAAGAAAGTTTTTGTCATTTTTAACCTTGTAAAAAAAGTTCTTGACATTTTTTGTTTTGTAAAGAAAGTTCTTGCCATTATTTGTTTTGTAAAGAAAGTTCTTGCCATTATTTGTTTTGTAAAGAAAGTTCTCGCCATTTGTTGTTTTTGTAAAGAAAGTTCTTGCCATTTCTTGTTTTGTAACAAAAGTTCTTGCCATTTTTTGTTTAATAATTAACTAATCAATATTGACACTTCGTCAACTTTTAAAAAAAATGTTTTTTCTTGGCTCAACTTTGCCATTCTTTATAAAACTCTAGCCAAATAGCCCAAGTATTGTTTTTAACTCTTTAAAAAAGCTCATTTCAGGCCACAACCTATAATAATATCGCATTATAAACTGGATATCATACTGACCAATTTCGTCTTCATCAAAACGCTAATACGAAGACGACTCGTGGGAATTTGGAAACGGCAAACAGTGCTGTTATAGTACTCAGCTGATATAGCTTTGTGCTGTTGGAGCATCGTGCTGACTTTGGATTGCACTGGTGGAACATTGTGCAGGTACAGTACTGTTCCTACATAGCATCGTACTGGCATAGTACCGTACTATATAGTATTGTACTGTCTTAGTACCGTGCTTACATAGCGTCTTGCTTCTATAGTACTGTGCTTATATAGCACCGTGCTCTTATAGCATCGTGTGGTTAGAGTACCGTACTATATAGCACTGCGCTGCTACAGTACTGTGCCAACATAGCACCGTCTTGGCTATGCGAGCAATGAATGGTCGACTTCAAAGCGTGCTCAGATCACCATTAATGCGGAACAACCAGTTGAATCACATTGAGAACGGTGTGAAACACCATCATCGGCGGAGGGACTCGAACGGTCTGCCAAGGATCGTCCAGTTCGATGAGAGTGCGGATGAGTACAGGTGCTTCTGTAGCTGTTTGCATATTAAGACGGGTACACTTGTCATTGCGGGTGAGTTTTTTTTAATTTTTTTTTAATTGGAAAGAAAGTTTTTTGCATTTTTGTTTTGTAAAGAAAGTTCTTGCCTTTTTTAGCTTTGTAAAGAAAATTCCTGCCATTTTTTGTACTGTAAACAAAGTTCTTGTCATTTTTACAAAAAATACTTGTAGGTATTGAATTCTTCCTAATATTATTCTTCTTCATCAACTCATTCTTGGTGAGTTTACAACAAAAAGATAGCTACAATTACAAGCACGGTGACCGAACAACCGACTACGTTCATGTAGCATTCATCATAACAGCCGTATGTTCAGTTATATCAACATTATGCGTGTTAATGATGGTAATTGGAGCGCTGAAAAATGTTGGGAGTTTACTTATACCTCATATGATCATTCAGGTATGGACATTACTGAAGTTTTTTTGGCTTACTCTACCCTACCCTACCCTACCATACCCTACCCTACCCTACCCTACCCTACCCTACCCTACCCTACCCTACCCTACCCTACCCTACCCTACCCTACCCTACCCTACCCCTACCCTACCCTACCCTACCCTACCCTACCCTACCCTGCCCTACCCTACCCTACCCTACTCTACCTTACCCTACTCTACCTTACCCTACCCTACCCTACCCTACCCTACTCTACCCTACCCTACCCTACCCTGCCCTACCCTACCCTACCCTACCCTACTCTACCCTACCCTACCCTACCCTACCCTACCCTACCCTACCCTACCCTACCCTACCCTACCCTACCCTACCCTACTAGCATACTTTAAATCTTATCGTACTCTTTATCGTATCTTATTGTTAGTAGAGCCGGTTGCACCTCATTTCTTACAGTATCATAGACACTACCGTACAATAAATCTTAGCGTACTTTGCCTCCAAAAGCACTCTTGTTGTCACGATACTCTGAATTTTACTATGTGTTAGTACCAATAGTAAGGTATAAAAGCTTTACCGTACTTGGAGTCTCACTGTTCCGTAGCGTTAGACATTATAACACTACTATTTTTTGCCTTCCCCAAGTGTTTTTCGTTGTTTTACCCTTCTAATTCTACTTTTCTTTCAGGTTTTAACAATCCTCACGTTAGGCCTATTAATAATCCTTGGAATAGTGGCCGTATCTACCGACCTAGCCATTTGTTATCGTGTATTCAACGCCGCACCGTTCCACGAGCATCCTCAACAAAGTACAGTGGCCTTGGATACGAATACGATGCTCAGGGTGTATTTCGTACTTGGCATGGAAATCTTAACATTTGTGTTGGAGATCTACTTTCTACTAGTCATTTACAATTGTCAGCAATATTTTGTGGAACGACGACAGTACATGAAGTACTGTATGGCTTACTCGAAGCCTATGGAAACACTTAATAGTGCACGGTGACTGTAGCTTTTGTACTGTAGTATGTTTTATCAGTGGTATTGTGGTCAAGATTTTATTTACTGTCAAAGTTAATATTGTCTAAGATTTTCTTCCGTATTTTACAATTTGCTTTTTATATTTTTTTTGTAATAGCAAATGATATATACTTATATTGTTTTAAAAAGAATATAAAATTGTGTTGTTGTCTTTCTGATGCGTATACCTTTACGAATACTGCTTCATGTACATATGGATTCAGTTTAACGTTTTTTTGTAATAAAAGTTTTAATAATTTCAAAACGGTTGTTTTGAAGAAAATTTAAAAGTGCATTATGAAAGGGTTTTGCTATCAATTGATAGACAATTAAAGTTTAAAGCAAGTAAATAAGATATGAAAGAGAAAATCAACTTATAATAGGCAGACAGTAGGTTCGGTATTCTACAAGTAAAGTTAAGATAAAACTCTAACTAAATTTATAATTATGATAGTGCAAAAAAAGAGATAGGACTAGTCAGAACTAGGGATAGAGGTAGAAGTTAGTGTTAGAAGCTAGAGTTCGGGCTAGGATTGAAATCCAGGGCTTGAAACTAGAGTTAGAAGCAAGGGCTAGAAGTTAAGCCTAGAAGCCAATGCTAGAAACCAAGGCTAGAAGCCAGGATTAGAAGCTAGAGCTAGAAGCTAGCGCTTGAAACAATAACTATTATAGAAACTTGGAACTAGAAGCAAGGGCTAGAAGCAAGAGCTAGACGCCAGAACGGAAAGCACTAACTGTTATAGCTAATAGAAGCCAAGGCTAGAAGCTAGGGTTTAGGAGCTAGAAGTTAGAAGCTAGGAGCTAAAAGCTAGGAACGAGAAGTCAGCGCTAGAAGCTAGAGGCTAAAAGCTAAAGTTAAAAATTACGACTGGAAGCTAGGACTAGAAGCTAAGAATAGATGCTAGCGCAAAGGCTAAAGCGATTTTCTTAACTTTACAGTAGCCTGATATACTTTATACTAATCTTGACCTTAATGTAACTTACAGTAATCTATATAATTTTATAAAAATGTTTGTAATTACTAAATTAATTTCGTTCATAGCATTAACACGTGCCAGGGCTAAAGCTAGGCTTAATATTTACAGTTCGTTTAATCTTTATAACCTCAAAACCACTATAAGATCTGATGACACACATTTTGTTGAAAAATAGATTTAGCGAACTTTCGACAATTCTTTTTAAAAGTCATGGCGCAGACAATTTGCTTGTTGTCATCAATTAATTGACGTCAATTGATTTAAGAAAAACCCAAAATGATATTAGCGGGTTCTTCGCTTGAATCACGTTGTTCATACGTTGGGAAGGTTCATCAAACATGGCTTGATGTAACCAAAGTTATAGCTATATATAGAAGGGGTTACTGGAAGAATAACATTACTTTACTGTGACAATAGTTTAGTTGTTCTTACTACCGTAATCTTAACTTTGGCCGTATATTTGTATTGAGTAACGCTTACTGTAAGTTATAGTACTGTATACGATTTTTGATCCTACAGTAACCTACCGTACTACATAATATTTCTGATCTTACTGTAACTGGCAGCACTGTATACTATTCTTGACTCTACAGTAACCTACCGTACCGCATAACATTTCTAATCTTACTGTAACTGACAGTACTGTATACTATTCTTAATCTTACAGTACCCCCAACTTACCGTATACCGATCTTTATTTTACAGCCACTTAAACTACTGTATCTTCATTTCGACTCAACTGTAACTTACAGTAATCTACATATCAAAAAATGTTGTCACTTACCAAGGTAATCATCTTCATTGCCTTAACATTTGTCATGGTATCAGCTGCCCCACAATATTATAATGGCTGGGGTACAAATAGCTACTATGGATCACCCTACTCATATAACCCTTATGGCTATGAACCCTATGGTTATAGAAGACATCATCGTCACCACCATCATCACCACCATCACCACCATCATAGTCACAGCCACAGTCATAGTTGGAAACGATAAGTTTTGTAACAAGCTTTGAAATGACGAAAAAAGTTTTGTCGTTTTTTAACATGGTTTTATATGTTAAAAAACGACAAAAATTTTGAAACATTTTGTTTTGTACATAGTATATAATAAAATTTGTGTATTATGACGAAGTGATTCAATCTAATTGATTTCTAATAAACAATTTTCCATTTTTTTTGACAATTTGTGAAACGGTCCTCATGAAAAATATTTTTATTGCTTTTGTAATTTGACTAGGTTTAAGCACGAAACAGAGCATTGACAATTTTCTGTGATATGCTATGCTTTGCTCAACGGCCCTGTCTCGTGAAATACCAAATACCGGGCGTTTTAAAATTTGTGCCTAGCTTTGTAGGGATGAGAAATGAGCTGGGTATACTTTTTAAACAAAAAAGACTGTATATAGAGAACTACGAAGTGCCATATCATAAAAGAAGACATCATCCCCGCTATCACAGACATCACCGACGTAGATGTGGCAGCAGCAGTGACAGTCGAAGATACTCACACAGCCATAGTCTCAGACAAAATTTATTCCCTGCCTTACAGAGGCGAGAAACAGGCTGGTTATTCCTTTGAAGGCCAGCCCAAGCCCAACGTTTAGGCTTGACTAGCCAAGCGGTGTCTACACGACCCGTTTCTCATCTTCTACTGCCTTAGTATTGTTAGAGCAGAAAAACCAATGCAGGGATAGGCCGTTTTTGTGTGACAACCCTTCTAATTAAAATCATTTTTTCTGCAAAATCTAGGGTTGTTTTCTTCGTTAATCTAAAAAAAAGATATCTGAAATCGGAACATCAACGATGATTTTGGCGATGATCTTATTACTCTACTGTAAACAAAGATTCATTTAGTTCAACTTGTAGAAGCTGGAAGCTTTAATTTACTAATCTAAACCTGACTATTTCAAGCGGTGACCACTCTAGCCTATATATTTCTAACTTGCCTTACTGTGTTCTAGCTTTAAGTTCAAATCTGGCTTTACTTTAGCATTGTCTTAGTTTAGCAATACTTTACTAAATTATATATTTAAACTATACTACTATCCAACATGCCTACTATTACCTTCATCTTCATACCTTTTAGTCTGCTATTACTATTTGTAATCATAGTACATGCTGATGAACTCAAAAGAGTACCATATGGTCCATATATAGTCCAAACACCATATGGACCGTATATAGAAAACTATGAAATGCCATACCACAAAAGAAGACATCATCATCGTCATCACAGACATCATCGACGCAGAAGTGATAGCAGCAGTGACAGTCGGAGCTATTCACACAGCAATAGCCACAGTCACAGTCATAGCCGAGAACGTTGGAATTGATTTGAATAATAAGCATTAAGCGCTTTACTTCCTTAAAATATCGTAAACAAAGCTAAATTTAGTAAATTATGATTTATTTGTATACGTTTCAGCCTACTGTGTCGTATTTCAGATTAAAGTGTTTGTTTAGCGATGAAAACAGCGATTGACCCGGCTTAAACGCTCTTAGCTGTATTAAAATACTTACACGGCTTTTGGGTGCGGCCCGATCGACAAACCTGAACTTAAATATAAGGGTTACTGTGGTTTACCGCAAACTTTAATTTTTTGTATTGAATAAATTATGTTTTTGCAATTTTTTGCAAATGGAAAGAAAGTTTTTGTTATTTTTTGTTTTGTAAATAAAGTTCTTGCTATTTTTTGTTTTGTAAAGAAAGTTCTTGCTATATTTGTTTTCTAAATGAAGTTTTTGTCGGTTTTATTTTGTAAAGAAAGTTCTTGCTATTTTTTGTTTTGTAAAGAAAGTTCTTGCCATTTTTTAATTTGTAAAGAAAGTCCTTGACATTTTTTGTTCTGTAAAAAAAGTTCTTGCCTTTTTTGCTTTGTAAACAAACAAAATTTCTACTATTTTTCTACAAAATTTATAAAAATTTAAGCACAATCTCCAAAACACGTTGATAAGCTAACAATCTAGCCAATTGGAAGTCATCATAATCAAACATTAATTTTGCATTGTTCAAATAAAGAAAATTGCGTCGCAATTTGCGTTTTTGCTTTTGTTTATTTGGCCGACAAACGTAGATAAATATACATTTTTAATATTAAGTGGATCCCGTTTGTCGGGTTAACTTGTGATCCGCTTTTGTCAGTGTCTAGTACCTTGTAGGGTTGAAGAAGGAGAGATGAAACACAATACTTGTGATTAAAACTAAAAAAAAATGAAAACACTAATCAAATAAAACGACAAATACAAAAAAAATGTTGTTGAGTTGAAACCGATAAGAGCTAGAGTAAGGCTAGGATAGACGTAAGGTAGAGTTAAGATAGAGTAATATACGGCAAGAAAAGACAGAATAAGGCACTGCAACAAGACACGACAAGACAAGGCAACGGCTGGGCACAGAAGAACATGGCAACGCTGGGCAAAGCACATTAATTACAGTACCCTTCTTACTAAAAAAATGTTTTTTTGAATGCAAACAAATATGGCGTATTTTAATCGGTTTAAACTCTTAAAGTTTCAAACCTTATTTTTAATTTCCGCACAGTAGTATGGAGATAGCATATTGAATTGCAATAAAGATTATGAGTATAAAAGGCACTATTCTAGCCTTACTTTTGCTTTACCCTTGCCTTACTTTTGCTACAATTTAACCCTATTTTTTCCAGACTTTTGTTTTACCTTAGTTCTACCATAGCTTTATCTTAGCCATATCCTGCTTCTACTCTAGTTCTTCCCTAGCCTTACCGTAGCTTTACTCTGACCCTGCTTTTCCTCTACCTTTGTTTTACTTTATGCTACCATATCTTCACTTTATTTCAAAGTTTGTATTCGACCAATCTCAATATGCATAAAACATATTTTAAACAAAAGTGGATCCAAGTGATCCCTGTAATCCGTACCGTTCACTTGACAATGCCTGCCCTTTTGCGTCCGACCAGTCAAACATCCGATTTTGCTCTTTTTCTCGCCACCGACCGGTAAGCAAACACTACCAAAAACACAGGCAACAAGGTGCGCCAATTGGTTAAAGTGAGCGAGCTTTAAGCACCTTCGTTTTGGCAAATAATGAAAGTCTTTGAGCGGATTAGTCGCTAAAACATATTTCTGACGCAGTTTAGGGGAAGCTTTAGGTTGAAATTAGCGGGTTAGAAATTTTACGGCCAAATTGACAGTCAATGTTGATGAAATTTCAAATTTGGAAGGGATTTAGAAATGATTGTTTAGCCAGACTGTGTGAAAAATTATAAAAAATCGTGAGGTTAATGGTACAATTAAGGCTAGGGCTAAGGCTTAGGTTACATGCGAGGCTAAAGCTCAGGCTCAGGCTTGAACCGAGGCTAAGGTTGAGGCTTAGTTTAAAATTCAGTCTTAAACTTGGACTCAAGTTTAGGTTTCAGGCTCAAGCGCAGGTTCAGGTTCAGGCTCAAACTCAGTCTCAAACTCAGGCTCAGGCTCAGGTTCAAGCTCAAGCTCAAGCTCAAGCTCAAGCTCAAGCTCAAGCTCAAGCTCAAGCTCAAGCTCAAGCTCAGGCTCAGGCTGAAGCTGAAGCTGAAGCTCAGGCTCAGGCTCAGGCTCAGGCTCAGGCTCAAGCTCAAGCTCAAGCTCACGCTCACGCTCTAGCTCTGGTTCTGCATCTGGCTCTGGCTCTGGCTGTGGCTTTGGCTTTGGCTCTGGCTCTGGCTCTGGCTCTGGCTCTGGCTCTGGCTTTGGCTTTGGCTCTGGCTCTGGCTCTGGCTCTGGCTCTGGCTCTGGCTCTGGCTCTGGCTCTGGCTCTGGCTCTGTCTCTGTCTCTGGCTCTGGCTTTGGCTCTGACTCAGGCTCATGCTCAGGCTTAAGCTTAAGCTTAGACTGAGGCTCAGGCTTAAACTTACACTTAAGCTTCGGATCAGACTCAGGCTAGCTTAATCTCACACTTAGGCTTAGATAAAGGCGGGAAATAGACTGTGTCGAGCACGATTTTTTTGGACCAGTTTAAGCTAAATTTAGCTAAAGGCCGGCTCAACCAGAAGAGCTTGGCCTGTTTGCACGTAAAAAAAAATTAAGCCGGACCTACACGGACCGTTTGTTAACTCTAGTCTTAGGCTCAGACGCAGGTTCAGGTTTAAACTCTTGCTTAGGCTCGGGCTTGCGGTGGCTCAAACTTAAACTCAGGCTCAACCTCATGCTAAGACAAGACTAACGCAAGGCTAGAATTAGAATATGATAAGTCTCCAACACTGTTTCATACCATTAAAATTCTATTCCGTTACAGTACGCAACATTCATTAATCTTCCAAATTTCGCAATTTTTTCATTTATCTATTCATGAACTTTAATTCCATAAAACCTTTATTCTTTGAACAAAAAAAACTTAGACCGCCAATATGGTCCTGTTTGCCTAGCTGGAGCGGATTTTTGAAACTGTTGTAGAGGCTTTGTTGCATATGACTAAAGTCGTTTTTTTGTTTGGTTTTAGTCGTTCATTCTGCAATTCGAATTTGAATTGTCAATGTGACCTTTTTGAGCTTTTAAATTTCAAAATTTGCAATTTTAATTAAAAATTTTTTTTTTTGTTTTGTGATAACTTTTTGGTTACAGTGGGCTTTGTAAAGAAAGTTTTTGCTATTTTTTGTTTTGTAAAGAAAGTTCTTGCCATTTTTTGTTTTGTAAAGAAAGTTCTTGCCATTTTTTGTTTTGTAAAGAAAGTGTTTGGCATTTTTTACTTTGTAAAGAAAGTTTTTGCCATTTTTTACTTTGTAAAGAAAGTTCTTGCCATTTTTTGTTTTGTAAAGAAAGTGTTTGCCATTTTTTACTTTGTAAAGAAAGTTTTTGCCATTTTTTACTTTGTAAAGAAAGTTCTTGCCATTTTTTGTTTTGTAAAGAAAGTTCTTGCCATTTTTTGTTTTGTAAAGAAAGTTCTTGCCATTTTGTTTTGTAAAAAAAGTTAATACAGTTTTTCTAAATTTAAAATTTAATTCGATTTTACGAAGCTTTTTAGTTACTGTACGCTTTTGAAACTGTATAGTACGATTTTAGATCCTTGGATATTTAAATTTAAAATAAGTTTCAGTTATGGACATAAACACCATAGTAGCCCTTCAAAACCTACGATGTTTGCCACTATCACTACATCTTCAAAATATGAACAACCCAACCGGCTACAGTAATTTCTCACCTATTTCTCCTATTTCTCCGCCGATATTTCCAACCTTGTCGAGTATGGGCAACAACTCACCAACTTTGTTCAACTATCCTCAAACGTCCGTACCTCATGACAGTGGTGACAACGATAGTGGATCGAAAGAGGATAGTAAGTATTACCTTTTAGGATAGGAGAGTGTAAAATAAGGTAAAAAAATAAATAAAAAAAGTCATTTTTAGTATCCCGAACAGACAGTGAAAGTATAAAGCGTCGAAACCGTACTTCGTTCTCTGATCAGCAGTTAATGTGCTTGGAGAAAGCCTTTAAAGACTCACAGTATCCGGATCTAAAAGTCAGAGATCAACTATGCAAAGATACGAAACTGCCTGAGAATAAAATTCAGGTAAGGTTTACATTTTTAAAATACATTGGGTATACTGTCTGCATTTTAAATTTGAACTTTCTATCACGTTTTACCCTTCAGAAAAAAATTTTTAAAAAGTTACAAATTTCTTGAAACACCCTGTAAATCTATGCTTTCGAAAAATTCCTTCCCTGCTCTGTTTGACCCTACCCTACCCTGACTTACTTTGCCCTAAATTATATTCGGATCTTCAAGCGGTCCTACAGATAATGAAACCAGGTATTATAAACCTAAACAATCACTTCAACAACCCGAGAGATAGGTATAAACGATTTACCTCCAATAAACAATATATACCAATAGTAAAACTACAATATATATTATAACAAGATCAATCCGCAAAACGGCGGTCGTGTGCGGTAAACGTTCCCACTGTTGTCACATGTCTCCCGAATCTCCTCCTGATTGACCGTCCTCTCCTTTTATCGTGCTGGCGATCGTACGCGGTGCGGAATGCCAAGTACTGCTCGTTGTCGTGGCGGGACCTGAATGGTGCGCTCGTGCGGGGTCCAACTTTATTTTTTATTTCAACAATGATTTAAATCTCAGGTATGGTTCAAAAACCGTCGTGCCAAACACAGAAAACACTTGAGAAACTTACCATTGAATGAAAGTAACAAAGACGTTGAGAACAACTGCTTAACGCCTATAAAGAATACGTCACCTACCGTGATTTGTAAGTTTAAAAAATTGTTTAAATCCTCCCAGCGTTAGTTATCTATCTTTGTGCTCTTTATGACTAACATAGGTTTTTTTTCAGCGTGGACTCCAGAAACTATATTAAACCTGTACAACCCGGTGTACTTCTCAAACGTTGCAACAAACTTAGGTGAATGAATTGCTGGCTGTTTCTGGGTATAAATACTAAAAAGGAACTCGTGTATAACAACCTTTTTAAAGTTTTTTAATTTTTTCGTTATAAAAGGAATTGGTATACAAAAGTTTGTTATATAGTAGTTCCACTGTATTTTAATATGTAAAAAAATTTCAATTAAAAACTGTTTTTATGAAAATAAGATGAGAAACCATAAAAGTACAAAATCTATATTATATTTTGTTGTAACTAACGTTTTTTTTTGTATTATGCACTGTGAGCAATATGAATAAATATTATAAATGTATTGAAAAAATGGTTTCTAATTAACATACCGTTTTTGTATGTTGCTTTTACAGTATATTTAGTTTAAATATACTTAAGCCTAAACCTAGTCTAACAATAGAAGTACTTTAACTTTACACAAGCCCGACCTTTTACTATTTCTAACATTACGCAAGCTCTACTCTAGCCTTTCTCTAGCACTACACTGGCTCTACTATAGTTTTTTCCTAGATGTTGTTCTCTAGGCTCATTCTAGCCTTACACTAAATTCATACTAAGCCTTCCTCTACCTTTATCTTACTTCAGTCATACTGTAATTGGACCATAGTTTTGATCTATCTCTGTTCTATCATAGCTCTACTAATGCTATCACTCTAGTCTTACCCTTGCCGTACTCTACCCTTACATTCTTTCTGCATCAGCCGTTGTACTGTAGCTTGACAGTAACGGGCAATCAACAACTTTTATGGTAATGTATGGTATCTTTGGTTATGATATTGTAATGGTTACCTCAATTCTTTGTTTTCCCTTTACCACGTCTCTTATATAAAGCCATTGCTTTTGTGAACACTGCTTGTGGGTTCAAGAAAACAAAAAGTTTTAAGATAGGTTGGGCTGCTATCCGATTATTTCCGCTATAACTTTCAGCTCGGCCGACTTTCAAGCCTTTTCGAACGGTTTTTGCGCCAAACCTCTATTTTTGACACTAATGGTAGGCAGGGGGGGGAGTTGCAAATTGCAAAAGGTAGAAGAGGAATAAGTAAAAATTAAAGGCGGGGGTAAGCTAAAAAAAAATTTTTGTTAAGGGGGGTGGTTTTAAATAAAAATTTTGCAAAAAATGGTTTTAGTATAACATAAAGCGTAGGTTTGCAAATTGATAATGACAGTGTATAAATACGTTGCTGTGCAACATATATAAAAATTGATTAATTATAGGATTGTTTCTAATGTGTTATTATAGCGCTATGTTGCTAATTTTTAAAGCCAGAAAACTGTTTTTGTTCAAAATGAAACAGTTTTTGAATTTTTGGCTTTGTAAAGAAAGTTCTTGTCATTTTTTGTTTTGCAAAGAAAGTTATTGCAATCCTTTCAAACGAACAATGAACTTCAGCAAAAAGTTCATGTATAACAATTAGAAACACATCAATGACCATTTCCATCCTAATTGTTAATGGTGTCGGGTTGCTTCTAAATGTGTTAACTTTTAGAAACATATGCCAAAAGATTTGCGGGTTTCTAATTTTATCTCATTAATTATGCCGCGGTCAAATGGCTCGAGAAAGTTTTGACTTTTTTATTGACTTGTTTTGAGTTCAGAATATTGAAAGAGAGATGGTTTATATTAGATATATTAAGGCTAGGAACGTAAAATAAGCATGCCCTGCCAAAGGCAGGGCAAAGGCAGAGCAAAAGCAGGGCAAAGGCAGGGCAAAGGCAGAGCAAAGGCAGGGCCAAAGGCAGGGTAAAGGCAGGGCAAAGGCAGGGCAAAGGCGGGGCAAAGGCAGGGCAAAGGCAGGGCAAAGGCAGGGCAAAGGCAAGGCAAAGGCAAGGCTGGAGCACAAATTACATTCAAATCAAAAAAAATGATTACCATTTTTAGTGTTGATTTAATTAAAAGTTTTGACGACATCCGTCTTGTTTACTCATTTATGTTAATGTTTCTTGAATCTGCAAAATGAAAAATGTATATTATGAGCATCACAAGTGTAGTTTTACATTATTTTTACAAAGCAAACGTGAGAACAAATTGCAAATTTTTCTCGACAGTAGACATTGAGCATTATGAGTATTTTAAGATATTTTTTGAACTTGAGTGTAGTTGATGTCATTGTTTTTACTCTGTGGTACGTGCTGGTACTTCATAATAAAGAGATTGTTATAAGGTAGAACTTTTGTAGTCGCTTTACGTTGAAGTGTGCTACGAGTTGTTAATCATAGAGGAGTTTGTTATAAAGAAGTTCGTTATAGAGAAACTTGTTATACAGGTGTTACGGGCCGATCTCGAGTCTTTTCTGAGATCGGGCAAGCAATAAATTAGCTTGCCCGAAACATACGAATGACCCGAGATCGCCGTATGAAGTCAGTTGCGTTTATTGTAGGCGTAGGGAGCAGGACGCTCTCCCTACGGGTCTCCTAATAAAGTATAATATGAGAAGTTCGGCTCTGTACTATTTGAGGCTGCTCTAGACAAGAACAGGGTAGCAGGAGGGACTAAAAATGCCCGCTACACAGGATTTCTACTGTACTATTTCACAAAATATCTTTATTTACGTGCCAATTTTAATTTTTGTTAACATAATTGTAACAACAAGTGTTTAGGTATTCTAAATCAATATTATTGTTGTTCAACTGCAGCCAGAGTAAGACTAGGTGACGCTAAATTTACTTGGACTAATATAAAGCTAAAGTAGGGTAAGGTATACAAAGTTAAAGCAGTCTATTTCTGAGATAATAATTCATATTGCCATTGTTTTTTGTTATAGTGCACGAAATAGATTTAAGAAATAACCGGTAATGCAGAATTAAGTTGTAATTTTGTTATGAACATGTCAAGGTAAAGTTTCCTGTTTATCATAAAGAGGTAATTGTAATGGACACTGATACGATTATAGTAAAGTCCAGACTAGGGTGCTTGGTTTTTGATGTTTTTAGAATATTAAGCTTACAAATTTTTTTACTCAAAGAAAAGCAAGGTTAGTCAGGACTACGGTAATGCTTCTGCAAAACTGTATAACAATTTAGGGAAGCTTCAAAATTAGTACGATCGAATTAGTACTATCGTTAGAATAAGGTTCGTATGTTTGTTTAGCAGCTCTGCCCTCTTCAATGGTAGTTCTACACTAGCCCTTACGCTAATCTTTTACTTATTATATACAGCTCCTATAGCTATCATAGGCATACAATTAGAAAAGATGTAGTACATACTTGAACACCATAATTTTAAAAATTTTTTTAATTTTAAAATGTTAAAAAATATTTTTTGGACTATTGCTAGAAGTTCGATATTTGATACATTCTTAGTGCCGTTTTTACTTTTGTCTTATATCGTTCTTCTCATAGTGCAAGAATATTTGATAAGCCATCGTACAGCCAAAACCGTTACGTTCATATTTACATCTTCTGACGATACGTATAGCATATTTACATACTGCTTTTTACAACTATTGACATAGTAATGTACCTTTCAAAAAAACTTGTTTACTTTGTACTATGTTGTTGCTATATCAACATTGCACTATACTGTTCTTATATCAACAATGTATTATCTTGCTCTTATATCAACATTGCCCTAAGCTATCTTCATATCAACATATTCAAATTCCTTGATTCTTGTACTTGTTGACATTATATTAAGCTACTGAATCCCGAAACCTATGTTTACACGCGATCACACGTTTCGATGGTATAGATGGTTCTCGTGACAAGTGGCCGCGGAGCTGGGAACCAAGAATACTCGCGGATTGACGTGGGAATCCGCACCTTTTCTCTTTGTTTCATCGCTCTTTCCCGGAGATTGAGGAGTGTTGTTGGACCTGAAGCAAGGCCGACGATTTCACGCCAAGCGTTTAATTTTAGAGGCTTGTATTTTTAGTCTGTACTTAATTTTTGGTTGATCGTTAATATTTTTTGATGTTTTCGGATTTGTTTAAATAACTGAGGCTATTGTTGTATTGTAAGGTAGAAGCAAGGCAGAGGTTTAAAAGTCAAACGTAAGGCTAGAGGAACGAATAAGTAAGGTTCATTTAAGGTAACTTTAAAACAAAGCTTAGAGTTGAATTGGGGGTGTAGGTTTGTACGGCTATGTCAGTACAATGCTAAGGTATCTTAAGCAAAACTGTGCTAGAGTAATGCAATCGTAGTTTTATATTGTGGCCTAGAGCTACACCTAAATCTAGAGCCAGAGTTTTCCCGGACCGGTCCGGATGAGAATTTTTTCGGTCCGGTCCGGACCAAAAAGGTCAGGTCCGGTCCGGAAAAAGTTTTTTTTATTTTTAAGATATGCAAGGAGCGCTAAAACTGCTTTCTTTACGCTTAAAAAGTCTTAAAAATATGTTTTATCTGCAATTTTTAAAACAAATTTATTAAAATAAAACAAAATTTCTTCCAGACCGGACCGGGCCTCAGTTTGGACAGGACGGGTTCGGCAAAACACTGTCTAAAGCTAGAGCTAACGTTAAAACTAGATCTGGAACATAAGCTAATGCTACAGCCAGAGCTAGAGTTAGAGGTACAACTGGAGCTAAACTTAGAGTTAGAGCTAAGACTAGTTACACACATTTTTTAAACATTACAGTGTTTTGGATCTTTCTGATTTATTATAATGTTACTTTTGCTTGCCTTGTAATTAGCTTTAATTAGTTCCAATTTTTCTTACTGTTAGTTCTTGGCTTGCCAAAGATCTTTTATTTGTACAAACTTGGAATCAAATATTATTGTTTGTTATTTACAAATCTTTAAAGTCATAACAATGAGTCAGCAACCTTAATATGACAGAATCCATATTTGTGAAAGGCTTACATTAACAAAACTGAAGAAAATGAGGAAGTTGTTTGTTTGAAAAAAATATATTTTCTTCTCTTAAAAATTCTTGAAAGGCGTTACTATGCACTTAAAAACATTAAATGTGGCTTACAATTTTTTTTGTAAGTATGAGTAATAGGCTAAGGATGAGTACTCTAAAGTTGTGGGACATTTTAGACTATCAAGTGTTGCAAAAGATAGTGCATGGTAAAATACG